TTCTGATGCGAGCAAAGATGCAACAGGGTAATTCATCTACACCATTCTTAAGTTTTAAAGTATATGACTTGTATGAATAAGATAATTCACATTTTATGTTCAGTTCGTTGGAGGTGGATTTTTTAGACCAATTTTGGTAGCTGAAACAACTTCTTCATTTATTAGAAACGATAAGAACTATATTCAACATTCCAAAACACCGTAGTATCGACTATTACAATAACATGTAGTTCTTGCTTCATCTTCGAATGTAGATTATAATTAATTTTAGCGTTGGAATATTATTTTAAATAGTATTTACGATTGATAAATCTATAGATAGAAACAATAATTAAACTATACAATTCTTAATTCTCAAATAATGATATAAATAATTTATAATTGTATATTGTGTTCTTATAGCTACAGGCAATATATGGAATGCTAAGCTGCTTAATAATATAATCATACAATACATAACGTGCCATCTTCTATAGTTACTAGTCGTCGATATTGATTTATGATGCGTGCTGTCTAGCCCACATTGACTTATACTTGTTATATACTTCGATTTTTTTATTCACTATATAATACTTACAATATATAATATTTAGTTTTAAATTTACAAAAAATACAAGTGCGTTAAATTTAGTATTGCCCATCTAATAACCGGTAAAACGACTCACTTGCAAATGTTACCTTTCCATTCTGAACTGTCAATTATAATTCTTATCTTTCATATTAAAGCTGAAAGTGTCTTCAGATAAATCCGCTCTTCAACACAAATTCTTCACGACCTTAATTTACTTAGTTCTACTAAATTCAGAGTCATCATATCAATCCTCAATAGTGTAATGCGTTTCAATCCCATAATCAATATTGTCACTATTTACAACATATACAGCAAATAATAGATAATTATACTTTATTTGTTACTGCCCATATATAAGAAAATAGAAAATGAAGCAGCAGATCGATATGAAATGCTCTCGCGCGCACTCTCTTTTGGCCTAATACTTACGCTGTTATTTACTTTATACGCCAGTTGTATTCAGAAGAAAGCTCAATTATTATGACAGTATACATGTAAAATCCATATTAAAACCGAAAAACTAGATGACTCCGAAACTAAAAATTATATAATCTAGTTCTTACTTTTCCAGCTTCTTAAAACTTATATTATTTTTACTCTTAAGTCAAACTAGTAATTTGATAAGCAAGTTTGAAAAATAATAAGAAATTTAAAAAAATGCTTATCAAACTAGGTATTATATTATTAGCCTAAGGGAGGTATAATGCTCCTTTACTAATTAAAAACTCGTATAGTAGTTAACATAATTATACTTCTATGATAAGAAACGAAAATTATATATTAGTTATAAAAAATACAATAATTCTTGCCATAACTCAAAGCATGCACAAGAAATCTCATTCTTAAACGTATAATAAATACTAAAATAATTTATCAATACAATAGTATTATCAACTAATCTTTATAGAAGAAATTTAAGATTTGAGTACCCTTCATCACTCCCTAATTTATATGATAAAAATGACAATTAGTAACTCTACATACTTATTTCGGTTTTAAAAATATAATTATTTATAAATATAATACAAGTGGTTAATTTATATTGCACTTTATCGTAAAAACTACTTGCAATGTTACTTCTTATGTAATTAATTCTATTTTTATATAATGAAGTGGTCTTAGAAAAAATGTTCAACACAAATTCTTAGACCTAATTCTTTAGTCTCTAAATCAAGTCATCATTCAATCTTCAATGTTATGCCTTCAATCCCAAATCAATATTTATATACAACTATAATGCAAAATAATAATAACTTATTTTGTACTGCTATATAAAAGAAAAGAAATGAGAAGATGATATGAATTGATAATGGAAATTACTTTGGCTATAATCGCTGTATTACTTATCCAGTGTATCAGAGAAAGTAATATATGCATATACATGTAAAATCTTTAAACCCAAAAAATGACCCGAACAAAAATATATAATTCTAGTTTTTTTTTCAGTTTCTTAAATATTATTTTCTTTTAAGTCAAACAGATTTATGATAGAAGTGAAAAAATAATAAGAAAATTAAAAATGCTTATCAATAGGTTATTTATTTATTGCAAGGGAGGTATAAATCTCTTACTAAATTAAAATGATAGTAGTTACAAATTATTCAGTAAAGGAAAAGAAAATAATATATTGTTATTAAAAATAAAATTCTTTCAAAACTCAAGTGACAAAAAATCATTTTAAACGTATATAAATATCTAAATATATCAATAAAATATTATACATTTTTTAAAATTAAAATTTGAGACCTCTCACTCCTCAATTATATGAAAAGACAATTAGATCACATATTATTTGTTTAAAAAATAATTTTATAAATATATTAAATTACTAAATGTAATTTTCTAATTATTAAACTGTCTTTCCGTTAAAAAATAGAGACTTTTTTTCGTTACATGAGGTTAAAAAGTAATGTTTCTTGATAAACGTATATTTTGAAATGACAAAAAACCCTTAATAAAATTTAAAACCTAAATATGGAAAAGGCGATAAAAATTATTTTTGTTTCTCTTCGTATTTTCTTCGTGCTATTCTTAAATCTCACGTGAAGAGTAAAAAATTATCATGCTTTTATAGCTAAATCTATGAAAAATATTCAATTTTCATGAAAATCCACCTCTTAAACCTCATGTTAATAGGTTTACTAGAGAATTATTTTTACAACTGAAGCTATATGTTGGATCTCAATTCCACCGCGGCCGTGGGTTCAAAGAATCCAAGACTACTTGCGCTATTAATGATGTTGCTGCGATTCTAGAGTAGATCTGCAGAAAGACCTGAGTTAAAGTAGATCAAGGAATGAACTATGCTAGTTTGCGGGTCATAGCGGGTCGGTCGGGTGTGAGTTCGAGAAGGAGGAAGTGAATAATGAAGATGGAGCTTTTGATTCTTTATTGGGTAGAGACAACAGTGAGATAGGTACCAGGTGAGTTAAAGAAGAGCTTGTGGTGTTTAATCCAAGTTTGTGATTGCGTATGCCATGTGATCATGGTGATGGTGATGATCACCATCATGAAATTGCATGTTTGTTAATATCATTGAATTACAAAATCAGTGGATCTTTGCCAAAAATAGATTAATAACAAATGACGCATGGATTATGTATCTATGGTGGATGCCTATTTGCCATGAGTTCAAACCCCTGCTATCCCTTATTATTTAATTTTGACGGATAAAGTCGCCTTTAAATGAATTTTTTAATACTCAACATTTCAAAATAAAAATCGTTTTAAAGTAATTATTTTATTTTAAATATTCTAAAGAGTAATAAATGATATTTTTTAATATTATCTTATTTATATTAGATATAACAATTATCTTCACAAGGTACTTTTAGTTTTGAGATAATTACCCTTACTTTTGTTATAATTTATGAAAATTTATTGCTCATTTAACGCTCATGCAAAAACTTTAAACTACTTATATTATCTTTCTTATAGTCGGTTCTATATCTTTGTTCATAAATTTATTATGATTAGGAAAACGTTAAGGAAAAAGTACAGTAGGATCCTTGTGGATTGTAAAATATAATTAGTCTTCTCTGTCTTTTTCAAAATAAACTAAAACATTTTTATAGTTTACTTTCGTAAGACTATAAAATTCTTTGGTCCAATTTTTGTATTTTTTTTTTGTTAAGTACCTTATGAAATAATGAAAAATATCCGTTTTATTTTTAAAAAACATAGGGATAGACTATTTGTATCAAACCATAGGGACTGTACTGTATTTTTTTGTATAATTTTTTAGTATCTCTCATTTGACATCTATATTTTCTTATTGACTTAACAAAAAGAATGCATAAAATAGACAGAAAAATCTAGTAATATAATGGAAACAAAACATAAGAATAAATTGATAAATTTTAAAAAAGACAAGTACGAACTAATTATATTCCGCAAATCACATGGATTGTAATATAAATTTTCCAAACGCTAAGAGTTTTGAAATCAATACTAACATTTTAGCGTTAGGTCAAGTAAAAAAAATTGTGGGGATGAAAAAGTAAAAAATAAAATTTATTCAAATGATTTTTTTTTGGAAATAATAGTTTTTGAATAAATATATAAATTTATACTTGTATGTTATGTGAAAAATTTTATGAGACCCAGTGGCGAAATAAAAAAAAAAAAGAAAATTTTGGAGGGGTGGATTTTTTTTTTTAAATTTAAGGGATGAAATAAAAAAACAATATTTTATAAGTAAAATGTAACATTTTCAACATTTTCTTTTGCAAAACAATTCAATTTTTCAAAATTTTAAAACTATATTTGAAAATTTTTAAAGCTAGTACTTTAAAAGTTATAATAATAATAAATATTTTACATGTAAAAGTAAAAAATTTAAAATTGCTAATCTGATGTTATTAATATAAAAATATTTAAAATACTATCAAAATTCATAATTATAAAAATATAATAAGTTTTTTCACAAAATTTAAAAACATTAAAGTTTTTTTAAAAATAAAAAATTTATGTTAATTTATGTATTTATCACATTTTCTTTTGGGACCATGGGTCACAATCCCTTTTGAGTTTTGTGGGTACTTTCAGTATTTGTCATTAATATGAGAGAACTGTATCAACATATAATGGTATATCCTTTTACATTGTACATTTATTGTACTTTATTAATTGAATCCATATCCATTCATTTGATTTGACCATTTGCATAGCAAAGCCAATATAAAATACTAAAAATTAGGTTATAAGATAAATCAATACTTATGCAAACTTTTTTTTTTTTATATTTTTTGAAAAAGGAACAACTAAAGGCACTCCTCTAAATTTAAAAAATATCACACATTTACCCATTTTACAAAAAGTTTATTCAAATGCACCCTTTAACCTTTTACAGGACGTAAAGCTCGAGAGGTAAAAAAGAGAACATTCCTTGTTGCACTACAAAAGGACTTTATTTTTTTATTACCCATTTTTCTGTTTCCCTCAAACTCACATTTTCTTCCTTCCTTTCTTATTGGTAGCTTTTTCTCATTTTTCTGCAACTTTCTCTTTCAATGACAAAAAACAAATAAAAGTGCACCGAAACCAACACCCCCAAACTGGCAAGTGCAAAGTCAGGCGTCAACCAATCCCATTCTCTTCTTCTCTTTCTGTTTCTTGAACCCTAATAATCAGTGAAGTTTCTCTCTTTTTCTATGTTCTTGTGTTTGGATCTGAAAAAAAATTTGTCTAAATGCTTTCTCTTTCCTTTAACTAGGGTTTTGTATCAGATTCCCCTCTAAATTTGGCAAAACGCCGCCACTATCACACTCTCTCTCTCTCTTGCTTTTTTGTGGTTAATTAATTATACCCATTTCTGTTTCTGCTCTTAGTATGCTGGTTTATTCCCTGCGCGATAAGTTAAGAGGAGGAAGGTTTAGTTTTCTTTCGTTTTTTCTTTTTTTTGTTTCTGGGTCCTTTTATTTTCTTTCTTGTTTTAGCTAAACAAAAGGAAAATATGGCGAGAGAGAAGATTCAGATCAAGAAGATCCATAACGCTACCGCTAGACAAGTCACGTTTTCCAAACGCAGAAGAGGCCTTTTTAAGAAAGCTGAAGAGCTTTCTGTTCTTTGCGACGCTGATGTTGCTCTTATTATCTTTTCCGCTACTGGCAAGATGTTTGATTATTGCAGCTCCAGGTCTTTCTCTATCTTCTTTCCTTCTCTACGGCTCTACCTCACTTGGGGTTACAGCCTTACCGGAGAATGGCGGTTTTTTTTCCTTCTCTCCTCTGCTGTGTGATAATTGATAAAAGTTCTTGAAAATATAAAAAAAAAAATGAAAGGTTTTGTACAGGGAAATAACATGGGTTTTGTTGTGGATATAAATGGATTCTCGCGAATTGATAATGTGTGATTTAGACTACTAAAAAGGATCTATTTTTTTATTGTGCAAGGCTTGTATCATCGCGTCAGTCAGTCTTTGCTATTTGGTTAATGTAATTAATATTACTGCATATAATTAAAAAAAAATACTAATAACTTAATTTTTCTACTGTTACTCAATATGGGGATATCGTGAATCTTATATCTTTCATGAAATATAGCTTCATTTTCTTAGGGCTTCTTGGCCTTCTTATGGGCTGTTTTTTCTCTTATATCTTCTGTTTTTTTAACCATAAAAGGATGCTTGTTATAAGGTTATGGACTTATGGTCCCTTTTTCTTTAAGTTCTGTGGGATAAGACAGAGTTGATAGGATGGGTAGCTTGGTATGTAAAAAAAATCCTGTCAAATATTTATAGAGAAAACAAAGGTCTGTATTTTAAACAATTCATTGAAAAAGCTGCAACTAGGAGGCATGGGTTGGTTTGTTAACTATTATAGTTTGTTAATGGCAGCGAGAATTAGGGAAAGTAGATAGCATATCGAATATCCGACCCCAACTAGTTTGGCACTAAGGCTTAGTTGTTGTTGTCGTAGATAGCATTTTGGTTGTCAAGTTAGGTTTGAAATGGTAATTGTTTCGTATTTTGCTACATATGATATTTTTGAGTAAAGACTAAATGAAGTAGATGAAACTCCAAAAAAGATAGGATAGAGAAGCCTGGATCTTGTAACGTGTTTTGTTGTATTTTTCTTGTTTGTTCTTTTTCTTGTTTCCTGTTTCTTTTTCTTTCTTGGTAGTGGTCCCTAAATAGCTCAAGTTGGAAAAATGGCAATGGAGGATGTTCATTGTATTGTAATACGACACTTTAATGCGTGCTAGACAATCTTTTAATGATTAAGGCAATTGGTACGACTATTATTGGCATGCTTACCTATTGAATGCTGCTTTTAGTTACAAGCATTAGAATTATAAATGCGTGTTTGAAGATTGATATGCTGCATATGTGCACCTTTCATTGTAGGGAATCGTGTTGAAAAATGCTTTTTTTGGGGAATTTAGAAGGGAAGTAGTGAGTTTATTTGAAACTAATAGCAAATTAGGATAAACATGTTTATTTATATATTGCGAAGCAATAGATCGAGGACCACTGCTATAGTATCATGTGCAAGTTTACTTGCATGCTGGCTATTTGGTGGACTCATAAAGATTACATATATGGCTTACGTTTTTGTAAATGGTTGGCCTTGCACAGCAACTTCGTGTTATTACTTTCATTGTTTGCCTTTCTTTTCTTTTTCTTTTTTTAAAGAATAAGTTTTTAGATATGATGAAATTCATTGATAGTGTTCTTTAGCTCTTCTTTTATCTTATCTTCTTCTCATTAGTGTTTGGGCATACGTCGATATTATGGATTTACTCTTTAGTTGACTGACCGATTATGTACTACTTAACATTGGACACGTAGGAACCCGGGTTTATAGGAATATTTTGGTCTGTTCAAAATATATATGAGTATTTGCAAGGGCATATTGTGAAGTTTATAAAGGGTACCCACGCATATATATGTTTCTCTTATGCTGTGGCCAATTATTTGGTACCCATGCAAGGAACAAACTTATTGTCAATTTGGCAACTGAGGAAATATTAGTGGTGTGGTAATATAGATAGAACAATGGAATAAAAAGATTTCAATCATTTCCAAAAGACCAAAAGATATGCGATTTAAGATATTGTTCTAGTATCCATGTGTTGTAAGTTTATAATTTCAGGTTCTAATAATATTGCCAAGCTCATTGTCTAAAATTTGGTTTGCAAGTCTGGATGGTTATTATTGATTAATTGAATCAACTTGTATTTATGGTTTATCTCCCAGAATTGATTCTGTTTTGTAAAATGAGTTTTTCATATTAGGGCAGGATGATTTTATAAAGCTACTGTTTACTTTATTGCAATAATTTCATGCCCCATTAGGGAATGCTTCATAACCTGGCACCAGCAAACACTTCATTCTGTTTCTTTCACCAAAAAGTTTCAATTCTTGTTCAAGACCAGACATTGTTACATTATAATTTCGATATTCCCTTTCTTTTATTTACATGCATATTATTTGCTTTCTTCAATTGTTGATGCAAATCTTGAATTAACAGAAAGAACATGAATGATTACTGTATTTGGTCATTTGTTACAAGAGAAATCAACTATAGTTTTGCAATTCCATTTTTTAGGCTCTTTTGGGACTAGTAGGTGCGAGTTTTGTTGTGAAGTTTTTCTTTTTCATCTTTTTGGATAGCCAAATGAATTAGAGAAATCTCATCCCTTGTTTTTTCCTCTTTTATGGTTGTATCGTTTAACGATATAGGGACCTTAATTTCTATTGATTCTTAGAATAACTGATCAAAATCAATGAAGCGACTTTAAAGTTTTTTTATCTTCTGAAGCATGAAGGAATTACTAGAAAGGCATAACTTGCATTCAAAGAATCTTGAGAAGCTGGAACAACCATCTCTTGAGTTGCAGGTGGGTTCTTTTCTCTATGGATATAATATTTTTTCCCTTACCTTCATGGGATAATCAACTTAGAATGTTATAGTTAGTGTTATATCTCATTAAATCCAATGTTGTATGGATCACTAGTTTTGTCAAAATTCTATGAACAACTTACATCTCAAGTGAAATGCAACATTTTATGCTCTAGTTTCAAGTCAATCCATTGAATTTTTTTATTATTTCCAAATCTTGGTAATGTTTTGTGCCATTTACTTCTTGACTTTTATCATACTAATCATGGATTAAGAAAATGATACAATCCCTATTTTTCTGCTGAGCTCTATAATCTCTGTAAGCAAACATTTGAATATTTGTTAGGCTATTCCATTTTGTATTTTTCTCTTCGTCCATCTTGGCTTGCTAAATGAGTGAAAATATTTGTATTTTTAGCTAGTAGAGAACACTAATCACTCCAGGTTGAGCAAGGAGATTACAGAGAAAAGCCATCAACTGAGGTATGAGTATTGATTTGTTTGTAAGTTTCTAATAATTGCGTGTATCTCAATATGTTAAATTTTATGTAACATAGGCAAATGAGGGGAGAAGAGCTTCAAGGATTAAATATAGAAGAGTTGCAGCGGCTAGAGAAGTCTCTTGAAGCTGGACTAAGTCGTGTTATAGAAAAGAAGGTCTTCTACAAACACTTTTTTTTTTTGTGAGCTTGGGTTGGTCACTTGGTTATGAATACTGTATGTTAATATTACTTATTTGTTGATATCAGGGAGAAAAAATAATGAAAGAAATTGACGAACTTCAGAGAAAGGTGAGTTGTGAAACGTACCAGTCCTTTGATTGACCTAGACTCTTTACGTATTATTTACGTATTATTTCCGCATGCAATGTTGCCCAATACCTAAGAATACCATGACTCAACCATGATATTTGTGGATTTATATCTATGCGGATTTTTTGTCCAAATCTGGTAATTAAATTTGCTTTTCCGTATGTAATTAAATTCTTAAAGCTAGCATACTATAACACAAGTTATCAAATCGTCACAAAAATTATACAAAAGGATTTTTATTTTGTTGCAGTTTTATTTTGCGACATATAGTTGCATTGAATGGATTAAGGTTGTTAATGGTGTTGTATCTTGGTCCATTTCCTCTCTGCATACCAGTTTTAGGTATATGATTGAAATAAAAGAATCAATTTATCTGCAAAAGGATATTTTAAAGAACTTAATTTGTCTATGAACACAATTCACAAAGTTTAATCACACAAGTAGCGAGAAAATGATGTTTTGATATTCTCGCTTCGGAAACCTACCTTATTTTTCCTTTTGGCACAAGTAGGGAATGCAATTAATGGAAGAGAACGAGCGACTAAGACAGCAAGTAAGACCTCTCTCTCTCTCTCTCTCTCTCTCTCTCCTATAATCTTTCCACTTTTGAGTGTTGGATTATGGCAACATTTAATGTTCGACTGAAGGTCGTGGAGATGTCTAATGGCGGAAAGCAGACTGCTGCAGATTCAGAAATTGTAGTTTATGAAGAAGGGCAGTCATCAGAGTCGGTGACCAATGTCTGCAACTCGAATGGTGCACCACACGACTATGAAAGCTCTGATACGTCCCTCAAGTTGGGGTTAGTGTCTCATAATTTTCCATATAATACTAGCTTAGTTACTTTAATCATACTGATTATTATTTCCCTAACACGATTTTAACGGGAAAGGCATCATCATCATAGCAACCACTAAAAATGGTGGTTGAAAGTTTTCTTCTTTTGTTTACGATGATGGTTGTTATCTCTAACATTATTTCTAAAAATATATTCTTATGTCTTGTATTTTTACATTTTTGGTAGGTTGCCATACTCTGGATAAATGGGGAGAGCTGGAAGGAGAATGTTTTAGCATCCAATGAGTGCAAAACCATGGTTTGAAGTTGGAAGTGACTGACTCTGTTTGTATAATTTGTTTAACTTTAACCCAGTGCTGCCTTGCAATCCATGAATCCATTTAAGTACTTGTATACTTTGTTATTGCAAAAGTCCCAGTTTATATTATATGTGCTGCCTTGGCAATCCATGGAATCCAATTATACAGAAATGTGTAATACCTTTGGTTATTGCACCAAAGTTCATTCTATTATTATATATAAATAGTATATATATTTTATTATTAGTTATATCACCTAATTACTTTCATGGATCCAAATCTATGGAACCAATCTTGCAAAGTTTGTTTAGAGGGTTGCACGGTCCATAAGGGAATAAAGGATCACAGCAAGATACCATAAGATAATATTTTCTAGCTTTATGCACTACTTTATTTTATGTTGAATAGGTAAGACGTCATCATGAATGCTGAAATCAAAATTGAGATCGAATCGGCAATCCAACCATGGTCGTCATATGATTTCAGTTGTAAAATCAATAATCGAAAATAAATAATGGTTCAACGCGAAGCTTCTGGTTCACCACTCGATGACAGTAGTGATAAGAGTTTAAAGGACTTTTCATGCATTTTTAGATTGTCGCATCGATGTAATATTTTTATGGAATTGTATTTTCTTTGTGAGTGAATTATGTTATATAATAATGACATGTTTTGAATCTAAAAATTATTTTTAATTGGTTGTTAATACTGTGGTTATAAAAAGGAAAACATGGAAAAAAAATTAGCAGAATAAGCAAATTTTTTAAAATTTGTAAAGAAAATTGAAGTCTGGACATGAACTCTTATATATTTCATGGATCCAAATCTGGAACCATCTGCAAGTTTTAGAGGGTTGCGGTCCATAGGAAAAAGGATCACAGCAAGACATAAGAATATATTTAGCTATGCTCTTATTTATGTTGAATAGGTAGACGTCATCACTGATTGAAATCAAATTGAGATCGAATCGGCATCCAACCATGGTTAATGATTTCAGTTTTAAATCATAATCGAAATAAATAATTCAAACCGAAGGTTCTGGTTCAAAAATAGACAGTTTTAGATTTAGATTTTCATGCTTTTATTTCGATGGTTAATATTTTATTAATTTTTCTTTAGTGAATAGTTATAAATAATCTGTTTGAACTAAAAAGTTATTTTTAATTGGTTTGTTATATGGGTTATAAAAGGAAAACATGGAAAAAAATAGCATAAGCAAATTTAAATTAAAGAATTGAAGTCTGGACATGGAACTCTTATAAATGTAAAATAAAGCGTCAAAGTAAAGCATCTCTTTTTTTAGGAAAATCAATTGTCTTTGGTCAGCTAATATGTAATAACACCATATAGAAGAGCTCAGCAAAGACGTCACGTCCGTAGGCAAATAAGAAATTTGCAAGTTCCAGTCACCACTATATATATGCAAAGCTCGCATATCCCTTAGCCCATCACCAAACCATTTAAAAGCTTACTGCTTTTAACTCTCTGCAAACTCTTTGCTATTTTAGTTTATCATAAAAAAAATGGTAGCCAAATTGCCAGAGGAAGAGCATCCTAACCAATCCTTTGGATGGGCAGCAAGAGACCAAACTGGCCATCTCTCTCCCTTCAAATTCTCCAGAAGGTTGTTCTTCTTACTCCATAATTCTGTTATTAATTAATTTTAAATCATACAATTAAAACCCATAAAACCAAAAGTTTGTGAACAGTAATTGTATTTGTGTTCTGGCGTTTAATTATGCAATGCAGGGCAACAGGAGAGAAAGATGTAGCTTTTAAAGTCCTATATTGTGGGATGTGCCACTCTGATCTTCACATGGTCAAGAATGAATGGGGCTTTTCTACTTACCCTCTTGTCCCTGGGTAATTAAATTCTTCTTCTCTCATATATGTTTTTGTTAATTAGTCACTAATGAAACTCAAATATCATATTATTTTTACATTAGGGCTAAACGTTTGAAGGTTACCTGAGCTTTACTATAAAAATGCAGGCATGAGATTGTGGGAGTGGTGACAGTGGTGGGAAGCAAGGTAGAGAAGTTCAAGGTAGGAGACAAGGTAGGTGTAGGTTGCATGGTAGGATCATGTCGCTCCTGTGATAACTGCACAAACAATCTTGAAAATTACTGTCCAGAAATGATACTTACATATGGTGCTAAGTATTACGACGGAACAACCACCTACGGCGGTTACTCTGACTCAATGGTCGTCGACGAGCACTTCGTTGTTCGTATTCCAGATGTGTTGCCTCTCGATGCTGCTGCCCCTCTCCTCTGTGCTGGGATTACGGTGTATAGCCCATTAAGATATTATGGGCTCGACAAGCCTGGGATGCATGTGGGTGTTGTTGGGCTTGGTGGGCTTGGTCACATGGCTGTCAAATTTGCTAAGGCTATGGGGGTTAAAGTCACAGTCATTAGCACCTCACCTGCTAAGAAGCAGGAAGCTGTTGACCGTCTTGGTGCCGACTCATTTTTGGTCAGCCGGGACCAAGATGAAATCAAGGTATTTAAATAAATTGCGTTTCTAATTTGGGAAACACTTACCAAAGTCTGGATATATGTTTGGATCCAAACGAAGATATTTCTGATTTATATCTGATTTATACACAGAAGGAAAAATAACAACATAGTAATATTTTTTGAAAACATATATTTTTAATTGATTTAATGTATGAGACCATCCACATACTAGTTATAGGTAATAAATTTTCTTCTAAACGAAAGATAAATGATTCGGTGTATAAAATATTTTATATTTATAGGCTTTAGAAAGAATTAATACATACAATCTGTGTATTTTTTTTTTTTTATCTTTAAAGAAAATCTATTTTCGTAACTTAAAGCTGTTTAATATTGATAATATTTTGTTTTATAGGCTGCTATGGGCACAATGGATGGAATTATTGACACAGTGTCTGCAATGCATCCTCTCTTGCCTTTGATTGGTCTGTTAAAGTCTAGTGGAAAGTTAGTATTGGTTGGTGCCCCAGAGAAGCCACTCGAGCTACCAGTATTTCCTTTGCTAATGGGTAATTAGCAATTAGTCCTTAAATATGCCATACTAATTACTAATTAGTGTATATTTATTTCACTTTTCTCAATCATTAGTCATTCTGGATTATTATTATTATTATTATTATTATTTATTGTCATTAGGGAGGAAGCTAGTGGGTGGAAGTGGCATTGGAGGAATGAAAGAGACGCAAGAAATGGTAGATTTTGCAGCAAAAAATGGAATCACACCAGACATTGAGGTTATCCCAATTGAATATGTGAACACTGCAATGGATCGCATGTTGAAAGCTGATGTTAGATACCGATTTGTCATAGACATTGCCAACACAATTATGTCTACTCAGTGATTTTTGCAAGCAGATAATTATTATTCATTTGAAGTAGAAGTTTCAGGATTTATCATCACTTATCATATGTGATGTGAGGACCAACAAGTAATAAAATTGAATTGCTTTTTCTTTTTCTTTTTTTTCTTTTTTTTTTTAAGTTTTTTTATCATTATGAATCATGTGATGTGAGAAGCATTAAGCAATAAAAATTGGATTGCCCTTTTTTTTTTTTCAAAATTCTTATTTACTTCAAAAATTACACGCACAATTTATATAATATTATTACAGATTTAATATGTGTTAATATGATTTATAATATTTAGAGGAAACTTTACTTAACAAGAGGAACTTACTTAAACCGTTGGCTGATCCGTTAATCAATCTTTGACAGTGTTACGAACAAAACTTTAGGAAGGAAAGCACACGTAGCCTAAACCACGTGTAGAGTAATATTAACAGATTTAACCGAAAAGAAGGGACTTCCCGCTATAGACCTGCTCTCCTTTTCTCTCCTCTCTATGTAAGTTGCTTAAACAGGATTTCTTATTTCCATTTCATCTCTTTCACTTCAATCTCTCTCTATTTCTTTTAGGATTTCATCTTCCATTAATTGATCCATGGATGAAGAATACGACGTCATAGTACTCGGAACAGGTCTCAAAGAATGCATCCTCAGCGGTTTGCTCTCCGTCGATGGACTCAAAGTAATGTGCAAATTATCGACCCATTTGATTTCATATCTATCACTCTGATATTGATTTTTGTTCTTAAGTAATGTGTAAGCCATCCAACATTAGATCTCTAAACACAGATGTTGATTATTTATTAATTGGTTAAATCTTAATTTAATTTCAAATTTATCCAAAAATTACATAATATATATGTTTTAGGTTATTTATAGATGTTTGATATGTTTATGACAAAGGTACTGCATATGGATAGAAATGATTATTATGGAGGAGAGTCCACTTCCCTTAATCTAAACCAGGTGATTATTTATCTATTTTCTATGTAAAATATTTTTTAAAAAGATTGAAAAATCAGTTTCAATTGAATTCACATCAACACACGTTTGGTTTTGTAGCTCTGGAAGCGATTTAGGGGCGGCGATAAGCCTCCGGAATCCTTGGGCGCAAGCAGAGACTATAATGTTGACATGATACCTAAGGTATGGAAAAAAAGAAAATTTTGATTTTGATGCATTATAAATTTGCAATGATATTGAGATGAATGTATGGTAACAGAAGATTGAACAATATTAGAATGCAACAAAAGGTACAAGTAGTGATGTTTGGGATAAAATAAGAGAAAAACTTATGAGATTGTTTGGCCATGTCCTATGTATTGTAGCTCTGATTTGTAAGTATGGTACATTAATAGTGGACGGTGTTAAGAGTGAAGATGTAGACTTATGACCACTATGGAGGGCATTTATCTCAAAAAACCTACTGCTTCTTGGTATTAATTGCAGACTTAATTAATTAAACAAAGAGGAAACGAAGGATTCATATAGTTGAGATTAACACTTAGTTATTGTTGGTGTTATATATATGCATCTTAATGATAGTTATTCCATGTGATTCAACAGTTCATGATGGCAAATGGAGCGTTGGTTCGCATTCTCATTCACACTGACGTCACCAAATATCTGAATTTCAAGGCTGTGGATGGTAGTTTTGTGTACAACAAAGGAAAGGTTTTTCATCTACAGCTTGAGTTAATTACTACATTCTGTATAATAGTACAACATTTATCGCCTTGCTGTACATAGAATTGATTATGATTTGCAGATACACAAAGTACCAGCAAATGATGTGGAGGCATTAAAATCCCCACTTATGGGATTGTTTGAGAAACGTCGTGCTAGAAAATTTTTCATTTATGTTCAAGATTATGATGAGAATGATCCAAAGTCTCATGAAGGGCTTGACCTTACCAAGGTTAAAGCTAGAGATGTTATATCGTAATATCTCTACTACTTACCTCTCCATTTATCTGATTTTTTTTTGTTTTCTAAAAAAGTAGTAGTTATATTCTTGTTTGATGTAGGAAATATGGACTTGAAGATAATACCGTTGACTTCATAGGGCATGCATTGGCACTTTATGTCGAAGATAGTTTCTTGGACGAGCCTGCACTGGATTTTGTGAACAGGATGAAGGTAATAACTCTCCCCACTTCACCTTCTTTCCTGTTTTTACTTATTTCTTCTGTTGCCTTGATAGCTATATGCAGAGTCTTTAGCTCGTTTCCGAGGAGGATCTCCATATATTTATCCTCTTTATGGATTAGGAGAGCTACCCCAGGTATGTCTTCATATTACTTTGAAATCATATATATATAGAGAGGATTCATTCTAGTGCTCTAGTGATTAATTATTGTAGTTATAAATTTCGACAGGCGTTTGCTCGTTTGAGTGCTGTTTATGGTGGCACCTACATGCTTTGTAAGCCGGAATGCAAGGTAATGCTTCTAATTTTGTATGATTTTGCCTCGTTTTGTATTTTACTGAATCCAAACTGGACCTCATGTTGGCAGGTAGAGTTTGATGCAGATGGAAAGGCTTATGGAGTTACATCAGAAGGAGAAACTGCAAAATGCAAAAAGGTCGTATGTGATCCTTCATATTTGCCTGAAAAGGTAATTCTTTGAATATTAAAGATTACATCACCTTAGATTACCAAAACAATGTAAAAAATGATAAGGAGTTCTACTCTTCCACTATGTCTTTGATCCTGCTTTCAGGTGAAGAAGATTGGGAAAGTAGCTCGTGCTATATGTATTATGAGTCATCCGATCCCACATACGAGTGATTCTCACTCGGTTCAGGTTATTCTTCCTCAGAAACAACTCAAGCGAAAATCAGACATGTATGTCTTCTTTCTTTCGTGTACCTCAAAGCTATTTTTAAGTCTGGACATCTGATCATACATTGCTTCATCCCTACTTCATAGGTATCTATTTTGCTGCTCCTATACTCACAATGTAGCTCCAAAAGGGAAATACATTGCTTTTGTTACAACAGAAGCAGAGACTGATGATCCTGAAACAGAATTGAAGCCAGGCATAGATCTCCTTGGATCGGTAGATGAAATATTCTTTGACACTTATGACAGATTCAAGCCTACTAACCAGCACGATGTGGACAACTGTTTCATATCCACAGTGAGTGTACATATATATATATTAGTGAGTCGATCCTGATCCGTCCACACACTACGAGAAGTGATTCTCACTCGGTTTCATGGTTATTCTTACCTCAGAAACAAAACTCAAAGCGAAAATCAGACATGTAATGTCTGTCTAATTATTCAGTGTAACCCAAAGTTGCTTCTATTAATATTTAAAGTCTCGGAACATACTGATCATACATTGCTTCCATCCCTAAGCTTCATAGGTATGCTATTTTGCTGCTTCCATATAACTTCACAAATGTAAGCTCAAAAGGGAATACATTGCTGTGTTGTTAACAACAGAAGCAGAGACTGAATGATCCTGAATACAAGAAATTGAAGCCAGGCATTTAGACTCCGTCCATAAGGAATCGGTAAGAAGCTGAAACTAATTCTTTGACACACTGTTTTTTCGTAAGGGAGAGGATTTTACTCTTGAGGGAAGGAACAGATTTCACACCGCCTGTACGTAAACCAAGCACGATGTGGACCAATCTGTTTTCAATATCCTCAGCCAGTTGAGTGTAACATATAGAATAGTAGTAATATATGTACTATATATCTACTCACTTATATAGTATATAAACACGAGGCACTTGTTCTTTGTCACTTAATTTCAATAGCTAAACAGATTTTATTCAATATATCTGAGAAATAATCTCAATATAAACACAACTTCATTTCTTTGTTCACTTATTTCATAGCTAAACAGATTTTATAATATATCTGAGAAATAATCTCAACAGAAAACAATTACAATTTCATGGTGTTATTGCATGCTGATGTAATTGAAATATCCCTGCAGAGTTATGATGCAACCACACACTTCGAGACTACTGTGGAGGATGTGATTGCCATGTACAGCAAGATAACTGGAAAGGTATTTTTTGTTTCTGATAGACTACTGGTCTTTTTGCCCTCACTGAATAAGGATAAATATTACTAAGTCTAAAATATGTAATTAAGATATAAAGATGAAATAAACAGTCTAAAATCAGTTGGTTTCGGTTCTACCTTTCTTATAATTGGAACCGGAGATTCTGAAACCGTGTCCACGACTAATTGAATGCCAAGGTGACTAATCAGTTTGTGCTATGTATCAGAAACTTGACCTGAAAGTGGATCTGAGTGCTGCTAGTGCAAGTTCTGAAGCCGAAGGCCAAGAATAAGAATGAAGTCATGTGATGGGGCCCTCACAGACTGAATGATAAACAGCTGCAAGAACTCTTGGTGCTACATTTTTTTTTCCGTTAAATTGTTTTGTGGATTTCCATTGTGGATAAAACTATTTTGTAGAGAATTTAAATTTTCCTTATTATACAGAAACTATTTTAGCCATTAAATTTAAATTATTTAAATATAAACAGTTAGATATAAAACTAATCAAATGACTAGTTACCTGTTCTATAGGTTAACATAAGAATGTTGAATCTGTTTTTTTTTTTGTTTTTTTAATACATCTATAACTCTATTATATTATCCCCCCAAAAAAAGTGTTGGTCTTGTAACCCAAAACATATTATATGAAATTAGTATCACTAATTGAATGATTAAAAAAATATATCAACATTAAATTAATTTGCTGTTAAAAAAATTAAGAATACAAAAGGCAATGCTAGTGAAAAAAAAAAGAACGATAACAAATTATTGATAACTTGTTAGTAAAAGCTTTTCATCGTAGGCAATTAATTGTTTTAGCAGAGATTTTATATTCTTTTGCGAATGCACCGTCAAGTTTTGTTCTATATGGCTACAGAATTTGTGCTTTTTGATTGTTAGAAACAGAAAAGAGAGGATAAAAACACTATGGGGTGAGCTTGGATCCAACGCTACTTTATCTTCAGTCACATATTCTCCCAACTGAGCTATCCCCCTTTGATGTTAATTAGATTGACTTAGTAACAATTGACCACAAAAGCCAAAGTTTCATCTAATTGTTCTAAATATGATAAAATTTTTGTAAAATAATAAAAAGTTAATTAGTAAAAAATGTTAACATTGGATAGCTCTAGAAATTGGTAGAAATCATTATATACCAAAGTTTCATCTCTAATTGTTCTAAATATTGCGGATAAAAGTGTATCCTGTAAAAATAAAATAAAAAAGTTAATTAGTAAAAAAATGTTAACATTGGAGTAGCTCTAGAAATTGGTAGAAATCAATTAATATATATATATAACCATTATATAATAAATATTATTATATAATATGATATATATCATTTTAAATTATATAAAAGGAGAAATCATTGAATTTTTATATTGGGTGCTTGACCCCCGTAGTACAAATATGAGTAATGTTAATTTAAATTTAATTTTAAGTACAAAAATTGTAAAATTTTTGAACGAAAAATTTATTATTTTTCATTAAAAAAAAAATTTTTTATAAAGGAGAATCATTGATTTTTATTGGGTGTTGACGTGACAAAATGAGTATGTGTATTTAATTAATTTAAGACAAAAATTGTAAATTTTTGAAGAAAAATTTTATTTTTCATTAAAAAAAATCTTTCGGTTTTTTATTTTTTTTATTAATTTTTTATGAGTTTGTTGACCATTGCATCATTTTAAGTATTTCATGATGTATGTTTTGAATTTGACATGACGATCTTTTAATAACATATATAAATTGGCTAAAAAAGCATTAGCCAGTTTATTTGAGTTTCCAAATAAGAAATTTAGATATTTTAAATGAGTTTTTTTATATTTTTTTCAGCTATTTGATTACGGCATACACAGTTGTTCTCAAACATTAATCAATCCTGTAAGTAAAAACGTACATTATATATTTAGTACTTATTATGTCAATTTTTTTATTCAAAATAACCATATTGATCTAAAATATTAAATGTGTCTTCTTAAAATTAAAATCCTTTTCTCTTTTAAATGATGATATGTTCATAAATTGGCCTAAAAAAATATTTTATAAAACAAAGAATCAAAACAAAAAATATAAATATGGACAAAAAATATATTACTAAAAATATATAAAATATGAATTACAATAAAAAAATAATAGTTTTCATATATTTATATATGCGGTTTTTATACTTCAAATTATTATTCCAAGGGGATAAACATTCTCACTAATTTTTCCATCAGTATTTCATGTTTATAAAGTAATATACTTTTTCTATTTCGATTGGTCACATGCAAATACTATATTAATATTTTTTTTTTCCTTTCAAGTTTATTACAATAACTCACTCATTAGTTAGGATAAAACTTGTGATCATTAAACTAATAAATATTCTGTTAAAATTTATTTATTTATTATCAAAATCAAATAAAATACTTTTACTCTCATTTTACTTTGAGGAGAGAAGTGAATTTTATCTAATACTTTAATTTAAACATATAAATGGCTCATTATTTACAATGAATTTTATTTATGAAATTAAAATTGTGATGTTTGCCATAATAATGTCATGACCCGATTTCATGGGCCGGACAGGCACTAGGGCCCAGGTAAACTTAAAGCCCCCGAGGCCCATAGTAAGCCTAACTAAAAACAAATTAAATTATATCCATGTAATTCTAAGTATTAAGCCCATATTGCCATGCGAAAAAAAACCTCATAGTCATATTATGATTCAGCCCCAAATTTAACATCTTAAACATCCCACAGATCGAGCCCAATTTACAATACATCACATTTATACAATGGGCTCACAGAATTATTTCATTCATAATAATAAACGACTAAAAGTATACAAATCCTACAATTGCGGAGTCACTAACTGTTTGATATACAGAGCTTTTTATACACATAATTACATAGTTCATACATAATAAACGAACTAATGAAGTAATTAGAACCACAATCCTACAAGTAAATTCTACAACTGCGGAGTCACTAACTATTTGGTATACATAGTTTTTTTTATACATATAGTTACATAGCAAAATATTTATGGAACTAGAAAAATTTCTCTATTGCCCTGCGTCGAACAAACATAGCCTAAATCGAATTAAAGGAAAAACTTACTTCCTGAAAAAAAATCAAACAAGACATGTGAGTTTTCTAAGCAGTAGTAATTATTGCACAACACACGCAGTCACACAAGTGTGTAAAAATATCAACCTAGTCATCCGACTAGGTATATGCTCACACAGCCAGCCACACAAATGGCATATCACCAGCACTCACAATTATTAACATCTTCATATAATCACATCACGTGGAAATTAGTCAGTGGAGTCACCGAACCCCCCTTGAAACCCAAACGAGCCGTCCTCACACATGGCTCGCCCTCTCGTACATGTGCACTAGGGAGCCGATCCCCCATACGGCCAACTGGTCTAATGCTCACTGACCAGTCCTCTCATTGTTTTTCCAGTCTCTCGTTTCTTTTCCATATCAACAGGAGGCAACCCGGTGGTCTCCATCCAATCTAGATTATATCTAGATTCATCAAGTTTGCTCAAACAACCAGGAGGCCAACCCTGCGGGCTAACAATTCAAAATTTCTAGATTATCAGTGTGCGCAACAACAAAGGAAGCCATCCTGTGAAAAAGCCATCCTGTGAATTTCCATATAATCTATATCATCAGGTGCACAAGGGGGCGCCGATCTCCCATTTTCCCGACCGACGGTCAAGTACCATATCGTATTCAGGATCCATATCACAAACCGTCCTCACAAACCCATGGTGATCCACTTCATCCCAATTCCATACAAACAAAGCATAGCATTATCACGACACAATTAATCAAGTATTGCAATTTAAATGCAAACATGTTGATCAGTTAAACATCGTAATGCAATGCACATGTAGACATCCAACATCAAAAGCAAATAAATAAGTAAATAGTGTTAACAACAAACATCAATAATAATAATAAATAATAATAATAATAAACAATAGTAATGAAAATAAATAAATAATTAGCTATCAAATTATAGAATTTATCTAAATAAAAATAGAATTTATTTCTAAATAAGCCTTATTTATTATGTTATAATTAAAACTGATCTAAGGTTCTATCGAAATTTCGGACAGCATCTCCCCCTTAAAAGTGGGATATCTACCTGCTTTTAAATATCAGCAATATTATTATCCATCAACCATTACCAAAACACAAAAGGCCCATCCATCGGCAATCAAATAAATTAATTTCCCTTCCTCCATTATCAAGCTAATTAGTATTAAATATTAATCACAATACAAAACTTTAGCCTATTAACAATCCAAGCGTTTTGCTATTCTAAGCGTTAAGCCCATACATTAAAAATAACAAATAAAATGAAAATAAACATTTACTTAACCACCAACATTCTACTGGTTTTTAAAGTATTCCATATATATATATATTATATATATATATATATTATTTGTTCAGTAACAATATCCAACTAATAATTCACACACTTTTCTTTTCTTTTCTTTATCATTATTATAACTAACGATCCCGGAATACAACTTAATAATATGTTGAATTTCATTCATTTCTTTGGCCCAAGCAAAAATTTCAGCGGTAAACGAAACCCATTTTATTCGTCTCTCAAATTCAAATCATAAATAAGCATTTATACATCAATCATCATGGAATCTTGAAAGTACGCTCATTTACATATATTTATCATTCTAAAACAACACAAAAAAAATCAAGGTAATTGCTGTCAATTCGAAAAAGAATTAGAGTTTTTCTATCTTAAAATCATGGATCACACCAACTAACTAATTCCACGCAAGAATTAGATTTACAACCTTAATTGTACCATGCTCAACAAAAATCAATAGAAATAATTGAAGATAGCTGCTGCTTTTTACCAGAAATTTCTCAGTACTCATTAAACTTTGTCATTAGTACCTTTACACTTCATTAGTACCTTTACACTCACAACAAATTATGTAAGGCACATTCGGTTCCATTTCAACATAAACATTCGGTTCAAGCCAAAAATCCGCTGAATTTCGCTAATAAGGGCTGCCATTTTATTCAAAAGAAAACCTTAAGTGTTTTGGTTTATTAAACTTACACACATTTTATACGATTGGTTAACCACATTTTCCACATACAAGAACTTCAATTTTACAACTTCATTTTTGCTTTTCATATCACAAGATTTTAGTTTAAGAATTAAAACTAAAATGGCTGCTTGCCAACCTTAAGAAAATCCCAAAGTTTCTCGCATCCAAAATCCATATTATAAACACTTTAGTTTGACTTCATTTACTCATTTACCAACAAAAACTTAACTTATCATGTCAAATGCCTCATATCAAAGCAGAAATTTTGAGCAAATGGCTAGGTTGGCTGCTACCATATCACAATCAATCTAATTTCTTTCATAGGATCTACAATAAACACCCTAACTTACACATTTCCTTGAAAAATGCAGTTATAGCGTCGATTTAATAGTCAAAAAAATCAGATTTTTCCCAACTTTTAGTCGTGTGAATAGTGTTTCAGGAACCTAGCATTTCTCATTCATGATTCTACCAACCCTTTCCTCAAATGAACTATTGAATAAGACAATGAACTATTGAATAAGTTAAATAATTGAAGGAAAAAAGGGATCATATAGAAGCTCACCAAGGTTATTTGGAATGCGACTCTTTACCTTACTACGAGCTTGTTGATCGCAGGCTTCTTTGGTTCGCTGCGCACAGCCGGAACGGGAAGGAGATCAATAAATCGCCTAATCTATACAAAATAATTTCTAAAGGAGAGAAGTGGGAGGACAATCAGCTTACCTCGTCGGAGATAGTCGTCGGAGTTGCTCGGAGCGAAGGACGGAAACGCGACTGTCTCGATCGGGCTGAAGTCCCAGCTTCGCTGTGACTTTTGCGCTCACCAGAAACGAAAACAGAGAGAAGGGAAAGGAAGGCCGGGCTACTGCGGCGAGGAGTCGAAGGCGAGGAGGCGCGGCGCGGGTCTCTGGTCGTCAGAAAAATGAGAGGAGGAGAGGGCGAGGGTAAGGTCGATGCTGGAGGAAGAAGAAAGGAGAGAAAAAAAGAAAGAAAGAAAGTAGGTCGATTTCTAGATCATTCCGGTTCGATTTGGACCGGTTTGGTCTGATTCAATGATTTGGCTCGATTTTTGGCTCGATTTGCAGGTTTTCTAATCCGATTTGATTTATTTTGATTCTTTTAGTTAGGTTAGGCAATGATTAAAATACCACGTGGTTATTTAATCTGCGTTGGTTTGAAAAATAAAAAAATTTTAGTTCCGGTTCGATTCGAACCGGTTTGGTCCAATTAAGTGATTCGACTCGGTTTACAGATTTTCACCTAGTTTTCGAAAAACTCAAATTGGTTTACAGATCCGATTAGGCAATGATAAAATACCAGGTGGTATAATCTCGTTGGTTGAAATAAAAAATTTAGTTTTTAAATGAAAATTCTACAAAATTAAATTTTCGGATCGTTTCAAATAATAATAAAGAAAACCTAAGATTTGATAAAACTTTATTTGATGATGATATAAAAAGTTCAAAATTTTATAAGAAGTAAATTGACATTAATCATAATTTAATTAAAAAAAAGTTAAAAGAATAGCTTCATAGTTAAATGATAAAATCAAAAAGAGAAAGTTCCTAACTTATAAATTTCACTAAATTGTAGAAATTAAATAAATAAATCCCTCAGTTGATAATTTTATAACAACTTCTACAATAACTACTTCCTCTGTTTCAAAATATAAGTCGTTTTGAGTATTTTAAAGAATAATAAATGATGTTTTTTAATATTGACCTTATTTACATTAAATACAATAATTACCTTCATAAACCATTCTTGATTTGAGATAAGAGATAATTTAGTTAAATTACCTTTGATTTTATTATAATTTAAGAGAATTAATTACTTTTTTAATCTATGTGCAATAGTTTTAAACTGACTTATATTTTAATTGCTTCTTTAATCGTGCAATAGTTTTAAACTGCCTTATCTTTTAAAATCAAGGGAATAACATGTAACACTTTTACACTTCCCCATATTTTTCAATACACATAACACTTTTGACACACGTGGTATGATGTTTATTTATTTCAAGAATAGCCGCTCACATTGTACCAATGCTTGTCGCAATCTTATAACTATACAAGAAAATTAATATTTTCCGGTATTCACACGTCATGGAAAGTAACGACGGATTTTGTTTAGGTAAAATAATTAATTCGTCATGAGATTTGACTAAACTAACTAAGTTATCTCTACAGTTTGATAATATTAGATAATAATCCCTAAGGTTTACCTTCGTCAGACTACTTAATCATTCCGTCCATTTTCTCTAGATTTTTCCGTTAAAAAAGACTACAATACCTTGAAACATAAAAATGGAAAATAATTAATTTATTCCTAAGGTTTGACCAAACTAATTAAGTCATTCTTGCAGTTTAGCAATATTAATTAATGATCCTTGAAATTTATCTCCGTCAAACTATTTGATCATTTTGATTATTTTCTCCTTATTTTTTTATTAAAACTTAAAAAAGAAAGACTAAAATATCATTACACTTAAAGAAAAAAAAAAAAAGACTAAACTAGCCTAGGTTAGAATTTCCATTTGTCGTGGATGAAAAACGAAAAATCATGGTATATATATTGATTATTTGATATTCATCCAAAAAAAAATGATCAATATATATCACTTTACTATCTTGAGCCAAAAAAAAAAAAAATGAAGAAGAAAAATATACATGGACTTAATTTCAATAAAAACAATAGACATTTAATTTTAGGTATCAATATTCCATATAACAAATTATTTTATATATTTCCTTACAAACTACAATTGATGAAATCAAAGTAGGACCATAGAAATAGTAAGAGTTTTAGAAAATAAAAATAAAACAATTCACCCTTTTTGCAAAATTTCAATTATAAATTTCATAAAACTTAACTATTAGGACAAATTAACTATTTACCCTTTTTAAATGTCAAGTTATTTTAATATTTTTTAAAGATTTTAATGAATAAATCTGAAAAAAATGGATGAAAAACCAAATAATTTGACAGATGTAAATCTCAAAAACCATTAATTAATATTATTAAACTGTAGAGATAACTTAATTAGTTTGATCAGGCCTCAAAGACGAATTAATTATTTTCCCTTTTGTTTATTACAACCAAACAACAAAAAATGTAAATAAGTTTTTTTTTTCTTAGAATTATTCAAAAAAATAAAAAGTAATTTTCTTAGAAAAATGTTTCCTCCAGATTTTTCTACACCTACATGAAGGTTATTTCTATGGCACAAACAAAGCCCAAGTTTTCTTGTTGACATCAATCCAAATGAAGCTGATAAAAGCAAGAAAACTTTTCAAAAATAAAATTCTTTACTACATGGATAAAATTACTAATAAACCAAAGATAACACATCAGAAAATTTGCTTCCATTCTATTCCTTTTTTGACTTTGAGAGAGCTTTCTTCCTCTGACCAAGCATGTAGCTGTACATATGAGGGCTGCCTGCAAGAGATCATGACGTTTAACCAACAGCAGTTGGCTAAAGAAAAAGTAATCCAGTCAATAAAAGGGATTGGATCTACTACAGAGTATAGAGTTCCTACCTGGGACATAGACTCCTAGAACAAGAATTGCAGCATAGAAGTCGTCAAAAGAAAAATTCCATTTATTTGGTAACCTTATACAGTGCCTCTCATATTTCTGCACATACTTCAGTTTATTAGTAATTCATACTCCAAACAAATAGTTCAATAACAAAAATGTCACCTTTCACCATAATTCATGTTCTTCAAAGCGTAAGATTCATAAACAGAAAAGGATTTACTACTGAAACACCCACCTCCTTGTTTGGTATGACTGAATTTGAAGTATATAATTCATAGATAATGTTGAATTCTACATAATTTAATTCACAGGAGCATAATGAACATTTTCTTCAGTACCAAACACAAAAACTTGTAGATTTAATTTGTACCAAAACAGGCATAAATGGCTGACCAGCTTCCTGTGTAAAACTTTAGCCTTTCCCATTCATATCTCCCCACTATAATGACTCGGATATAACTCTTCAGTACACTGAAAGGAGTTTCCATGCACCTTACCAAGGCAAATTTTCAACAGCCAGTATTTCTGTGTGCACATGCATACTACCCTTAAAACTAACAAGAAAATCCTAAAAAATTAACATAGACCTCAACAAGACATGTTCATGAATGTACCAGCCTGTCAAGTGTTCAGCAGTTGGAAATTACCTGGACATACAGTAAATAACATTTCATCACTCTTTACCTTAATATATGGCAAGGCAAAATATATCAGACCAACTTCACTGCTGATACCAGTGGGATACAACAACAAAAAGGTGCTATATCTGTACACCACAAATTGAATATTCATTAAACAACCACATATAATTCAACATTTCCACCCCTTGTCAGTAAGCACAAATCATGTAGATTGTACCTGAGCCACAAGAGCCATGAAGGTGCAAAACCAAGTGCCTCCTTTGTACCAAAGAAAGAATACCGAATTATCTGCACAAAAAAAAAAAAAAAAAACCACATATAATTCAACATTTTCCAAACCCCTTGTCAGTAAGCACATAATCATGTAGAGATTGTACCTGAGCCACCCAAGGAGCCATGAAAGGTGCCAAAACCAAGTGGCCTCCTTTGTACCCAAAGAAAGGCAATACCGAATTATCTGCACCAAAAAAAAAAAAAAAAAAATAATGGTTTAGTTATTGACTTCAGAGGAAATTCCCAACATTCTTTCAAATACAGTCCACCAAAAAAAAAAAAAAAAAAATGTTTAGTTATGACTCAGAGAAATCCCAACATTCTTTCAATACAGTCCACCAAAGAGAACTTTGGAGCCAATCCAAAGTGGAAAAACTTGTTTTGTGTGCTTTAGTTTTGATTTATAGGTCACCTCATCTAAAGGGGGTCAGAAAAGTCAATATACAAAGATGTTTAGTCCTTAGCTGTTTGTTTTATATCTATTGATGAATAGTGAGAATACTCACATAACCATTTCATCAAATACTTCTCATATGCTTTTTAGCCCAAGTTATGAAAGATATACTAAGATCTGTGAATGCATAAAACAAAAATTAAGGGCTGCCTATGAAGTTTTTAACAAACAGAAACCGGTGATCAGACCTTATCAAGTACTGAATCATAAATTAACTTTGCATATATGAAAGTAATTGTTTTTTAGATGGAAATTTCAAAACAAAGGATACTTATTCTCATTCTGCTGGGTAGAAAATGTACTTGATAGTGACAATTTTGCTAAAAGAATATAATCATATCAAATATTTGAATTCTGCAGATAAGCTTTGTTAGTCCCTGGCTAAGAATCATAACTTGAAAACTGTAAATCCTATATCATACCCCTACTATTAAGAAAGTGGTTGGAAGTAAGATCCAAATATGACTTAATACTTGATAAGAACAAACAAAACAGAACCTGATTGATCATTCTGCTTGAAATCTTAAAAGAAACAAGAAGAAAAGAAAACAACTTTCTCCATCCATTTGGAGAGCTCTATTCAGTGATTCTTTCATACAATTGGTGCGCACACAGTTCATAACTAATAGCCACTGATTATCTCTAATAATTCCATTGCACTCTGTTCTGTCTTTCGAATTTCTTAATAGCATTTCAATAAACCAAAATCAAACTATAAAGAAAAACCATGCAACTGAAGTAAACAAAAAGAATTGATATCAGCAGAAACTTATTTACAACACATACCTCAGTGATTGACCAACTGATAACCAAAGAACTAACAAGAAAATGAGTTCGAATCTGCCAATTAATCAAAGATTCACCATTTTCAGATCAGATTGATTTCTAATTTTCGGAATCAAAATAGTCATCATTCCATCAGTAACTAGTGAGAAAGAGAGAGAGGTGAGGGATCTAACCTCAGGGAAACTATACAAGATGGCCCATGTTACATACAATCTTGAACCTATCTGTGGAAGTGTTGCTGTTATTGGAGACCTCACCAAGCCTTTTTCATTACACAGATTAAAAAAAAAAATTTAAAAATCAACAAGTTCTTTAATTATAAAAGAGCTTATAAAATGAAGAATGCCAATTAAAAGAAAAGTGGAGCTCACTCACCTACTAGACCATGAAGAATCTGCTCCAAACAAAATTTAAAACAAACCCAGAAAAAAAAATTTTAATTTAGACATGGGAATTAACCTAAGTTAGAAAAGAAACAGAAATGAAGAAGCACTGGGCATAACAACATACTTCCAAAACCGCAGCGGTTTGAGCAAGAAGCAGAGGCTTCTCAACAGCATCATAGACATTTTCATGACCTGATTCTTTCAAAGTTTTGACAGCAAGAAACAACACCTGAGACCTGAAACCTCAAACAATAAATAATTGTAAGGATTGAAAATTAAAGAATAGAGATTGGAAAAAGGAGAGATCTGATAGAGGAAAAGGTGAAACTTGCCAGCCAACGAAGACTGCCCAGTTATAGGCGGTGAGGTATAGGCGTCTGAGGAGTGACAAAAATCCCGCCATGAGAGAGGATTTAAGTTTTAAGTGGTCAATTACAAAGCAATATAGACATCCAGGTTGGATTTATAGAGAGAATGAAGTGAGACCTAGAGCGAGAAGAAAATGAGACAAGCAATTAGGATGTAGTTGGGACCGGTGGGCTGTTTAACTACTCTGATCTAATTTAATGATATGAATTCCGAAACAAATGCCACAGTGCTTATTAATGAAGCCTTTCGCTTTATGGTCTTGTGACTGCCAACTACTCCTTTGCTTTTTAGAAAAATTATTTTATGGTGTTGTTTTTAATTTTTATAAGGAGAAAATTACTTAAAATGATAATTTTAGGTTTAATGTAAAAGTAAAAGGTCTAATATGTACTTTTCTGGTTTTTAGTTTAAAAATTGACTTTAGAAATATTTTAGAAAAAGGCAGGCAATTAATGTTTAAAAATATATATCGTGCTATTAGAAAATAAGAACTTCTTGGCACGAATATATTAAATTTTTTGAGTTACCAAATATAGCTTGAATGATGTACATAATTTTTATGTTTAATAATTAAGTTTGCACGTACAATAAGAGTTACTAACAACTCTAATAAATCCAGAACGAAAAAAAATTTCCCTTCAAATGACAGTACTTAACTCAAAATTATTGTTCTTATTTCTTCTTGAATGGTAAAGAGAGAGAGCCCAAACCCTAATTATGTTGCACACTCTCACCCTCTCCTTCCGTTCACGGTTGGAGGTTAAAAAACTACATAAAAATAACTATTGTGTTTGTGTTAATTTAATCATGTTTTGGTGGTTCTATTGATAATGTATGAAAAAATATAAATGATTTGTGTTCGTATTTACAATGTTAGTTTGCAAACTTCAATAACAAAATGTTTGCACATGAAAATAGTTGTGTATACTTATAATTTTGTTCTCATAAACAACTTTATCTAGACAACTTAAAGTATTGTAAACACCGAGAATAATTAATCCACATTTAAAGCCAACATTTTTGTTTTGTTGAAATTCTAAGCAAATAAAACTCCTAATTTGAATAACACATCCTCTTTCTCATCCTTTACCACATTTTTATTGGAATTTATGATCACTTAATTGTCTTTTCAAGATTAAATTAAAAAAAAATTCACCTCTTTAATCTTATAGAAATTTTGACTTTCTCTATATAAATAAACCGAATGGAGTATATTTTTATGTGACTCTAATCTAATTCAATTAATTATCAAATACTCTCTCTGTCCTAAAATATAAGTTGTTTAAGGGTTTTGCACAAAAATCAAGAAAACAATTAATTCTCCTACATTAGAATAAACTCAAGGGTAATTTGATCAAATTGTCATTTATCTCAAAATTAATAGTTACTTGTGAAAGTATTTATTGTATCTAATATAAAGAAGGGTAACATTAGAAAAACATCATTTATTACTCTTAAAATACTCAAAAACAATTTATATTTTGGAATAAAATAATCATCCAAAAACGACTTATATTTTGAGGACAGAAGGAGTACTTGTTTCTAACTTTCCTTTTGAGAAAAAAAACTTCATTTCTAACTTTCAACTATGGATGAAAACCAGGCGGATACTCTCGAATTTTGAGCCACCCATATTCGTATTCATTTAAAATTTTACTATTTGCACCCATCATAAATTCATTTAAGTACTTATATCTGAACCATTTAAAAATCTCACTATTCATACTTGTTGCATACTCGCTTAAAAGTACACATTAATTCATATCCATTTGAAATTTCACTAACCGTATCCATCTCAAATTCGTTTAAGTACCTATTTGAACACATTAAATGGGTAGAGTATCTATAACAAATTTGTTTAAGTACCCATTTAAAATCTTACTATTTGTACTCGTCTCATACCCGCTTAAAAGTACGCATTAAATGGTTAAGGTATCCGTGGCTACCCATGACCACACAAGTTTAATATGTCGTCCCGCTTCTATCTCTACTTTCAACTTTTTTTTTTTTTTTTTTGGTTAGAGGTAGCCGTTGGCTACCCATGAGCCACACAAAGTTTAGATAGTCCGTCCCGATTCTTATCTGCTATTTCAACTTTCTACTTTCAACTTTTTTTTTTTTTTTTTTGAATATTGGGAGAGGGAGATTCAAACTTGTATTTATTGTCGAGTAGCATAAGTAGCATATGTACTTACTATTAGACTATGTATTGATGTGCTTCAACAAATATTTTTGAAAAGCTTAAATAACCAAAAAAGCATGAACTTTGCCATTTTATAATTTAGTCAATTCTTTTAATTTTGGCAATTGTAGTAATGATATTTTTTATTTATAATTATAATATTTATTTTGTATCCGTTATGAAAAAAAATATATAAAAATTCCTTAGAAAAATCCTTGTTGAAATTGACAAACCAAACAATACAATAACTTAAAATTTTCTCAAAACCCATATTGAGATGAGAGTGAGGAATCTGTTTTGAAACTAACTTCACTAAAACAAACTTTAATTAAATTTTAGAAATAGAAATCCATTTTAAAAATTTCTTAAATTTCCCATTATCCAACATATGTTAGCCATTAAAAAAAAAAGAAAAAAAATAAAAAACAAAGAGAGTTTGGAATTTCGAGTAACCTACCCATGGTCTCAATCCAAAAAAATCAATTTGAGAAATTACTATTATTGAATGTGAATCCAAAATCTCCATTGAAAGTAAGAATAAATTGATTCTATCTAAATTTTAGGGTTGAAGTGTTGAATCCAAGGTAGGTGTCATGCTCGACTCCAACCACCAAAGGAATTATCCGCTTTGAATCAAGCTAATTCCATCCCATACAAGTTTGACAAGACCCACACGATTTTGTCTCACAGGTGAAATGGAAAACTTCCTGGGAGGTCACCCATCCTAAGATTTCTATTAAGCGAGCACGCTTAACCCTAGAGTTCTTCCAACTCTCCAAGTCATTCTACTAAAAGGCACTTCTGATGATTAGTTTTTTTCCTTTTCGATATATGATCCAATTCATTCTTGTGTCGGCATTCCACTATCCATAGCTAGCCTATCATCCTAAAAGCTAGCCAAAAGTTTTGCTCTCCCGCTCTCTTAAGATTGTTTTGCTGGGTTAGAATGTCATACGCCCACTAGCTTCCGCGTGGTTCATCCTCGAACCATACATCTACTGGAGGGGGTCCAACTCTAATAATAATTATCACACCCGACTCCAACCATTAGAGGAATTATCCGACTTTGATACTAATTGTCACATCCGATTCCAACCACTAGAGGAATTGTGTGACATCCCAGGTTTGGGGTACAACACCTTAGGCGAATCCCACATCGGCTACGCACAAGGTGGAGGTCCTATACATAAAGGGTGGCAACCTTGAACATGGTAGACGCATTTTGGGCTGGCAGAGCGGAGGTTTTCCCTGGCCCAAAAACAAAAACCGTGAGGGTTAAAAACAAAAACCGTGAGGGTTTCAGGCCAGGGTTTGGCACCAAAGCGGATAATATCTACCATGGGCTGGGCTGTTACCAATTGGTATCAGAGCCAAGCCTTGTCCCTTGGCCGGTGGTGGGGCAAACCTCAGCGAGGACGCTGAGTCCATAAGGGGGGGTGTATTGACATCCCAGGGTTTGGGGCACACACCTTAGGCGAATCCCACATCGGCTTAACGGCACGTAATGTGTATTGGGATGAGGGCGTTGGATGCGCAGACGACTGAGAGAGTAGGCGGGTGGACAAAGAGGTGGAAGTCCTATACATAAGGGTGGCAACCTTAAACATGGTAGACGCATAGGTGGAAGTCCTATACATAAAGGGTGGCAACCTTAAACATGGTAGACGCATTTTGGGCTGGCAGAGCGGAGGTTTTCCCTGGCCCAAAAACAAAAACCCTGAGGGTTCAGGCCAGGTTTGGCACCCAAAGCGGACAATATCTACCATGGGCTGGGCTGTTACAAATTGTCCGCTCTGGATCAAGATAATTTCATCTCATATTGGATTGGCAAGACCCACACGGTTTTGTCCCGTAGGTGAAATGAAAAACTTTCCAGGAGGCTATCCATCCTAGGATTTCTTGCTTAATTCTGGACTTCTTCCAACTTTCCAAGCCATCCCATCAAAAGACGCATATAATGATTAGTTTCCCCTTTTCGATATACGATTTGATTCATTTATATGTGCCGCATTCCACTACTCATAATTAGCTTGCCATCCTAGAAGTTAGCCATGAGTTTTGCTCTACCTGCCCTCTTAGGATTGTTTTGGCAGTCCAGGATGACATAGTAAGGGTGAAAGGCAAAAACTAAGGAAGATGAAGTTAGGAGAATGCATGACAATGATGTTAGGAGATGAAAAAGTGGAGGCCGAGGAAGATGAGCAAACAAAGAAGATAGAAAAAGGCTGAAGAAGATGAATTCATGTGAGAAAGGGTTGAGAGCGAAGAGAATGGAGGATGAATGATTAAGGGTAAAGAACTCTTTATATCCTTTGATTGCATTTTAATTCTTCTGACACAGGGTAAAATAATAAAAAAATAGACAGAATGACTAAAGATTTAGACACATACAAAAGTTAAGGATGTAATAATGTTTGAAAAGAAGTAAGGAAAATGTAGTGTATTTGACCATATCTGAGAGACTAAATAGTAATTCTCCCTATTTATTATTAATAAATAGTCAAATTTTCAGAAAAAAAATTATTTGACTACTCGTGAATTTTATAAAAGAATTAAATAATCCAACAAAGATAAAATTAATGAAACATTTAATTAAATTGTTAAAATAAGAATGTTGATTAGAGAAACCATTCTGGGTTGTAATAATTGTATCCTAAAATGAGCTTAATACCCGAGACACCCTAATTTAAATTTTTGACATAATTGCACCCCAATCTCAAAATTGATCAAAATTAGCTTTAAAAAAATAATAAACGTGGGTTCCGCATAAGTTATAGCTAACCCACCTTGGATTGGCTTTGCCAAATGCATTGTTTTATAGACATCAAAATGGGAGGGTCTTCTCATCGACTTGCAAAGAGGCTACTGCCTCTCCTCTCCCTTTCACGATTCGACCACCATTCAGCAAAAATGAGGTGGCAAACAACTTCTCCGGCCATTATAAGTTTATAGCCAGTCATGATTCAGTCAACCAAGCTTCCATTTTCGAGAACTGAAGCTTTAAAGGAATTTGTAGTTTTGTCATTTTAGCTTTTTTGGTTGAGTTTAGCAACTCCGAACTCTATAGTGATAATGATAAGCTTGGGATCACCATCTTTAGCGGTTTTAAGCTTTTCATTTTCGAAAATTCACTTGAATTTCTCTTGCTCACTGATGTCGGATCTTCTTCTCTTTTTTCCTTTTTTTTTTTTTATAATATTCGTTATGTCTCTGACTCTCCTTGTTTATACATTCCACTGATTTTTATTGGGTTTCTTGTGAATTTTTATTTGTAGTTTAAGTATGTCCATTGGCTTGTTTTAGCTTGTAGGTGGGTTTTCTTTCCACCGATGATTGAGGTTTTTTTCTTAGTTAATTTTTTTATCCTTTTCGCTTTTTTTCTTTTGTCAAGTTGCTTTACTCCTCTTGTCTACCTTATTTGATTCCTGAAAAAACGAAGGAAAGGTGAAGAAAATTGATTTTTAAAAAAAAAAATTTTTTACCTCTTTTAAGTGCATAAGCTCAACTATCAAAAGCATTTACATATGAAATTTATGTTTGATGATAAAATTATTGGGATTTTTTAGCAAACGTAGAATGTTTCTGGGAGTAGATATGAAAGATGGTTGGAAGGCTTTCTTGTGTTTGTGGTAGTGGCGGCTACGACGGCAAGTGACAGGAGAAGGAGACGAGAGTCCATGGTTTAGCTAACTGTTACAGAGCATATGGCTTAAAGCAAGCAAAACGGTGCATGTTTGTGTTGGCTAACTCAAGGTGGGTTACCTAACTTACGTGGGATCCTCATTTGTTACTTTTAAAAGCTAATTTCGACCAATTTTACGTGGGATATCATTATTACAACTGTTAAAGTTGGGGTATCCAAAATGATTTAGCGTTATTTAGCATAGTTTGAGTGTAATTGAAAAACTATATTAATCAGTTTTGCACCAGCACCAAATCTCAGCCATGGGCCACAGCCTTTTCTAAGGCCCATGGCCCCATTTTATCACATCTATCTAGGTAGCCCATCATTAGGATTTGTTTCATTTTGTCTCTCAAATCTCAATCCCTGCTTCTTTTAGCAGTTCAGATATTCTGCAAGTCTAGCAACCATTTTGTATTGACTCTACAGAAGCTGAGAAAAATGTTATATTTCAATAATTTACATTACAGAATTGATATTGGAAATCAATTGGAAGATTATAGAAATTGTTTTTCCTTTAAAAATTAAGCTACATGTTTATCTCAATTGGAAGATTTGAGAAATTAGTGCAATTAATAATGAAATTAATAAATCAAATATTAATGATGATAAGATCTAAAAAAAAAAAAAAAAAAAATTAAAAATCAAATATTAATGAGATAAGATTCTAAAAAAAAAAAAAAAAAAAAAAAGTAAAAATAAAAAAAAAAAAAAAAAGTAAGTAATAATGTTTTATAAATAATATTAACAATTAATATATATTCAATTAATAATAAAATAAAAGTATGAGCATTATTTTTGTCGCATCTATATCCATATGTAGGTTGGCATATTTTGGAATGATTGAGATATGAGAATAATTGTATGAAATAAAATTACTGACTTGGTTCTTTTCTTTTCTTTTCTTTTTTTTTTTTAATTATTATCAAAAAGCATCTTTAGTTCTTTACTTCCTTACGTGTAGGGCATCGGGTGACTTCTGTTTGCCTGTCGATATACCATGTCAGCATCGGAAGTTAACAAGTAGATACTTCATAAAAATATATAAATATATATTATATATATATTTTTTATTCTATTACTCTTAAAATATATATATATATATATATATTTTTATTCTATTACTCTTAAAATTAAATATACTCTTTTGGAATGTTTTGTTAGACAAATAAAATAAGTGTTACACGTGTCTACTTGTTATTGGGTAAAAAAGAGATATAACAATAAATGAAAGTAACATAAATATATATTTATTTATTAGGAAAGTAAAGAATAAAAAATTAATGATTTTGATTAACCGAGTGTAGTTTAATTGATTTATTTATAAGATAGGAGTATTAAGAGGTAAAGATTTTATATTTTAAAACCGTTAAAATATTTATGTCAAAATAAATTGTCGGTCAATTTATTCTTTTATTTAAGGATTTTTTCTTATATTTTTCAAAGACCGACATTATTTTAAGAAAAAACTAATACCTTTCGAAATAAAAATTAAGAATTTTAAATAAAAAATTTATATTTAACATTCTCGTGACATCCCTTTTCGGTCCTCTCATTAACCCGAATGAACCGAGTCGAGACGCTACAATCTAATTGAACTTATGTCCTGTCATGCTGATATCATTCTGTATGCTAAATATGAATACAACATTGAAAGATAGTATTCACGAACCCACATATTTTATATTTAGATACAAAGATCTGAGACATGAAAATTAATGGAGGATGGAAAAGCACACCAATCAAAAATATATTGAAGGGCCACTTAAATTCTCTTGGTAGGTGAAAATATAGATCCAAAAATAGTTGAGAACACATTTTAATTTTGGTCCATTGCAAGAGTATCCTAAACATATGGGACTTTAATAATACAAATTATGTCTCATCACTTCCACAAAATACAATTTTCTTTTGGGCAACTTATAAATATCAGAAATTAAGTTTCTATATAAATAAAATGTTAAAAGGTGTAAAATTTAAGAGAAAATTAATATTGGTAAAAAATAAGTTAATAATCTCTAAACTATCCATATATAATTTATGTGATTCAATTACGATGATCGGCGATGGTAATGAAAGTAACAATAATAATGATATAGTTGACGACGACAAAAGCAACCACAACAATAGAATGAGCGATTATGGTAAATGTCGACGGCGACGACTATGGTGACGGTAGTAGCAACAGTGACAACAAATGTGACAATAAAATGAAAAAATAGTAAATGAGTAACGAAAATGATATTATTTTAATATTTAAGTTCAAACTCACAAATTTTTAAAATAAAATTTAAAAAATATGACATTTATTACATATCCCTTTTCTTCTTCTTTTCATTATAATTCTACTAATAGATAACGATTCATTCCTACTATAATTATAATTTCCTCCTACTCAGTAAATATGCTAATTAAGTTCTAAAACTTAGTCATGTTAACTATTTGGTCATAAAATACAATTTCATGGATTAAATATCTCATAATATTTTACTATTTGATCTTTACGGTTCAAGTTTAGGTTGGGTTTAAGTTAGGGTTAGTTAGGTCAAAAATTTTTTCATTAAGCCTAAACCCGGCTAGGCTAAAATAAATTTTAATTTTTTTTTATCTAAACTCATTTTAAATTTAGCTAAATTGTTGATATTTTGAACTTTGGCATGTATTGTGAGGCCAAGTTCTATCGGAATCGAAACCGACTGTTTCGATTCCAAAAAATTTGGAACCGAAATCGAACTGAAAATTAACAGTTTCGGTTACGGTTTGGAACCGAACGGTTCCAGATTCGGTTCTGGTTCCTCAACGGTTCCAATCAACAGTTCTGGCCGTTTCTCAGGCTGGTTTTTCGACGGTTCCGGCCGGTTTCGAACGATTTTGGACGATTTCGGCTGGTTTCAGATGGAATTAGAACCGTCGGTTTCGACTGAAACTAGAACCGTTGGTTCACAGTTCTAAAACTAGTGGAACCAGAACCAAATCTGTTCGAATCGGTTCTAGTTCGGACCGGTTCCTGTTCTTACCGATTTCGATTTTGGTTCCCACCGGTTCGGAATCGACGGTTCTAGTTCCGAAAACCGGATTTTGGCCACCTCTGGATATCAATCTTATTGGATGAACTGGACAAGATATCATACCAATGCTACCGTTTCTATTTAGTCTCTTATTTAATAATAAATCTATACTTTTTTCAAAATAAGACTAAATAATTTGGTAGAGCTATACTTTAGGATTAATTAGTATATTTATTAAATAAGAGTGATCAAATCATAATTATTATTGAATTTAAGGGATTAAATAGTAATTTACCTACTCCTATTTGTCTATAGTAGGATAGTAGATCGTTACTCGTCCGATGCTACGACAAAGACACCGAATGTGACTATAGTGTCGGTGCTCACACGCAGGTGGCCGAGGGATAAAGAGGGTAATCAAAGAACCTAACGGTACACTCCAAAAAGAGTACTTTAGCAGCAAATGCTTAGAATAATCATCAAGAAAAAGAAAAACCCATCACCAAAACCAGGTTAAACGTACAAAATACAGCAATCAACGCTCTAAAAAACATTGCTTTTTTTTTTTTTTTTTTTTTTTTAATTACAGCAATCAACGCTCTAAAAAACATTGCTTTTTTTTTTTTTTTTTTTTTTTTATGGGCCCTTGAGCGTTGAAAGAGACATCACCCTCCATAAATCAAGTCACGCTTTCTTTGTACAGAATGTCCATGGTGAGATGCTTTAAAACTCTCCCACCTTTCTTTCACAGACCTCAGGGAAAAAAAAAATAAAAAAAAATTTTTTTTTTTTTTTTTTTTTTTTTATGGGCCCTTGAGCGTTGAAAGAGACATCACCCTCCATAATCAAGTCACAGCTTTCTTTGTACAGATGTCCATGTGAGATGCTTTAACTCTCCCTTTCTTTCACAGACCTCAAGGGAAAAAAATAAAAAAAGAAAGTGATTCTTATTTATATATATTTGTATCTTTCACATGTGGCAAGAGCTGCTTCTCCTTCATCTGTTTCCTTTCCTCCATTAATGTACTTTTCTATTCTTTGCTAATTTCACGGACCAAGAACAGTAAGAAGAGATAAGACCCAGAAGCAAGAAACCAAGAAATCAAAGATTTTAAGATCTGATTGCATTGTTTTTAGTTTGTTGTTTTTATGGAGCTTCTTCAAAGAAGAGGAGCTCTTTCTGGTCTTTCGGTGCTGGTTTTGCCTCTTCTTTTGCTTGGTTTGTTTAGTCCATTGAGCCATGCCTCTCTTTCTACCTTCTCGGTATGTTTATAATTTCCTGGATTGAATTTTAATTTTCTTTGGATTGACATTTTCATTTATTAATTATCAACTGTTTATGCTAACGGCTATTTTCTAATGACAATATCTTTTTTTATTTTCTAAAACTAATTTTTTGTGTGAATAGTTTTAGTCCAGTGTTTTTGTTTGTTTGCTCTATGATCTGTTACCAGAATTTTAGTGCAAATTCTGGTTTGGTTGCTGTTTGATGGAAATGGAAATGAGAACTCTAGGTACAAGAGGTTACTAAAAGTGGCAAGGAGGATAAGGAATTGAATGACTTGGGTGCATATACAGCAAAATGTCAAAGGAAATAATGGAGTGGCGTATGCCACTGGTTTTTAGTGCCATATAAGCAAATATATTAAGTTTATTCTAACCGAAACCGTTGACTGGTTAATGTATTGGGTTCAATAAATTTCTCTTTCCATAGATTTGGCGTGCATCGAGTAGGAATTGAACCTACGAATGAGTTGTTGAGTTCAGTTCAGATGGTGGAAGACCCTTTGCTCTTAACTAGGGCTAGGACTTTTGGGCCTAAAGGATATGGTACTTCTGGGGGGTTTCTTGAGTTATCTTTCAGGTTGGATTTGGTGCTCATATGCTATTTATAGATGGCAAAACAACAGGAAGATGGAAACTGAAGGCAGATTCAGTAAAATAACTTTTATTGTTTGGGTATTTTGACTATCAGCTTGAAACTAATTTAACTGGATAAACCTAATTGACATCTGCAATTTGAATTCATTAAATTGACTCAGATTGAAGCCTCATCCATTTGGATTTGAATCAGGGGAAATTTATTCATGATGTTACCTTTGTTATGAAAGTGAGTGTCGGTGTCAGTGTCATTATTTTGTAGCATCTTACTTCTTGATAGGCATGTGGGTTTATATTATCACTTTTGTAAATATAATATATCGTGTCTTGAAATTTGTTTTCTTGAAATTTGTTTTCGGGTTTACATGCTCTGAAGTGTTAATTCTGAGAATGAAGTAAGTTTTGCACACTGACAACATGCCTGTATTTTTATATTGACTCTTAACTATTTTTAAGATGATACTACATCTATAGAATCACTCTACAGGGGTATGGTAATGATTGTATGTTTTATGCAGGAATCGCATGTTCCAAAACCTAGGCATTTACCTTTACTGAATAGTGCTTTGCAGCATGAGACTGTAAGTGTCCATTCACTGGGTATGACAATATTCTCATGAAGTTCTTGTTTTAGATGCTTGATAAGCAATTCACTTGAATATGCTTTTGGTTAGTCACAGGAAAAGCAGTCTGATCTCTGGGTTCCTTTGGCTGATCAAGGATGGAGGACGTGTGCTGAATCTACAAATGCCCCTTGTGAGTGATAAGAAATACAGCATATGAGGGTTTTTTATTTTTCGAGTCTAACAAGCCCTGTATTCAGAATGTGACTGGAAGCTATGCATTAGTTAACATTCATGTTCTTGCATTTTATATTGACTTAGCTTTGTTGTTGGCAGCATTACCAGAAAAATCTGAGGGTTATCTTCAAATATTTCTTGATGGAGGTTTGAACCAGCAGAGAATGGGGGTAGGTACTTGAAGGTTCCCAAGATTTCCAAGTAGCTAAACTATCTAATAGTGGCATGCTTGTCCTTATCTGAGGGTTATTTATTTGAGTCTGGCAATCACATGCTTGTCCTTATGTATCAGCAATGTCTCATTTGACGATTTGTTTATTGATAGATATGTGATGCTGTAGCGGTAGCTAAAATACTGAATGCAACACTTGTCATCCCACATTTTGAAGTCAATCCTGTTTGGCGAGATTCAAGGTATTGTTTTATGAATGTGAATTGCTAAAATACTGAATTTTAAGTTTGTACAAGTTTCCTTGTTCATGCATCTCAAGAAGGCTTTATTCTGATTTTGTTTATTGTTTCTCTTGCAGCTCATTCATGGATATATTTGATATTGATCACTTTATTGATGTGTTGAAGGATGACATTTCTATAGTTAAAGAGCTGCCTGAGGAATTCTCCTGGAGCACAAGGGAGTACTATGCCACTGCTATAAGAGCTACAAGAATTAAGATGGCACCTGTTCATGCTTCAGCTAATTGGTATCTGGACAACGTATTGCCTGTACTGCAGAGGTTGGTGGTTATGTTGGTCTTTCAAATTTTTTGTGCATAGAATTTGATACTACCTAGTCAGGTCTCTTCAATAATGATGGAGTTTGGAGGATTGGAACATGCATATGTACTTAAGCTCTCTTTTCTTGCTTGAAAAATTATGTTCTTGTTTTTTTGACTTGCTGATTTCTGAAATCAGTGATCTGTTGTGTGTGGTGCAGTTATGGGATTGCTGCCATTTCCCCATTCTCTCACCGTCTGACTTTCGATAACTTGCCAATGGACATCCAACGTTTGCGTTGTAAAGTCAATTTTCAAGCATTGATTTTTGTACACCACATTAGAGCACTGGGAGATGCTCTTGTAAATCGCCTCAGGTATCCTTCTGAAGAACCTGAACCATTTAGTACTAATTCCTTGCGGGAGACTACAGATAAGATTGATGGAAACAAAGCGAGAAAGTTTGTTGTGATACACCTTCGTTTTGACAAGGTATGGGTGAGCTCAGCAATTTAATTTAGTCTGTATTTTTGTTTTGAGTATCTATCTGTTTGAAATGTGATTGATACACCACATTCTAGCAATTGTAGTTTGGCATGTCCACACACATGAATGCTTGCGCCTTCATCCGCCCTTCACTAATCTCGTGTCGTTGCAGGATATGGCTGCCCATTCAGCCTGTGATTTTGGTGGGGGCAAAGCTGAGAAATTGGCTCTGGCCAAGTACCGACAAGTAATTTGGCAGGGAAGGGTTCTTAATTCACAGTTCACTGATGAAGAATTGAGGAGTCAGGGCCGTTGCCCATTGACTCCTGAAGAGATTGGATTACTTCTTGCAGCCTTGGGCTTTGATAACAGTACTCGTCTATACCTTGCTTCCCACAAGGTCTTTTTTTCCGACTAACTTGAGTTATAAATGTTGAAAATGTGACCATGTTTTCCAGGTTTACCAATTTATGATTATGGTTGTGCGAAATTAATTAGGAATGAATATTGACCATGCTTTTCAGGTTTACGGCGGAGAAGCTAGGATTTCAACTTTAAGAACATTGTTTCCACTGATGGAAGACAAAAAGAGTCTTGCATCGTCAGAGGAACGAGCACAGATTAAAGGAAAGGCTTCCTTGTTAGCTGCAGTTGATTACTATGTTGGTTTACACAGCGACATCTTCATCTCTGCTTCTCCAGGAAATATGCACAACGCATTGGTGAGTATTTCTGGCTTATTTTCATGCAACATTAACTATGGTCGAATCCAACGAGGTGGTAAAATTTATATGATCATCATTGTAAACTTGTTGGATGTTCTACCCTTATCCTTGCTGCTTTAGTTCATTCCTGAAATTGTGACCCATCAAAAAATTTCTTGTTGAGCTTTTTGCACATTTTTTTTCCAAAGTCAGAGAGTCCATCTTCATCTACAACTACGAATCACAAATGAATGAACACAGTTTTGGTACTCATTAGGGACCATTACCCAATATTGCTCGTATCAGATTCTTGGAAAGCAACCTTATCACATGGCCATACCACATTTGGCTATGAATTTGACAATTACCCAAAATCTCCAATTAAATGTGAATTTTCAAGGACATGAAGTACAAATTGGAAATCGATAAATGATCTATTGGTACTCTAGCATTTTTTTCTTCTCTCTCTATTGATAGACTGAAATGGATTGCTTATTAAGCTTGGGTGGCAATTTATAATGGTATGCATCAACAGGTGGGACATCGAACTTATAAGAACCTGAAGACCATAAGGCCAAACATGGCATTATTAGGCCAACTGTTCCTGAACAAAAACATTAGTTGGTCAGATTTCCAGCAAGCAGTTCTTGAAGGGCATGAAAACAGACAAGGGGAAATCAGGCTTAGGAAACCAAAAAAGTCCATCTACACATATCCTGCTCCTGATTGCATGTGCCAAGCTTAGAGGTGATTTATCTAAAAATACTGAAGGATGTGAAGTTATGATCTTTACTCTAGTTATTTGGCACCACAGCTATTGTTTGTGGCTTGCAATATTGGTTGGTATCATAAATAAAGAGGAATTCCATTTCTTCTTCCATGAAAGAGAGAGAACAGAGTAATTTAGTGAGAGAATATGGGGTCTTTATAGGAGAGAGTGATTTAGATAGTGATTATGTATTTGTCAACTTATGGATTATTGTGGACCATGTTTGTAGACCAGAAGAAAATATTGTGATGTATAATTCATTAGGTCACAGCTGTATTCTGTACCACTCCTGTTTGTGAAACTGACTTTATGTGTTACATTGGATATCAATCTTTGGTTCTTTGTAACTAGTCGAATATATATGAGTATTTGATTTTTGATGTTATTCTCCCTTTAAAATTATTTGATGTATCTAGAAAAAAACTTATTTTTTAAAATTATTTTTCTTTTTTGGAAAATATTCTTTAAATAATTTATTTTCTAGTGGTTAAATATGAAAAGTTTCTAAGAATAGTAAATTATGACAGTTGTAGGTAAATTATGACAGTTTCTACCTAATTCATTAATCACTATATATGTATAATATTGTAATAAATTTATCAAATTTTAAAATTAGTTTTTATCTTTTGACATTGAAAAAGTATGTTGCGTTGACTGCATCTATTTGTTTCCAAAATCGGATTAAATGTTTTCACTGTATTTCATTTGATTTTAAAATTCAGAAATTAACAAATTCGAAGGACTACAAAGTCATCTCCCCTTTATAATAAATTATGGCACTAGCAAGTATTACAAAATAATGTGTAGTTTATAAGTGAAATTGAACATTCAACTCGATTGTATAGTGCAAATGTCTTGGCCTGTTCATCGGTCAAAATGAAAATGACAGTCGCAGAAATTTGACCAAACATTCAAAACTGTGTAAAAGCTAATTTGCAAGCCACAAATCACAGGGGGCAAGACTTGAGCACCCATCAAATCATCAACTGACCAATTTGACAATGTAATACTCTTGGGAATTGTATATTTGTATATGATGCATAAATAATGAGGTGAAACTCAGTATAACTGGAGTGCACTTCTGAGACAAATGTAACCTGAACTCAGTATATTCAGTTAGCTCAGAGCAAACATTTAGGAAATCTCCTAAGATCAATTTAAGATGATTTCCCCTGTTCGCCGGATGATGCACTAGGTGGTGGCATTGGAGCTTGGCCATCCTTCCCATCTTTCTCACCCGTTGGAGTCCCAGTTCCATTTCTACGTGCACCAGCCATTTCCTTCACCTCTCCCAAACCTGAATGAGAATCCAAGTCATCCTCGATGGGAAGAGTTCTCTTTGAACCCTCCAAAGCAACACCAAGAACTATATTTTCTTCCAATGCAGGTCGTGATGATGGCTGTGCAACTGACTGTCTTTCAGCACCCTGTTTGAATTGGGAAGGTTCTTGCAATCCTCTTGCTTTGTCTGTACCAGCTTCTGATAAGGAAACTTTAGGATTATCAAACTGACTATTTTGTCTTATATTCCCAGGATTCACACTCTTCTGCTTATTATCAGAGACGTTTTTGTTTTGTGTGGCATCAGAAACAGATCCTGCTGCTTTGGATTCAAAAGTTGTTGCTTCTGCAGAGTTTGAAGTCTTGGATGACGATTTTACAGCCATTTTATCACCTACCTTTGGATCAGACACGGATGGTGTTCCAGTTTTTGTATTCCCCTTGGCATAAAAATTTGGTGTTTCACCATTTTTAGCATCCGCCTTAGTGTCACACTTTGGTGCTTCTTTGGCCTTGGCATCTGACTTTGTGATATTTCCTTTGCTTTCAGATGTTGACCGTGACATACCCTTATTTTCCTGGTCACCAGCTCCACGTCCTGGACGAGTTTGGGATTTTGTTTTATCTTCTCCATTGATTTTGTAAGAGGGTTCGATCAGCAATAAAGGACGGTTAGATGCTACTCCACCGCAGTTGTAGATAGAATCTGCAAATGGAATATTATCCAAATCAGCATCACTATATATTTTCTGCACTGTTCGGATTGGTGTAGCAAGTCGAGCACGGTGATGGCTGATGACTCTTAGAAGATCCAATAATATAGCTTCCTGTTTCATTGCATAACATTGAAACTAAAATAAGTGGTCTTGAACACTCGAAAACTAACAGCTCTTTTGGAATAAATGAATCAGAATTATAGAATTCATATGTCATAATGAATTCTCATTATTGGGATAGCAACTTTTTTTTTTCTTTTAGAGAAGGGGAACACATAATTAGATGTGGAATTCAATTGAATTCTATATTTTTACATCTAAAACAAATATAAAATTGAATTGTTTTTGTCCTTGTTTCATAGGAGATCTTTAGTGTATCAACTTGTAGCAAAAAGTTTTTTTACACAGTATATATATATATATATAAAACTCATGTTTATAATCAATATTTAGCTTCCACAATGTTTTAGAACAATTTAGTTGAGAGAGGAAAGAAAGACACGCAGAAGACATAATAATGAGAGAATAAGAGGAGAGAGAAGAAACAAAGGAGAACAGAAGAGGAGAACAGAAAGAGAGAGAAAAGAATGAGGTTATATGGACATTTTTTGTTCAAAAAATTTGTTTTATTAGTCTTGTAAAATTCATTTGGAAATTCCATCTGCTTTGACTGAATTTGTATTAGTTATGTTTTATTTCATAGACCATGAATAACATTTGAGTTTTGCTACTTCTAATACTTTATAATGCATCTATACAAAGAGAAATCCTATTTTTGGGGAATGAAATTCATAACAAAAGCTGTAGTCCTAAGGAAAAAGAATAGTAGCAGTAGAAAATATCTCCTTACCTTTACACACAAATATTCTTCATGATGAGAGGTCTTCACAAAACAGGATACCAAAATCTGCAAATTATAAGGAATGCACATTATATAAAATTTCTTGTCAAAGTTTCAGCATAGTTGGCAGGAAAACAAACTGGATATAGGCATACCCAAGTTTCTCTGCTAAGAACTTATATAATCAAAGGTGTCATGAGAGTTTTCATTTCAAAGTTAAAATTCAAAATGCCATTTTACTGAGAATATGTTAACTGCTTTAGGAATTTGAGGTGTGGAACAACTTTCAATGTGGATGCAGCTAATAAAATTAAGCACTATATGAAATTAATATACCAAACAAATAGATGTTTAAATTCCATAATTTGTTTTAAAAAATAAAAAATACAAAGTTGAACAAGATATAATTTGTTTAAAGTTGAAGACCTAGTTGGGCGATATAGATGCAATCAGTGGAAGGAAGAAGATATAATTTCCTAAAGAAATTTGATAAATCAAAAACAAGATTGTGTGGTCAATGGTATATTGTATACTCATAATAACAGGAAATTACCAGCACAATCTATAAGAAAGCTGGCAAAATTCCCGTTTCACTTTAAAAAAGGTAAATTTTAAGATAATGCAGCAAAAGCATTGTTCAGACTGATCATTTATCAATTCTTCAACTTCCTTTTAAATCAATTTCGAAGTAAAATTACAGTTGGGGTGAAGGATGTTCTATATAAACTAGCAAAGTTAACATTTTGAGACATGGAATGGAGTGAGATTTTGGGATGTGCCAAAATACAGGTATGCAATATAATTAAGGGGAAAAGGGGAGCGAGTAAGATCAACATGAATTATCCTTGGTAAGAAGGAGCACTAACCAGGAGAGCCTGATTTTCAGGATTGACATTATCCAAAAAAACCCTTCTATGCAATCGTTGCTGCTCAACTTGCGGATTCTTGGCCAACACTTTGCGCATATCAGCAACAATATTCTGTACACAGATAAGTTGTCCATCACTTTACCACACAGGAAATATCATACAGAAATTCAATAGCTGAAAAGTAAATCATAGAAAGCATGATGAACTAATTGCTCCTCACATTAATCTTATGGGCATCCAAGTGACTAATGGCTAGGTGGGTTTTAATACGCCAATGAGTTTTTTGACTAAGATTTCTCACAACATTCACAGTGAACTTGTGGTTTGGAATATGAACTGCTTCACGATCTTCACCTCTTACGATTGTTGGTGACCACCAACCCACATGCTACAGAAAATAAGAAAGAACAAGATGCACATCAGTAAAGTTGTCTTTAAGAATGCTTCCCATATCAGTGAAAAACTGTTATTAATTGTCCAGAAAAAGAATATATATTAAATATATTTCATAGTCACAGTAATGTAACACAAAGCTTTCTATGGATTTGTAAATTCTGAAACCATCTTCACATCTACATATCATTCCTTCCATTGGAATGTTATGGCGCTGCTTGACTTAGGGTAGTTTTACTGCTGTTTACGGTGTTTTTATTTAGTTATTCAGTGTTTATCATGTTATTATCAGTTTCTTTGTTAGTGGCTATTAGTGGGGTGGTTAAGCAAGTAACTTATATGTTAGTGGCTATAAGTGGGGCATTCTGTTGTGCGTTTTCATAGCCAAGTAACTTATTGTAATGGGTAAATTATTTAGTTTTTGGTAGTGTTGGTTATTTTTATGCGTTTTACAATTTAGTTGGTTTAATATGGTCTGTCCTATTATCAGAGAAATTTGTAAGTTTACGAGTATTCTTTCGGCAGTTAAATGTTTATTGAAAATATGGTTTTGAGTTTTCCTATATCTCAGAGATTGTAGATTTCTCTTGAACGAGCTCTAGGGAGATTGCAGATTTCTCTCTAAGTTCTGTCACCACTCGATAGAGGGAGAAAACTCCTTCTAAGACTACCCCATTCTCAAACCTGATATCCCCCTAAATTTCAAAGACCTGCATGGGATTACTAGAGTCCTAATTTTGGGACTCATAATCAATTGATTCTCTCTAAGTCTGTCACCACTGATAGAGGGAAGAAAACTCCTTCTAAGATACCCATCTCAAACCTGATTCCCCTAATTCAAAGACCCATAACTAGATCCTAATTTGGGACCATAACATGGAACTTCTCAAACTTCAGAGGGATATATTCTCAAAATAGATACCTCAACAGTACCAGAAACTTCGTAGCCTTCAATCTTTGTTTGAATCCACTCATTCACAACAAAAGGTCGTGTCGCATGAATCATTGCACTTGAGAGGAAATTCGTGAATATCTAAAACAATAAACAACACAAGTGTCAAATGGGAAGAAAATGGATCCATTTGGTATTTGTTAAGAAAAAGCAAATAAAAAGGTGTGAAAGGGGTCGTTCCTAGTGAGAAAAAGGAATGTGTGAAAATAATATGACAAAGAAACTCAGTTGCACCTCACGGCCAGCAAGGGTCAGCAATACTGTCCCAAGACCACCAGCAGTGAGCCACTTCTGGGTAGAGAAACCCAGCAACTCCATGAAAAGTGAAACAGCAGCTACCCACACTGCAGAATATACAGCCTTCCCAGCAAACTGGAAACCCATCTGTCCAGGAAAAAAAATTTGTTTGTCACTAGGAACTCATTTAAAATTCTGTCTATAAATATCTGACCAAAACAATAAAGATAAGCAAAAGAGAAATGTGAGATGAAGGGATCTTGATTAGTCCTTCTTAACAAGGCAAGGAATCATAGCTATTGCATACATCATCAGATTGAGCACTTCACCATTAAATAGACCAGATTGATAATATTTCTTTACTAATCCATATGGTATATGCCGAAAAAGATAACAACAATAGTTGAAAATTTGTTTAGATGTTTGCAGAAATAGTAACTTGTATAACATAAACATCAGGAAAAAAAAAAGGCAGATTGATATCAATGGCAATGAATCCAAAAACCGGTGCACTAAGATATAAAAAGAAATTGTCAAAGCAAGTTCTTTAGTTAGAACACTGGCACATACATTTCTCGTATCACTGGGCTCATTAGATTCCATGAAGAACTTCTGAGCTTGTTGAATCACACTGCATCAAAAATATGTAACCATCAATGAGCACTTTAACTTGGAGACTGCCCTCGAGATTGAAGAACCAAAACATTATCACTTGATCATATCATAATTTTCAAAGGAACAATAACAAAAAATTCATAATGCATATCTAATTTATAGGGGCAGTGGAATTTATTATGACAACTAAAAGAAATGAGGACAAACAAAACAGCCTGAGCAAAATAAATACCCAAGGACCCTGGTAAGGAGACAGGAAATACATTTACCTTGATAAACAATAAGCGAAGGCCAGCACAGTTGACAATGACCTTACAAAGTGCAAAAGCCTCTGCTTCACAACCTGACTAGCTTCTGTGGGCAGAACTACAGGATCTAGCACTCTACAAGTGATCAACATATTATTTCAGTAACTAAGTAACAGGTTATGCCTTAAGGCTCTATGTCTGAAAGTCTTTATGATTTAACAAAATCATGATATCAAACCTGCATATAAGTGTTGCAGAAGTCCACAGCAGCAAAGGTTGAATATAGGAGGTCATGACATAATATGTACGACTTTTTTTCCAATTATTATCATTCTTCTGCAGGATATTATCAAATGTGGTAAACAGAGTTGCAAAAGTGCATTAGCCCAATACAATTTCATGCCCAACAAATAGATAGAAACAAAGGAGAATTTCATGTACATGAAGTAGTAAATTTCTGCTTTGACGCAGGACTGGTCCAAGACCCCAGACAGCAAATATGATAATGCCAATTGCAGGAGCCAACTTAAATATGACAGGAGTGCCTTGCAAAGCATTATATGATCTGCATAATGGAGATAACACATACTAAATTTAGAACTTGGTTGAGTAAAATTTATGCATAATGCATTGTCACTTGCAGATTGAACACTAAGACACCATAATAGTAAAATTGTTAACAAATGATATAGAACAACCAAGATAGAACAAGGTAATCAATGTCATCTGCCATTTCATAAAAAGACAGTTCAATTTTCCAACTTTCAGGAAAGAAAAGGGTCAAATACACAGTTGCTAAATCAAAGAAAGAAAAATACCTTATCAATGCTGTAGAAGGGGCTTTCAGGCCAGGAAGTTCAAATGCTTGGCCTGGAACTAGAAAAGAATGACACCTAAAAACATTACTTCTATATGATACAGGGAACACAGGTCTGTACAAATTGGTCGATAGACGGAAACTCCAAGAATCCCATTGCCGAAACTGAAACCAAAATTGATATTCTCAAACTTCATTACTAACTTGATGAAGTTTCATAACAATTTTAATTATCAATTAATTTACCACACAAGGAAAATTTTTATACACATAGAATAAAATATCAGCACAAATAAAATCAAATGAGTCACAATTGTTTTTACCATATGCCCTAGCTGTTTTTCCTCTCTCTCTCTCCCCTTACCAATGTAATGCCCATTGTCCTGCAGAAACTGTAACCAAAATTGATGAGTTGGCTCAACTTCATTACTAACTTGATGAAGATTTCAGTAACAATTTTAATTATATCATAATTGTTAAATTTCACGCACACAATTGTTGAAAATTCTTTAATACATCATAGAATAAAAACTATCAGTCACATTAAAATCAATGAGTCACAATTGTTTTACCAATATGCCCTAAGCTGTTTTTCTCTTCTCTCCTCTCCGCACCCCCATTCCCCCCCCCCAACAAATAGCTCAGCAACCTTTCTTGGCCTGTTTTGAATGCTGTACGCGCCTGTCCTATTTTGTTCCACAGTACAAAATTGTTCTCTTATTTTTTTCCAAATAATTAGCAACAGAATATTCTTTTCTCACCTCATTTCTTTAGTTCTCCTTTTTAGTGTAAATATTCTGGTGTTTTTTTTTGTGTTTCTTTTTTTGTGGGTTTTCATTGTATACTGTTTTTTCTCTTGAATAAGAGTCAGGTTCTTCATAAGAGTATTTTGTTCCCCTTTTTATGTGGGTTCGTCCTTAAATACTCGTAACATTTACCTGTTACAGCCTGAATCAACTTTTATTTCCATAATCTGCCTTAAATGTTTGCTATTTGAGGAAGATTTGCAATCTCTCCAATCTGGTTTATTTTTTTTTTTTTTTTTTTTTTTGTGGGTTTTCATTGTATATGTTTCTCTTGAATAAGAGTCTTTCATAAGAGTTGTTCCCCTTCTTTGTGGGATCTCCTAATACTCGTAACATTAACCCAGCCTGATCAAATTTCATATTGCATTAAATGTTGCTTATTAAAGATGCTCTCTCCAATACTGGTTATCAGTTAGATAACAAGGAGGTTTCTGACAACTAAGAACACATGCCATTTCCAAATGTAACTGGGTTTAAATCCCTCTATTTGGTGTTGGAAATATGCATTTTTTCCCCTTCATTCTACTCAATTAGGTGCAACATATGTAGAAGTGGGTACGGAAATGTCCGATACATCATTAGATCATCCAACATAAAAGCTTAAGAGTGGATGACGGAAAAGCCTATGTGCTATGCACTACCAAATCAAGCTTTATAAGAAACCAAAATTATAAAAAACAGGACAAAGCCACCACATGCTTGATTGACAATAGCAACAACTACTAAGCAGCTTAGACAAACAAATGCAACAAAAGGAAAAGGCTCCAATCCATTTATCATGCAACTAAATATTTACGATAGTAGGTGGAGAGGTCTATAACATACAAGTGTTTATGTAACCAACATGAAAATAGTCAAAGGTATCAAGTAATGAAGTAATTAAGCTAGGAACAAGGACATAGCCACTTGAAAACAATGATATAAAATGGTAATTTGAATGGCAAGTAAATGAATGAAAGCCTGATAGTTTTCTGGAAACCATAACATTTACATGCAAGTTAAAAATTAAACTTCAGGCTTGGTCCAAATGAACGTATCACTCAAGCTGACCAAACTGCATGCACATGTGCAAGTGTATGCCTGTGGAAACACACTGTTAGGTATAAGTACAGAGGATAATCTCATGTTCTAGCTGTATCACTAAGCTAGAATGTGTTTTCAAGAAACCAACAAGTACAAAAGTTGTTCTAACAATGAATATAAAAGTTACCGAAGCACATGATGAGAGTGTGGTACTCAGTAACAGTAGCTTGCCCCTTGTCAATATTGGCTGAAACAAACATATTACTTAAGATTATAAGTCAAAAAGATGAAGAAATTTCAAGAAAAAAAATAGAGGGAGAGAGAGATAAAATTATACCTTAAATTGTTTCTTGTACCCCTGGTTCTTGCAAAGTCCCAAATCATGGGACAATTGCAACGAACCAGAAACAGTCATTGCCAAACTGAAATTCAGATGCTAGAAAGCACCAATATTCATGCAAGATTCACCACTAAGAAACACTTAAGACTCCAAATTACCAAGGTGATATTGAAAAACCAAACAGATTCCGGCACCTCGACAAATCTGCCACCTGCTATAGAAGATCAAAATATTCAGAAAGAACTGACATTGTGTTACTGTAAAGGCTGTCAACCTGAAAGCAAAACTAACAAGCCTTGCCAACAATAATATTAATGTCAGTTAACCTTGAACTGAATTTCCAAAAAATACGTGGGGATTTCATCTAGCTCGAACAAGAATCAAACAGAGCCACATCCGTATTTCTGAATTTTATAACAAATACACTAAAGATTTTATGCAATAAAAATTGATTATATTCCTTTCCCAGAGTTGCATTATCCAACGTAAATAATTCAATCATTGGGCACACTTGAAGAAACAATCATCATCTTGAGAATGAAGGAAAACAAAAAAAGATTCACTCAATCTCTACAAAGCAGTCCATTCATTAAGTGTTGGAAACTCAAAACTTTACAAATTCAATTTACAAAGTAAAGTTTTCAGCTTTACGTGAAAGCCCGAAAATTTAGGGTCACAGAAAACATCAATAACCTAAACCATGAGACATAACCAAACCAATAAATAAACTAACTAACGTTGGTATAGAAATAACGTCATAACCAATAACGAACTATGCCTTTGAGATGCATTTTAAAAGCCCTCAACATTTAAGTTCAAAAGACTGCATTAACTTTCTGTTTTCTCGAAAAGAAAAAAAATCTAAAGACGACAAAAATGGGTTATGCAATCCCATCACAGTAACAAAAACCCTAATCATCTAACACAGAATTAATCATAGAACAACAAGAAAAAGAAGCTGTACTATTTCAATCGAAAATCAAATAAAATTATAAAAGAAATTACTCACCGAATCTCATCGAAACAGGAACGCAAAGGATTAAAATCAAAATCGAATCACTTCAAAATTGGGAATTCTAAGAAGCTAATGCAATAATAATTAGTAAAATTACCTTCTGCGTTATGGTTATGGACAACAAGCTTTGACAACGAAGAAGAAGAATTTCAGCTTTGAAAATGATACATATCCCTTTCTCTGTTCCTCCTGGCCTTGGTTTTGATTCTGCTTCGTTTAATACGGTGCGTTTCATTCCAAAAATTCCATTTCCGGCTCCTATAAAGCCACGTGTTGCCACGTCAGATATTTCGCGACGGCTGTTCTTTTCTTTCCTTTTACCTTCCATTTGGAGAAAATCATTTCCCAAAAATGTGCGGCGACTGTTAAAACGCATGACTCTCTGCCGTTTACGTATATATTCTTTCCTCCTCGTCCTCCAAAAAATCGTCGAATCGCTTCTTATTCTCCACCTGTCGGAGAAACATTGGAGGGGAGAGATGGAAGGCGACGAGAAGGTGAAAAACGACGCGTTGCAGATAATCGGGCAATACGAGGACTTGCCTCGCTTGGTCGTCTTCGATCTCGATTACACTCTATGGCCTTTTTACTGGTTTGATTTTACAAAATCTTTCTTTTCGTGTTAGAATTAGAAGCATTGTAATGGCAAATTTAAGAAATTGATGTGCTTGTTATTATTAATTTGGTCAGTGACTGCTACTATGAAGACGATACGCCATATCTGTATCCACAAGCTAAAGGTATATTAGAAGCGTTGAAGGAGAAAGGTATTGAGGTTGCTATTGCTTCAAGATCGCCAACTTCTCAGATTGCCAAATCGTTTCTTGCCAAATTGGGAATTAACTCCATGTTTGTAGCTCAGGTCAGCCAATGAGGACCTCTTTCTTGCTTTTAGAAAGGAAAATTTATTTCCTAGCATGAATTTACATAACTTCTAAAACTGTGTAATTCAAAATGCTGTCTAGAATTTGGTGATCAGAAGTTGTTGGCTCTCAAAGTCATAATTATGAAGTCTTTTGATACATTAGTTGTTTCTGTTAAAACAATCTCTTTTATCATCCAAGTGAATGCATTATTGGTTTGTTATGCAGGAAATTTTCTCCAGCTGGACTCATAAAACTGAACATTTTCAGAGGATCCATAGGAAGACTGGAGTGCCTTTCAGTTCAATGCTCTTCTTTGATGATGAGGATAGGAACATCCAAGCTGTAAAGTTTCTCCATCTCCAAATCCTCATTTTTAATTGTCTGTTCTGCTTTTGAGTTATAGCAATTAAGAATAATGTAGATTGTGAAAGCTCATCTAGTTGAGGATTTATACCTTCTGGTTCTGTTGCTGGGCACAAAATTTTGTGTGCTTTGTCTAATTCAGATATTGGTTTTTACAGACATCAAAAATGGGTGTAACTAGTATCTTAGTTGGCAATGGGGTGAATCTTGGAGCTTTGAGGCAAGGACTATCAGAATTTTCTAGAAAGTCCGGATCGTCTAGCAGAAGTTAGAAGGGTTTGTTTTTTGTTGATTAGAGAAATATACCCTGTTCTAGTTTTGAATCAGATTGATTGATGGAGTTTGTGTTGATATTAACTTAGGAAGCAAACTGGATATTTTAAGCTTATCATACCAAGTTATTCATTGATCTCAAATTTTAATTTCTTACAATTTTCAATAAATAATGCTGTGAAGGAGATTTTGTTGCTATGATGTTTAGAACTTAAGAAGCAAACTGGATATTCTGAGGGGGTAATATGATTCGTTGATGATTTTAAGATTTTCTTACAATAATCACTTTTAGTGACTATTTTGAATGTTTTTTTCTGCCAAAGCAGTTGGACTATGCGTAATCAGCTCAATGTATTACAATGTTGTCAAATATATTTTTAGATTTTGTTTGATTAGCAATAATGGAATATAATGTAATATAATCAAATGCACTTCAATGTAAACATTACACTAGAAATGCATCTTAATAAATTACATTACATTTTATTACAAATCACCGGATGAAGCCTAAGAACAGCTTATTATACTGCAAATATGCTGCCTAAGCCTTAGATCTGGTCTCTTTGCTTTGCAACATAATAAATGAGAACTGCTATTATATCAATACTAGAGAGATTATTTAAGTCATAGAGCTGTTATAGGACCTTTTGAATTAGGTTATTAACTGAACCAAGAAGATAATAATTAATCAATCTGAATTTGTGGCAAATCTCATTATAGAAACAGATTGCACGTGAATCATATACTGCTATTATATCAATACTAGAGAGATTATTTAAGTCATAGAGCTGTTATAGGACCTTTTGAATTAGGTTATTAACTGAACCAAGAAGATAATAATTAATCAATCTGAATTTGTGGCAAATCTCATTATAGAAACAGATTGCACGTGAATCATATACAAACTAAGACAACAAATTCATGCTTAAAAATTGCATGATAATAACCACAAAGAAAAAGGAAAAGAAAAAGGTAAAAAAACTAAAGAGCTGCTATTATATCAATACTAGAGAGATTATTTAAGTCATAGAGCTGTTATAGGACCTTTTGAATTAGGTTATTAACTGAACCAAGAAGATAATAATTAATCAATCTGAATTTGTGGCAAATCTCATTATAGAAACAGATTGCACGTGAATCATATACAAACTAAGACAACAAATTCATGCTTAAAAATTGCATGATAATAACCACAAAGAAAAAGGAAAAGAAAAAGGTAAAAAAACTAAAGAGCTGCTATTATATCAATACTAGAGAGATTATTTAAGTCATAGAGCTGTTATAGGACCTTTTGAATTAGGTTATTAACTGAACCAAGAAGATAATAATTAATCAATCTGAATTTGTGGCAAATCTCATTATAGAAACAGATTGCACGTGAATCATATACAAACTAAGACAACAAATTCATGCTTAAAAATTGCATGATAATAACCACAAAGAAAAAGGAAAAGAAAAAGGTAAAAAAACTAAAGACATGTTCAAGGAAGGGTGAGACAGACAAGCTATATAGTAAATAGCCTATCTCTTCAGTTTCTAGTTTAGCTCTCTAAATGGTGATCTCTCTCCAATGACAGCCTGGAATTTATTTGTCGTAGGTGAAGGGTTCATATTCACAATCACTTTCACAGACTTTAAAACCTCAGTATCGCACTTTAAAGCCAAATGAGATTCACTATCATCAAGAGACTGCACTATCTTTTCCAAGGTTCCAACCAGCTGCACATCTTCATTAGAGAACTGACTAATCCTATGACCAAGTCCCATAATGAAACCCAGCAAATTTTCCCTTTCCATTGACAGCTTCATAACATCTTCAGCCAAATTTCTTTTTTCACTCTTCAGTTCATCAACTATGGCTTCTGAATTTCTAATCTTTGTTTCCATTAAATTCATTAACCTTTTCATTTCCACCTGTTTTGCTTCAAGTTCAGCTTCAATCTCCACTGCTCGATCTTTTGAAGAAGATAAAGATTTTTCCTGTGCTTCCAGTTTCTGCTGTATAGAACAGATGTCATCTTCTAGCTCAGCAATCGTCAACTTCTTCTCTTCAATTTCCACCTGGGCTAGAATATCAGCAGCAGCTATCTTCTCCCAAGCTTCACGGATAAGGCAAATTTCAGTCTGCTTATTAGCAATCTCTGAAGAAAAAGAGACTAATGAGCAATTCAATTTTTTCCCCAATGACTCTAAAAAGTTCAAGAGTTCATTTATTCTATAATCCTTCTCTTCCAAAAGCTGGATAAGATTCTCTTTTTCATGCTCAAATATTCTTTCTGCTCCTATTTGAGTGACAACTGCCCCTTCAAGTTCTCTTCTTAATGATTCTTCCTCCAGCCACTTGATCTCTTTCTGGAGATCCTCCAAAATCTGGTCCTTTTCTCTCATTGTTCGAAGGAAAGTTTCTTTATCCAACTCAAACGACGTGAGTGTCTCCATTCTGGCAGAAGTGACAGCTTGCTCAATCAATGCAATCTGCTGCTGGAGATTATCTATTCTGCTGTCTTTCACTTCTAGCATATAGGCAATGCCATCTTTCTCCTGCTTGAAGGTTTCTGCAACTTCTACTTGTGCAAGAAGAGAAGCTTCTAATTCTTTACGCAATGCCTGATTTTCATCAAGGTCATCGTTTAATCGCTGAGCAATAGATTTCCATATCCACAATTCGAATTCAAGTGCATGTCCTTCACAAATTTTGGAAGCCAGTTCAGAGTTTGCTTTGTCTAAAGCATCACATACTTCTTTAAGTTTCTCTTGAATACCATTTTCCTTCTGCAAAGCTTGCTTCTGTAAGCGAAGTTGACACCTGGTCGATTGCTCAAGCATTTTCTTATACCTCTCGAGTTCTTTTTGCGTCAACTGCTGCTGCACTTCGGTAAGACTAAATGACTCAATCCTCTTCTGCAAAGATGCTGCCTTCTCACGCTCTTCAAACAATTCACAATTTGCAGTGTCCAATGCATCACTAACTTCTCTAAGTTTCTCTCTGAAGTCAGTTTCCATTTGTAAAGCTTGCTCTTCAAAATGAAGCTGCTGCCTGGATGATTCCTCAAGCATTTCTTTGTACCTCTCAAGCTCTTTCTGCATCATTTGCCACTTCTCCTCAACAATATCTGAGGATGCAGCCTTCCTTGATAAAGATGCTGCTTTCTCACGCTCTGCAGCCAATTCTGAATTTGCCGTGTCTAAGTCATCACAAAGTTCTCTAAGTTTCTCCTTTAGCTCTCTTTCTGTTTGTACAGCTTGCTCCTTGAAGTGAAGTTGAGACCTGGATGAATCTTGAACCATTTCCTTACACCTTTCAAGCTCTTTCTGTATAAGGAGTCGCTGCTCTTCAACAAGGTTCAAAGATTCAACTCTCCTCAATAAAGCAGCAGCCTTCTGGCTTTCTTCTTCTTTATCCTTTAATGCTTTAGCCAAAGCAGCATTCTTCATCTCCAGCTGCCCCATCAAGAGAGATACATTCTCGTCTCTTTCTTTTTCAAGGAGATTCATCTCAGCCTCCACATTTCTATGGTTTAGTTGAGCCTCATTTATAACTGATTTCAGCACCAGCAACATTACTGACGCTGCCTCATTTTGCAACTCCAGCTGCATTATTGCAGAGTTACATTTTTCCAATTCTGTCTTAAGCTCTTTTGCTGCTGTTTCTTTATTCTCTAATGCAGACCGATAACTATTCAGCTCCCCAGACAATTTTTCCAGTTCAGAGCCCCATTCAGCTTCTTTAGCTCTGAGATTCGCAGAACAATCTCGGTGCAGCTGCTCCACACTTCTGAGTTTGTTTCGCAGTTTTGCCAGAGAAGAAGAATTTCCAACTTCCTGAATTTGAGCTTCTCGAAGTTCCTTAAGGGATAATAGTAACTCCTGATTTTCTTGCTCTAATTTCCCAGCTCGGTACTCAACTTCTTTGTAAAATGTCTCTTTTGTGCCCAATGAATGTCTCAAAGCTGCAATTTCTTTATCTCTCTTAGTGGTCAAGCATTCCAGTTTTGACTTTGCATCTTGGCACTCAGTGAAAACATTGTCAAAGCGAGCCTTAAATTCAGAAATTTCCACTTCCAGATACTTTCTCCTGCTTTCTTCATGAGCTAGGGCTTGGTTGCACATCTTCAACCGGTTTTGAAGATCTTCTGAGATTCTTGTCTGAGAATCTAAGTTTGTTTGCAGTGAACATACTTCATCAACTAATGCGGACTTCTCAAGCTCCCACTCTTTCTTGCTTTCCTTGAACTGGTTTCGGAGCTTCTCATGTGCTTCTTCTAGATGCTTGAACTGCTCTTTCTTCCATTTTAGTTGATCTTCAAGTCTACTATTCTCCTCCTCTAACTTGAATAGCATATCATCTCTTTCTCTTAATTCTCTGGATGCTTTGGCTTTTTTCTCTGCTTCCAAACATTTCTTCTGTGAAGTTGATAGAAGCCCTTTAAGACCCTCAATCTCTGCCATAAATACATGAATTTTCTGTTCTTGATCTATATTCTTCTCGTTTGCCTCATCTAAAGCCAACAATATCCCTCGTTTTTCCTCTTCCCATTTTCGGCGGTTTTCATCGCAATCCATTCTAAGCTTATCATTCGAGGAGCTCAGATGTCTAATGATGGCCTCCTTTTCATTCAAACCGCATTGAAGATCTTCACACATTTGTCTTGCTAATGACAAGTATTCTGCCTTTTCATTGAGTTCTTGGGTTTGCTTCTCAATTTTTGAATTTGCTTGTTGAATTTGAACGATTTGTTCATGATGAGCTTTCTTCAAATAATCGGACAGCTCTGCTTTAGATTTTAATTCTACCTTCAGCTTCTCAATCTCAGCTTTAGCTTCATCTAACTCTTCACACACCTTGTCCATTTTATTCTTTTAAACTTTTCCAAAAACAAAGGTACCTGTTTGCATTAAAAAAAATAAAGAAAGAACTTTTTAGATAAAAAATAGAAGATTATAGTTAGAATGTTATTAGTCGAAAGTGCTATAGACTGAAGATAAGAACAAAATGCGACCTATGACTCTAAGCCACTTTCAGTAAGGCTGAAACAGTACTGGCTGGAAAGACAATGTCTTAAATTTCAAAGCCAAGATATGTAACTGATTTTTCAAACTTTCTACAACCACCCAAAGCATCAATAATTAAGAAAATAATGAACTCTATTAAGTTTTAATTTCCCTAAGGATTGCATTTTTGGAAACTATGCTCTCAAGCATAACATATCAAATTCCTGTTATTGAACCTACAGCAGCTGGTAACTCTTCCAAAATTTTGGAGGACGTTTAAAAAAAATAAATTAATAGTTGTAGACATTACTGAAAATTGCAGATGGTAATCTGTTGAAATATCGTAATCGTTTGTTCATTCTAATTTCTTGGTGCTGATATTATAAAAACCTTAAGACCATTAATCACAAAACAAATCCCAACTAACACAGGATTTGCCGTTGTACAACAAATACCGTTTCACACTAACTACACAAACTGTTTGGTTGCTGAGAAAATTTAGGGGGTAAAGAGGAAAGGACAATTAGCTAAAGAAGAATAAAAGATCTCAGTTTCTTATGTTTCCCTAATTTTCAAAGCCAGTTAAAGCGAGCTCAAACTTGAAAAATACAATGTATAAGTATAGCAACAAAAGCCCCAAACCAAAAGCATGTAATGCGTAAAGAAAGAATTAACTTTACTGCATAGCCCATGAAAACGAAATATTTCATAACAACTAAAATTCTATGCGTTTCGATTTTCGAGAAAAGGGAAAAAAACAGGTATCCAGAATTTCCTTCTCCGGCTTTTTCCTGAGCTTTACTAGTAGGGTGATGAAGGACCCTTTGATCTATGTTGTCCTCAGTTCAGCCAGGTCTGATTAGAAATGCTAAAATGAGTGGAGCGAAGGGCTTTAGAAGGATAAAGGGGATATGGGAGAGCTCCTGCAATCTTAGTAATCAAACAGCAAAAATGTGAAAGAAGAGAGACCCAGAAACGTACCTGGCAACAGGTTTACAGATTCGCCATGTAATAGAGCTTGTGAAAGATGTTGCTTCCCCTGTTAAAGAAAATGGCAGAAATGGGATAAAGAGATAAAGAAAAATCAGAAAAGTTTGTTTCGGAAGGAGAGAGCCGTTGGGAGAAGTGGGAGGTTTGTTGTTGATTTGAAATTGAATGGGCGAGACTGACGACGTGAACATGTACAGTTTAACGTCGTTAACGAGATGGGGATATTCCAATTTCCATATTTGGTTTTTAATTTGAAAATGGTTATATTATTAGCCGTTAGGGGTTTGATTTGGGTTGGGCTTAGTTGTTCAAGTTTATGTGGGCTTGGTTGGGTCAAGCTTCCAAATTATATCTTCAAAAAATTGAATAGCATAAATGTAAAATTTTTGTAGATTTTTTGCTATATCTAGCATTAATATTATTTTCTCAAAAAAAATATTAATATCATTAATATCAATCAGGTAGGGTTTGATTAAGATGTGAGGTGTGTTAGGTCTCAAATTTGAGTCCTCTCTACCACAAATATTATCACTAATTTGTCGAATGTTGTTCAAAATAGAAGACTACCTCCTATTGTATAGCCAACACACAATATTAGCATTTCGGTTTTGAAACAAATTGAACTTTGATTTTTATTGAAACCAAACCGTCTTGGAGTAAATTTGAAAACTTAACCAAATATAGATTAGTTCGTTTAAACAAACATTACTTTTTTTTTTTTTTTTGCTAAAATTGAACCAAAAAACAAAATTGAGGTTGTATAATATTATAAACCAAATATGCTAAATTCATTCGATTTTGATTTTTTTTTTTTAATTTTATTCACACTTGATTATCCATATTCTGTAACTCATAATGTTATTTCATGTTATTTGATCTCCTAGTAATTACTTATTTTATCATAAACCAAAAATGAAAAACGAGGTTATGTAAACCAAAAACCAAATAATGAAATAAATCGATTTGCTGTTTCAATTTTTTTGAAGTTTTGTTCATCCTTAATGACTGATGCTATATTTATAATATTATTTTGACTCATTTGGTCTTCTAATGAATTAATAACACAACGTCATTTTAGAAGACAAAGTTCAAGAAAGCTGTAAATGAGTCCAATCGCTTGAGTTGCTTGAGACTTTGTTCAAGCTCATTCAATAAGCTATCGAATTGAGTTATTGAGCCCATTTAATAAATGAGCTAAGCTCGAGTTAAACTCGTTAGCTTTTGGTAGCTCGAGATGTAGCTCAACAAGTCAAAGTTAATTGCACTTACAACATTATTTTGGTTTGATTAATGTTTGCAGTTATTTAGTAGATTTCAAGCCATGGAGTCAAACTCAAGTTTAATTATTTTGAAACGAATTAGACTCAAAGTTTGAGTATATTTTATGGAGTGGAACTTGGTGTTTGATTTGTTTCTTTAGAGTGTATGCTTAAGTTAGCTTTCTTGCAGTGTAGTAACTAGTAAGATATCGACTTTATTTCAAATCAAATCAGAGCATAATTTTGATTTGGCTTTTACTATATACTAGGTTGGTTTGTTGTAATTGACATGCCACTTGCATGGCCTAGGTCCTTAGGAGATTGCAGACCACATGGTGTTCGTACTCATATATATGATATCCAATTCTAACTTTTGTATTGATTGCATCTTCCATTACATTACCTGTGTGTGTGATCTGGATGCCACATGTGTCCTTACCTCTCCTGCCTCGTTTGTTTTAGATCAGGATTTCCAAGTCTCAAGTCTCAAATCTCTCTCTCTCTCTCTCTCTCTATCATTACATTACTACGTGCCAATGCACACATTTTGTTTGTGCCTTGGGTTGTGTTTGTGATACTAGTCGCTCTTTTGTTCTTGTTAGGCGCATGTTTTGTGATCCTAAATGGCAAAAAAGATAAAATTTTTTATAGTATTCAAATTTAATATTTTATAAAAAGTTTATCTGTATAATATTTAGATTTTAGCGTTTTATAAAAAGATACTCAAAGATCTAATAACTAATTATTACTATTAAAATAACTAACAGTTATCAAAATAGCTAATTTTACCGAACAAACTCTTTGTCTCTTTATTTACACTTTTTTAATTCATTGGACTAGTAATTTTTTATTATATCATGAGGGTGATTTTAGTACAATAGTATTGCGAATACAATTATAAATATTTATAAACTTCTATGAATTGTTTTTATTGAATTTAGGCTATTGTTTTAATAATGAAATATCACTCAGAAATAGGAGAAAAACCTAATTATTAAAACAAAGAATCATGGTTGAAAGAACTCTTTAATCCCACTCCTGACATCATAATGGCCAAATCAAAATAGGACAAACAACTCTTTGTAATTATCAGGTAAATGAGTTGGAGAAAATAGTTTTAATTTTATTGATGTATTCAATTTTATCTTTGTAGTCTTTGTCAAACCCATATTCCACTCCCCTTTAACTTAACCGGTCTTTTTTATGACATGACTTGCACGATGAATATGCTCATTATATATTTATATTTTTTTTATTTTTTTATCTATATAATATTAACATATAAGTTTTTGTTTAAATTAAATTAAATATAATTGCTTAATTTGTATTGGATTTTGTCCTACAAACTACTTGTAATACTACTTCTTATGTAGTTAATTCTATTTTATTTATAATGAAGTGGCCTCAAAATAAAATTCAACTCAATCCCTAAACCTAATATTTCAGCCTCTAATTTATAAATGTAGATTCTTAAAATCTTAATAAGTGCCCAAAAAGAAAATCAAGTCAACACTCAATCTTCAACCTCTTGCCCTCAACCCCAAATCAAATCAATATCTATATACAACTATAATGAAAAATAGTAATAAATTATTTTTTACAATTTGGTAAAGAGAAGAAATGAGTAGATGATCTGTTGATTATAGCGACAGTATTATTTACTCAGTCATTAGAGAAAGGAATATATGCACATACACACAAATTCTTGAAACCGCGAAAAGTGACCTAATACAGAAATATATAGTTCTAGTGTTTTTCCAATTTTATAAATATTATTTTCTTTCAAGTCAAACAAATTTAGAATATAATAAAAAAATATTAAGAAAATTAAAAATGTTTAATTATCAAATACACAAATTTTGAAATCGAAAGTCCTAATACAAATATTATAGTATCTACAACATTTTTAATGTTATTTATTCTTTCAGCTCAAACAATTTAGACACTATATAATAAAATCTTTTAGAATTAATTGTTTAATTATTCAAGAGATCATCATCACTTATTGTAAGGAAGATATAAATCTCTACTAAATTAAGAGTGGATAGTATTTTACAATTCAATTTAGTAATGAAAAGAAAATAAAATAATTAAAAAATGTTATTAAATATAAATTTTATCCGGAAAACTCAACAAATACAAAGAAACGAATGTATATTGAACAAGTCTATCAATTTGAATTCAAATATCTGCATTCTTTACCTAGAAAATGTATGTAATTTACATGAAATTTGATGTTGATAGAAAAAAAAAGATTATAGCCCAAGTTTAATAATGAGAATTTACTAAGCATAAATAATGTTATGATCTAATTTTGTTTCTCATATTTTCTAGTTACACTTTAAAATAAATAATAATTAAGTTAATTAATATTATAAGTTAATTAATTAATAAAAAAAATTACATAAAAGAAACACTATATCATCGCCAAATAAATCTTCAACTTTCCTTCAACTATACAAAAAAATAAGAGTATAATTTTTTATTTTTTATTATCTATATGTATTTATTTAAAAAATAATTTTTAAAAATTATATCTAATTAAATAATGAAATGTAATTTTTATTTTTTTTAATCTTAACCACATGTATCTGAAGTCCACTGGGTAGAACTAAATTCTGCTCACTCCAGGTTGGCTCAAGAAAGGATAAAGTGCTCTACACATAAGGATCAAACCCTCGACCTTACTTAAGGAGAAGAATGCCGAACCACTCATTGGTATAAAATGTAATTTTCGAATTGGTTACGCCTAAAACTATTTTAGAATATTTCAAATTTCATTAAGGTCGATATCGAAAATCTCATTATTTCTTTTATTCCCACATTTATATATAGTATAGATAGATATATAATACAAATAAAATAAAAATTTTACCTTTTTTCAGAGTGAAAAGGACAAAAAAAAAAAAGAATGATTATGTAAAGATAAACATGAGGGACTAATTTAATTAACCAATCTTAATCTCACTCCAAATAAAATGAATTATTACTTTTCTTTGTAATTTTTTAAAAGTCAAAACAATATGGTAGATTAATAATATATATTAAATTAATAAAAAGTGATGAAGAAAATTTAAAATTTAAGACATTCTGTTCTTAAAAGACGAAAAAGTTAAAATACCGTGGCGAATTAATAATACATATTAAATTAGTGAAAAGTCTTGAAACGAAGAAAATTTAAAGTTTGAAATATTATATTCTGGGTATTTTTAAAATTAATTAATATTTTTTTATGTATAATTTTTTGGAAGAATTTATTTATTTTATGTTGAAGTATCAATTTTATCCTTAATTTAGTGAAGTAGACTCGGATCAAAGAAATGATATTACTACTTTCATTAATGGCCTCTAATCAGCAAAGCACCACCTTCCAATAAAGAGGAAAGATGTAAATTGTAATTATTTTTTATCAAAGGCCCAGTGGGGCCATCCAAATTCTATTGTGATCCATTTTATCAAACAAGATAACATACTTTTTTCTCAATAAAATGCTATTTTTTGCCTGGCTAGAACTCAAGGATAATTTAGTAAAAATACAATAACTTCCATAGCATTTTTTTTATTTTAATTTTTTATTGACTAATAAAAAAACCTGAATTGATGAATTTTTTTTTTTATAAACGAGTAGTAGACTCAATGAATCAGAATAATATTGTGGATTACACAACAGATATAGAGATTTAGTGACCTAACTTTCTTCTTCCCCAAAAAAAAAAAAAAAAAAAAAAAAAAAAAAAAAACTACTTTCTCAATTTTAGATTTCAATAACAAAAAAAAAAAAAAAAAAAAAAAAAAACTACTTTCTCAATTAGATCAATAAGCAAAGTTACGTATCAATTAAATTTATAAAATAAATTCATAATATAAACTTAGTTTTTGAATAAATAAATATTAAGAATTGAATTCTGATCTTATAAATTAAGTTATATCTGATCAATTATTATAAAAAGAATATATATTTTAAATAAACAGACAATGAACTTTAAAGCCACGTTAAATTATCAATAATAATAAACTCCAATTTTGACAGTTTTACCTTTCTATTAGTAGAATTTAACATCAAACGAGGATTTGCTTGGATTTTTCTTTAGTGGAAACAAGAGCTCCTCAATGGCTTTTTACTAGTTAGTTTATTTTCCAAACAAAAATGATTTGGCAAGGTTGCCAAAACTAGAAGGGAATAGTTAGTAAATGGCACATGGAAGAAAAGTTCAGTAAGCTAAGCTCCAATGGTGCATGTGGGCAAGTGGGCAAGACCTTACTTTTGGCCTCTCTTGATTCTTATCATAGTCTTTCACAAGTGGGCATATTTCATTTTTCTTTGTCTATCTTTATACAAACTTGATTGTCTTACCCTCAAGACTAAAGAGTACTTTTAGGGGTTTAGAGTTAAATTTATGCAAATTGAAAATATATAAATATTTTTTTACATATTTGGTGATAAAATATTATATTTTTTAAGGTAAAATTTGATAGAAAAAAAAAAGAAATATATAAAAAGTGAGTAATTTGGGAACACAAGTATTCTTTGCTATTTAACTTTCTCATCATTTTAAAAGCCACTTTTTTCAATACATAAACAAATAATGGCAACATTACCTTGACCAAATTGCATGAAAGTTCTAATTTTGTATGAATAATCAACAATCCCAATAGGAAAATTACATTAATTAATTAATTAATTAGAAGGGGGTTTTAATATTATTAATGGGTAAAAATTAAAAATTAAAAAAAAAATGAAATAGAAAAATCATGGAACTTTCTTTGTGTTGAAACCAAAATCTCCTTAGTAGACCTACAAATGCAAAAGCCAAGGTCTGAAGTGCAAATGTAGAGATGAATAAATTAATGTCCACTTACTTAAACATCAAGATGGGTCTTTACACCTTTTACATATTTCTTTTCCAAATTTTTTTTCTTTTTTGTTTATAATATAGGGATTGTTAATTTGAAATGGAATATTATTTAGTGGCAAAGAATATGTTCATGAAATTATAAAATTAATATGTTTTTCTTAAATAAATAATCAAAAATTAATACTTTTACTATTAAAGTATTGACCCAATAGCAATGAATATGATCTAAATGCTTGCAATCAACATTTGGCTAAACCATTTTCTTCTTTTCTTTTAATTAATATTTTAATTTAAACTTTATTCCAATGAAAAGTATGATAAATTATTAATTAAAAATTTTGTTAATAAAATAAGAGACTCAACTACTCATTAATAAGCTTGTTCATGAGTTCAAATTCTCAGCAAATTATTATTTATTTTAGTTTAATTCATAAAAATTTGAATATATAATTTTAAATCAGTTAAATAGCTTATAAATTTATTTTAGTTCAAATTCTTAAATTTTATTTTGACCTATTGAATACTTCAATTTATAAAATAAGATCAATTAAATACTTATTCGATTATTAAAAATATAAAAATTATTATTATAAAAATTATACTAATCACATACCAAATTAAAAGTTTACATATAAAAAGCCAAAAACCTTAAAAATGTTTCAAGCGTGATGATGTCCGAAAAAGTTGGATAAAAAAAGGTGTGAAAATAAGAATTCAACATTAAAATCCTGACGGTGCAAATTAGTCAAATTGTTACGCAAAAGAATTAGAAGAGACACGTTAGAAAATGCAGAAGAAGAAAATTTTTTGACACGCAAATCAGGAGCAATATTAGAAACTGGATCTCAACTAAACTACGTGTTTCATGGTTTTGATTTTGAGTCTCTTTTTCAATCTCTTTCAGCTTCTCTCATCAATTACTTCTCAATTCTTTATCTATTGACTATTATGGATTTTGATTATTCTCTTTTATTTATAAAATAATTGTAATAAGAAATATAAATACCTATTTGAAGTTTCTTTTTTTATGTCCTCTCTTTAATTAGTAATTAATTAACCATTTTACTGTAATTTTTTCCTTTTATGTTGCGTGATGAACTTCATTATGAGTTGGAGCCTTGGAGGAAAGACATAATTGCTCTCTAAACTTAAGTTTTTACTATATAATTAAACATTAATTGTATATTATTATGAAATACCATTTCAATATAAATATAAATCAGAGATTTTAATTTTCTTTTTTAATTTTATCTCTTTGATTTTTTTTTTCTCTATAAATGACGCGTTTCAAGATAAATATAAATATAAACACTATTAATAATAAATAATTAATGCTTTAATTTATGTAGAAAACTTATATTTCCAAGAGTTCACCAAAGCTACAGTACAAAGTAATTGTCTCTTAGAAATAAACCATTTCATTAAGATTCTTTGGAATTAAAAAACCAGAGGCTGACTGATTTACACGTGTCACTTACTTTAACCTCTCTCACACACAATGATTGGATATATATATCTATCGTGTCAGCTAATTTGGACGGTACCCAATGCCCACTTGTCAACGAATCAACGGTAGATTACTGTCCTTTCCGATCAAATCATTAAACATAAACTAGTACTTGTAATCAGGAGTAGTAATTTGAATAGTGGTCCAATCAGTGGTTTTAATTCATTATTATCTGATTGGATCAACTTCTATCAGATCTCAGCCGCTGGATCCGCGTCGGTAAACTCGAAATGGAACATATTACCAAAATCTAATTCTTATAAATTCAGAAGACAGCTTTGTCAGTTGGTTTCACAGTAGAGTGAGAAACTTGAGAGAGAAAGTGGAGATAGATAGAGAGAGGGTGGGGAATATGAAGACCAGAGAGAGATGGCTATGGCAGTGATTTTTTTTGGGACCAATTTCCCCCTTTCCTTTTTTCTTAAAAAAAAATTAAGTTTTGGTGAAGAATTTACCGATAGTTCTTCCTTCTGGTGAAGAGAAATTGAAATTCCCTTCTGATAAGGTTTTTTTTTTTTTTTTTTTTGGTTCTTCCCTTGCTGGTGAAGAGAAATTGATTCCCGTCTGATAAGGTTTTTTTTTTTTTTTTTTTTTCAATCGGCGAAAACGTTTTCAGTTTTCGAAAAGGTTTTGGTATTTTCTGGCATAACGTTTCGGTTTTTTTTTTTTTTTTTTTTCAATCGGCGAAACGTTTTCAGTTTTCGAAAAGGTTTTGGGATTTTCTGGCATAACGTTTCGGGGAGATGCCTTGGGGACTATACATGATTGGATCCTCTGAGATGAGGGAAATTTCCGGTTTTGCTTAAAGGTTGTTTTTTCATTTGGAACACATATTTGGTTATTTCATTTTTAAATTTATTGAAGACTAGGCGAAAATTGATGTTTTTTTAATCTCGATTAGTGCGATTTCTGGGGTGGAGATTGGAAAAAGTTTTGCTCTTTTAACGGGTATTTTTTCGAAACGATAAAAGCAATTTTGGCTTCTGGGTTCGTTTCCATTTCCATTGTTCTCGACTGATAATTTTTGGTGTTAAACAATTAAGTGTTCTTTGTTTTATTGGTTTGAACTAGCTACCTCTGAAGGATTTTCCTTCTTTAATTTTATGGGTTTCCATATTCTTGTTCTTTAGATAATGATCCACTAATTCACTAGTTTAGTAGGGATGATATTTTTTAGCAATTCTTGAGAAGACCCTTTTCTTTTTTACTATAACTTCTGCTTTAGCACTTTCTGGCAGGATTTGGCTTTTCATAATTGCCATAATTTGAGAGAGATATATTAATGGGTTTGATGGACTGAAATTTGATTATATGTTTTTTAGTTTCGTTAAAATGGAGTAGACCACTTGTTAATCATTTTGTTGCTGCAAAAGGCAGAAGCTACTTACAAATCCAATTCTTTTTCAAGAGTTGAGGGCGCGAAGATGGCTGTTTCTTTGACCCGTTTTTCATGGTGGTTGTGGAGTGGTAAGGAGAAAGAACCAGTCTCAAATGGCTCTTCTTTGAGTTCATCTACTGATTACTTGGTTTCTGGATTGAGAGAGCTTGATTCTTTTAAATTCCCCACAAAGAATTTGGCATCACCGAGAAAAGTTAGGAGGAAATGGCATAGTAGGGAAGAAAGGAAAGTTGATAAGCATTATGGTGATGCTGTTGTGGTGCCATCAGATGGTGGGGTTTGCTTATCAGGTTCAGAATCTGATGGCCCAGATTGGTCCATCGGGTGGGTTGAGCCTCATGGTCCTGATTTTAGAAGTGACGAAGAAAATGACGATGGCTTTGCAGTGCTGGTTCCTTGTTATAGGCCTGGTTGTAAGGAATTAGTGGACAATTCAAATAACCAGCTTTTAAGTGCCATCAAGAATTTACCAAATGAATTCTCTTCCGGTAAGTTATATTTCCTTTTATGTATATTTTCTTTTAGTTGTATTAGTTGTATGTCGTTTCTTTTCTTGTGCTTTTTAAGCTGTTTTGATTGAGTTTGAAGTGTAAAAATTAGTAGTTGTTGAACCATTTAAGTTATTGACTTCTATCTATTGTTGGGCGGTCAATTGTTGATGGTTCTTGTCATCTATAGAACTATTTTGATTTTTATTTTGATCTGAACGAAATTATCTGTTACTTTTATTATCATTTGGATTGGTAATTGCATAGATATTTGAGTAGGTGGCACTGCAGCTAATAGTGTCACTAATTGTCTTTTGAAAGGCTTCTTAGATCCTTTTAGAAGACATGTAATTGAACGGTGATGATTAAGGGAAAAGATGTAAAATGCATTTCTTGGTGCCCAAATATTGGATGCAAAGAAATCACTATTAAAATTAGGAGAATAAATGCTCTGTTACAGTTCAAGAATAGGTGCCTAGGAGAAACTCTGTAGATTCTATATACACCAAACCTCAACCATGAATACGCTTCTGTCAAAAAATTGTTTATTCCATTCTATTGAAGGCGACATTTTCCAGAGGTTTAAGTGAACTGATTATGGCTATTTCATGATCAAACCTTGCAACCTATTAACAAGCTGTTGAGTTTGGCGTGCCCATTTAAAAGCATTGCCATGCCTGTCCTGAATTTTTTAATTTGGAATGTGGCATAGGTGTACATGACACATGACTAAGAGGAACATGATTATTGTCATGTCACCACCTATTATAGGCATGAAATAGTTGGCTGCTTACTGAATAACCCTCTGGAGGCATGTGACATCTTGCTCATTGAACTGACTGTCAACTTTGTTGATAATAATGTTGAACTGCACGGATTGGGTTGGCAGGAGGGAGGTCCACCATGCCATCTGCAAGTTCTGTTGTGTGTATTTGAGTCTTGAAAGGTTTAGTTCATGGAGAAACTTGTGGAGTCTCGATGGATTGTTAATTTTTGGCTGAAAGATCCAGTGGCAGATCTACATTATAAAATGAGATTGACCCTCTTTTTTATTTTTATTTTTTCATCTTCTTTATATATATTAATATATTTGTTCAAACTTACACAATTAAATTTAATTTTTACTTAGTTGACCTCTCTTTTCTTTTTAAAAATTTATATGGACCCAGAAAAAAATTTTCTAAATCAGCTGCTGTTAAGGTCACCTTGTAAATTTGTTTGTGTGTCTGGTGTGTTTCCTTTATTTATTTATTTTTTTTGATTCATTGCAGAACAGCCTCTCTCTTTCATATGATTCTGAAATTTAACATGCATGCCTAGTTATATTTTCATTGAATGTGCAGAGGGAAAGAAATACATGGAGTTGCTATCTGCTGTTCAGAATTTCTGAAGTCTAGAGTTGGCTGGCAGCTAATGACTATTGCATCCGGTGATACTTTCAATAACATAGCCTGTGACTTCAGATTATATCTGCAAGAGCTTCTTGAGCTGAAGTGCTAAGGATCAAACATCCATTCAAGTTGAGGGTAAAGGCTCTTAGTTTAGAAAACATGTTAAATATGTTTAATTTAGGGAAGACTTAGAAGAAGAAAGATGTTTCTCAGTTAATGCCATGCTAGTGATATTTCAACGATTAGGTGCTGATACTGGTTGAAAGGGAAAATATGAGACGAGATGGGAATTTTTTTTTTTTTTTCTTTTGTGTAAATACTGCTGCTTTTGTAAGATATATGCTTTGAGCTTACTAGTGCTTCCATGCATCTACCACTAGTACTTGTAAATAATTCTCATCTTTCCCTGTTCATCAATGGCAATATAAAAAATATATAAAGCTTATAATCTTGCACCTGTTTTTGATTTCTTTTTGTTAGAACGCTTTTATGTGCTTTTCCTTGATCTTGTTTCATTTTTACAAAACAGAGCCTCTGTTTTATGACAACAATCTGTGTCACGATGGGATTTGAATGTGAAATTCTCTAGAGATTTCAACACTATCAGTTGGCCAATGTTAATTTGAATTCTCTTCATGTAAATTATTGGACTATTTTCATTGATCCAATGGTGCAAGCTTGTTGTTTACTATTTTTTGTCATTTCTTTGCTGAATCATGAAATACTGAAGATGATAATACATTCCAGGGACTAGAACCGTAAATTTTGACCATGACTACTTTGATTTTCCCATCTTTTTCCTTACCTTTTATTTATTTATTTATTTATTTATCTATTTCCTGGGAAGGGAATTGTTCATTGTTAAAAAGAGGCAGTAAGTAGTTTGGGCTTATTGGACCACGTTACTGTTGAGCAGTTGACGCATAAAAAGGGTGAAGCTTCGAAAGAAATGCCTGCAGAGATCACATGACACGAGAGGATTCGGCAGTTGTTGGCAGATAGTGATTCTTCAGAGGTTCTAGGACTGTATGTCCACCCCCACCGTCTTTCTTATCCTGAGGCAAATTTTGCTGTCGTCAGTAGGCATCAAGATTCAAATATTACCCCCCTTGGGATATGCGATCGAGTCTAACTGAGTTGAATTTTATTGAACTCCAACTTTACTCAGTTAAAAGTTTATTCAGCTCGAACTCAATTTAAATTTGTCTTTTTATAAGAATTTTACTCATTTATTAGATTAACAAGTTCGTGTTCAGTTCAACGAAAATAAAAAATGAGTTTTGACGAATTATCTAAATTTTGCAATTTAGAATTATTTTGACTCAAAACAACCTCCTAACAATAGGCTAAAAGCTTATATTCTTAGCATATCCCCTTTCTATCTCTAGTGTCTTATCTTTGCCCAAACTTTAACTTCTATTATAGAAGCTTCTATCCAAACTAGTAATAATTTGAGATCTAAGCAAATCCCTCTCAACCCTTTTCCTACCTTAGCAGCTGTAATAACTTGTATTGTTGGCAACAAGTTGATGAGTTCATTAATAAAATAAATATATATAATATTAAAATATAATTATCTTAAAGTTTGATAACAATTAACATTAAATTATTAACTATATAGATCATTTTAAGAAAACAATGGAAGATATTATTGGAGTATAAATAAAGTCATGCCACAATTTTTTTTTTATCCAAAAGTTATTATTACTTTTGTTATAATTCTTATTTTTGGTAAATTATTATTTATCCCTTGAAGTTTAACCAAATACAATTAGTAAGCACTTTCCAAAATATATTATTTAGTTTTTAAAGCTATATTTTGTCATATTATTTAGTTTCTCCATGCAAATTAAAGTGATTTTAACAAACAAATACATAAAAAATTAAAAAAAAAATCATCAATATCAACAAAAATATTAATTATCTTCGATTTCACCCAATAAAAAATCCTAAAACCTCTAGAATATTCTCATATAGCCATGACCATTTGTTTTACTTGTCTCTTTAAGAGGATTTTTAAGAAGATAGACCATGAAAAAAGCGATAATTTTGCTGATGTATGAGGATTTTTTTTTTTTAGGGGAATGTATGAGGATATTTAATTATTATCATATATTTAACAATAAAATCATTTTTAATCAATTTATTAATTTTTTAACAAAAAAAAAAAAAGGAAGAAAAAGGAAAGCAGACTTTTTTAATATGGCGATGGGTAGGTCCGGTCCAGTCCAGTCCAGAGACAGGGATCATTCTCTTTTGATTTGGTCTGGCAAAGATCCGCGTCAGCGTCTTCATGAATTTTCACAAACAATATTTTACATTTCGGACAACTTTAAATCCAAAAATCAGGAATCGAAACCTGACAAATTTTATTTCAATATCGTTCTGGTTCGAGAATGAAAATTATCCCATGTAAAGAAAAATAATAAAAGCAATTTAAAATAGGTGCACGATTTACACTATATTGTCAAAAATTAGGTAATCAGCTTTTATTTCTAATAAAAACTATGGTTTGATTTTTCCAGAAAAGTTTAAAGCCAAAAAAAAAAAAAAAAAAAAAAAACAAAAAAAAAAAAAAAAAAAAAAAAGAAAAGAGTAGTGCCTTGACACCCTGAAAAAAAAAAAAAAAAAAAAAAGAAAAGAGTAGGTGCCTTGTACACCCTGGAAAGGCAAAACCATAGTCTTTCTATTTTGATTTTAATTTTAATTTTTTTCCTTTTTATTTATTTATTTATTTAAAAGAAAATTAAGGTATAAACAGGAAATTCAGGCGAAAATTGCTCTCCTCCATGATCTCATAATTAGAGTGTCTTAAAAACTTATACACAAACACATTTTCACATTCCTTTCTTTCTTTTGTTTGTTGCAAATTTCTTGTCAAAGTCTTTATGTTTCTTTCAAATTGAAGCCTTTCATTACTTTTATCTTTTTTTGAAAAACAATTAAAAATTAAAAAAAAACTCTCCCTCTCTCTCTCTCTCTCTCAAAACTATAGGGTATTGGGTTCCATGTCTTGTATCCTTGTTGTTAAAGAGAGAGAAAAAAGAGAGGGTTCCATGTATTTTGGCCTACTCAAAGAAAGCTCTATATTTCTTACATAAACAAGAGAAAAGGAAGTGAAAATCGAAGAGAGAGAAAATGTTGCAGAGAGCTGCAAGCAATGCTTATTCATGGTGGTGGGCAAGCCATATCAGAACAAAACAATCAAAATGGCTGGAGCAAAATCTTCAAGGTAACAACTTTTCTTTTTTCATTCTTTCAACAACTGGGTGTTTCTTAAGGCTAGATGGGTTCTTTTATTTTTCTTGATTATTTGTATATAGAAAATTTTGATAGCAATCTCAAAGTTTTTAGGTTCTTTTTGGTGGGACATGCAGAAATATCACTGACGTTGTAGAGATAATTGACAGTGTAAATTGTTTCGCAGATTTTTACAATAATCTGGATTATTGAAGACATTATAATGCAGCATTATGTGTATTAAATCTAATTTCTGGAGAACTTTGTTCCAATGATATAGAAAAGTATTGGAGGAGAAAAAGAAGAAAAAGAACATAATTTTCCTTATTACATTGGTGATCTTGCCAATGGTAGTTAAAATATGCCATTCACAAGTAGCAATCGGGGGGTTTCTTCCAACAAATAGAGATTTTTTCTTTCAAGTGATAGTTTTATTAATATAATATATATAAGAATCACTACAGTACAAATTTTATTACATCCTTGATCATGAAATATCAAATAAGTTTTCGGAATTTCTCGTTAATTTCGAATAAATTTCAAAGTAAATGATATCCAATTTTCTTCTGATGAATTACTTTTATTAACAAATTCCAGAATTATATTTTCTTTCCTGCCTATAAAAAAAAGGTTTTGAGTCTTTTCCACAGATAAAAACTCAATCTTTGTCTTAATTTGCTAGAAAACTACTGACAATACAAATGTGAATTCACAGATATGGAAGAGAAAGTACAAACTGTGCTCAAACTTATCGAGGAGGATGGAGATTCCTTTGCCAGGAGAGCAGAAATGTACTACAAAAAGAGGCCAGAGCTTATACATTTTGTGGAAGAATCTTATCGAGCATACCGAGCCTTAGCAGAACGTTATGATCACATATCAACAGAGCTACAGAATGCCAACAATACTATTGCTTCTGTTTTCCCAGAACAAGTCCAATTTGAAATGGATGATGATGATGATGAGATGCCTAGATTCCCAAGGAAGGTTATGGACCCTTCAAAAGGAAATATCCCAAAAGTTCCAAAGGCTCCAAAAGATTTGAAGCGTATCTTTAGCTCAGCAACAAAGAAAATGCAAGCTAAGAAGCCAATGGAAAAAACAAATAATTCTAGTGTTGCAAAATCTGGTTTGAGCAAGTCTGAGGGACTTAAAGAGATTGGCCGGATTCAAAAAGAAATTTTGTCATTACAAACTGAGAAAGAGTTTGTTAAGAGTTCTTATGAGAGCGGGCTAAAAAAGTATTGGGATATTGAGCAGACAATCACCAGTAAGCAGGAGAAGGTTTGTAGTTTGCAAGATGAATTTGGTGCAGGTACAGTCATTGAAGATGACGAGGCTCGGACATTGATGGCATCAACTGCCTTAAAATCATGCCAGGATACATTAGCTCAGTTGCAAAAGAAACAAGAGAAATCTGCAGAAGAAGCAAATGCTGAGCGCGAAAGGATAAATGATGCCCGAGAGAAGTTGAAATCTCTCAAGGATGAGTTTATGCATGGTGAGATCAATCAAGAAAAACCAGTAGCCAACAATAAATCAAGAATAACAGTTGAAGGGCAGAAGTCGGACAAAGAATCTAACAGTAGTAACATGAAAGAGAAACATGATTTGGAGAAGTTACGTGAAAAAATTAGAGGACAACTTGAAGTTGGATCAAATGAATCTCTCACTGTGACAGAACTTGCAGAAAAGATTGATGAGATTGTGAACACTGTGATTAGCTTAGAAGCTGCAGTTTCATCTCAAACAGCTCTTATACTGAGATTGAGAACTGAAACTGATGAACTTCAAACACAAATTGGAATCTTGGAGGATGATAAGGCAACGCTGACTAGTGGGAAAAATGATTTGACAGAGAAGCTGAGAGATATGGAGGAAAAGTTGCTTGGACTCCAGGAACTGGACCAAAATGTTGAAGACGAGAGTACCAATCTTCAAATACATTTTACTGAAGCACATTGTAACCTTGATACGCTTTCGGAGAAAATGCATAATGTGAAGCCAGATGAGGAGCTTGAGGCCACAAAGCAAACAGGAAACGGATATGTAATTGAAGTTGAATCACGTCAGAAGAAGTCCAATACTAAGAGGTCAAAAGAGAAGCAGAAGGGTTTAGGTAAAGCACATGAAGGAGTCAGAAGAAAGCCTAATAGCAATTCTAATGTATTACAGAAGGTGAAGCAGCATGAGGCACTACAGGTTTCAAGCTCTTTGCCAATAGAGAAACCTGCTAAAGTCGATTCAGAGGCTGAGTTGAAAGCAAAGGGAGGAAAACTTAATAGTGAAGCATTGAAGGTTTTGGGCACTTCACAGAAAGAGAAGGAAGTTTGTGCTGAAGTCAATTCTCAGGCAGAGTTGAAAGCACAAGGAGAAAAACTTAATAGTGAAGCAATGAAGGTTTCGGGCACTTCACAGAAAGAGAAGGAAGTTTCTGCTGAAGTCAATTCTCAGGCAGATCTGAAAGCACTAGGAGAAAAACTTAATAGTGAAGTAATGAAGGTTTCGGGCACTTCACAGAAAGAGAAGGAAGTTTCTGCAGAAGTCAATTCTCAGGCAGAGTTGAAAGCACAAGGAGAAAAACTCAATAGTGAAGCAATGAAGGTTTCGAGCACTTCACAGAAAGAGAAGGAAGTTTCTGCTGATGTCAATTCTCAGGCAGAGTTGAAGGCACAAAAAGAAAAACTCAATAGTGAAGCAATGAAGGTTTCAAGCACTTCACCGAAAGAGAAGGAAGTTTCTGCTGAAGTCAATTCTCAGGCAGAGTTACAAGCACAAGGAGAAAAACTTAATAGTGAAGCAATGAAGGTTTCGGGCACTTCACAGAAAGAGAAGGAAATTTCTGCGGAAGTCAATTCTCAGGCAGAGTTGAAAGCGCAAGGAGAAAAACTTAATAGTGAAGCAATGAAGGTTTCGGGCACCTCACAGAAAGAGAAGGAAGTTTCTGCTGAAGTCAATTCTCAGGCAGAGTTGAAAGCACAAGGAGAAAAGAAAGAAAAGGAAATTTCTGCTGAAGTCGGTTCACAGGCAGAGCCAAAAACACTAGGAGAAAAACTTGATAGCGAAGCACTGAAGGTTTTGTGCCCTTCTCAGAATGAGAACAAAATTTCTGCTGAAGTCTATACCCAGGCAGAGCTGAAACAACAAGAAGAGAAAATTAATTTGGAGGAGCTCAAAGTTTCAGACTCTTCAAAGAAAGAGGAGGAAATTTCCACTGAAGTCAATTTGCAGACAGAGTTGACACAACAAGAAGGAAAAATTAATATGGATGATCTCAAAGTTTCAGAATCTTCAAAGAAAGAGGAGGAAGTTTCCACTGAAGTCAATTCACGGGAAAAGTTGGAAAAACAAGGAAAAGATATTAACATTGAGGAGCAAAAAGTTTCAGTCTCTTCACAGACAAAGGGGGAATATTCTGCTGAAATCAATTTGCAGGCAGACTTGAAGAAGCAAGAAGAACTCAACACTGAGAAGCATAAAGTTTCAGACCCTTTAACGAAAGAGAAGGCATTTTCTGCTGAAGTCAATTTGCACGGAGAGTTGGAAAAACAAGATGAAAAACTAAACACTGAGAATCTCAATGTTTCAGGTAGATCCCATGAAGAATCTAGCAGACAAGAGAGTACAAGAGACCCTGATGCCAGTCTTGACAAGCAACAACATGTGAAGCCATATGAGGAAATACAGGTCTCAGGATTTTCAAAGAAAGGAAAGGCTAAAGATCTGAAGAACAGACACAAAGAGAAAAAAAAACTCGACCCCAGCACCACTAATAGAAATGACAGAGAAAATGTGAATCTATTGAAGACAAAAAATGATCTAGATACTCATCTAGAGAAATCAGGTGACATAAAATTGGAGGAAAATGTTGACAAGCAAGCTTCAACCAAGGATGCGGACGATGTCCTTCCAGTTGAAGAACAAGAGCAGGCAAGACAGCAAGAAGATGAACCGGACTGGAAGCAGTTGTTCACGAATGGAATGGCAAATAGAGAAATAACTTTATTAACTGAATATACTACAGTTCTTCGGAATTATAAGGAGGTCAAGAAGAAGCTCAATGAGGCAGAAAATAGAAATAAAAATGAGGATGGTCTCTTTGATACAATGGTCCAATTAAGAGAACTGCAGAATGCTATTGCAAAGAGGGATGAACAGATTAAACTCTTACGTGAGAAGCTGAACCTTCTCCAAATGGGCTTAGGTGACGACAATGAACCAGACCAATCATCCTTGACTGATTCCCCACATACAGAGATAGAAGTAATATATGATGTCAGAATGATGATGATGATGGAAGAGCCAGAGATCTCAGCGATTGAAAAGAAATTCAGGATGAGCATTGATGAACTACTAGAGGAAAATTTGGATTTCTGGTTGAGGTTCAGTTCTAACTTCGGTCAAATCCAGAAATTTCAAACTGAAATCAAAGATTTACAGTCTGAGCTGTTAAAACTACAGGAAAAACAAAAGAAGCTAGATGGTAGCACTAGTGCAAAATATTGTTTGAAATCAGATGCAAAGCCATTATACAAGCACCTTCGAGAGATTCATACTGAATTATCAGTCTGGCTAGAAAAAAGTGTGCAACTGAAAGATGAATTGAAAAGCAGATTCTCATCTTTATGTGACATCCAAGAAGAAATAACAGCTGCTTTGAATGAGAGTGCTGAAGACGATGACTTCAAGTTCACAAGCTACCAAGCTGCAAAATTCCAAGGTGAGGTTTTGAACATGAAACAAGAAAACCACAAGGTTGCTGATGAGTTGCAGGCTGGCTTGGACCATGTTACAACACTCCAGTTAGAAGTTGAGAGAACTTTGGGAAAGTTGAATGATGAGTTCAAGCTTGGTGGATCAAAGAACTCTACAACTACTATCCAGCTCGATCATTCGGACAGCCGAGGTCGAGTTCCTTTGAGGTCATTTATCTTCGGTGTCAAACCAAAAAAGCAAAAGCATTCAATCTTCTCCTGCGTCCACCCTGTACTGCAGAGGAAATACAATGGTTTGAAATCAGGGGTTAATGTGTAAATGGATTCTGTGTGTGGTTTACTACATTAGTAATTTTGTTTTCATGAATTTTTTCTCACTGTCTTTTTCTATTTTTATTTTTAAGAAGCGGAAGCTTTACCTTCATTTTTACAGGGCTTGTTTTCTGTAATGTAGATGTTCATAGTTAATGAATACAACAGGAATATTTCAGCATATTCAAATACCACCTTTTTTATTTATTCAGCTCATTGAATCTGTGTTGCACATGAGTATGCAAACGAGCCAAGCTGAGTCGAATATCGTCAGCCTCATCTACACGAGCTTGATCTTTTAAAAAATTACCAATTTATGTTATAAATTCAATAATTCATAAATTTATCAAAAATTAAAATATATTTACTAAATTTTAATTATTATACTATTGAAAATTATTTGTAGTAATTTTTTTAAAAAAAAATATCTATGCGTAGAAACTATAAACAAAAATACATATATCTCATATATCCACAATTAAATTATATAAAAACTGACTCAGGAGCTGGTAAAGAGGCACTCGTGAATCTGGGCAAAGCCAAATTTTTGCTTAGTTTAAGCTCAATTCATTTATGAATCAACCATACGCTCGCTCAGCTTTAGGTGCTGGTACACATTGTATTAAAAATAATCTATAAGTATAAACAGATATTTCTTTTTTTTTTTTTTTCCAAATCTTGTTAGCATGATCATGTCCGTAGTTCACAAAACAAATAAACAAATAATAAGAATAAGAATAGCTTGAAACACAATTTTCCATCACAAATTGTGAACAGAATTTGACAGTACCTTATATCAGCAAACTAGTTATTTACCACAAATTCCCACCTCTGACCCTAACCTGGCCTTGCTAAGTAAAATTTACTCTCTCCACGTATATACACATATATTATAACATTTCTCCATGTATTAGAAAGCTTCCCTGCCAGCATTTTTGGATAAATGAAGATCATAATTATTGCAGTGCACTAAAAGAAACCTCTGAGACAACCTTGGCTCCCCTCCCCTTGGCCATGTAAAGACCTATGTGATGCATCAGCTCCTGTGACAAGAAAAACAAAATACAATAATAATAATAATAAAGAAAAAAATATTAGCAAGAAATCTTTCCCTTGTGTTTGTCTAAGCGTGCACGTGTGTGTTTTGCAGCCGATGCTGGCCCTCAAACAAATCAGCATTGTCTAAAACACATAAGTGATAACTTCAAACTTCGGAATTTACATTATGCCATCACACTGAAAGGAAACAAAAGTTTTAAGAATTTCCTGTAATAATCCAAAATGAAAATAAAAAACAAAAATGAAGATCCTTTGTATTGTTCCTCTGATTTCTAAGCCCTCGTAAAGCAAGTTAGCAACTTTTCCATGGGATTTTCAGGATTGCATTGATAGGCAATCTAAAACCATCAGATCACACAACGGCTTCCTATCCAGGCTTGGTCCTTTAAGTCCACATTCATATTCAGCCTGTGTCAAAATGCTACTTATCTAAAGAATTTGCATAAAGCATCTCTCAATAGTAGCAAAATTAGCCTCTAAACTAATCACATTATCTGAGAACAATAACAATAAAATAGGAAGCAGCACAACACAGGCTTAGCTCGAAAGAAAATCTTGCGGTAAGCATTCTAACCTTGAATTCCAAAGAGCACGGAAAATGGGAAAAATAAAAAACATTCGACTGATGCATGAGTTGTGAAACGTGTAGCTATTGCAAATTCAACTCTTTTCCTAGACAGCTTTCCTAGTTATTGTTGTACAGTGTAAGACATAGTTGACAATCAGTCATTTCCTTCATCTGAATATCTTTACTGATATGACCAATAGGAGCTCGAACAGAAGAAACCAGATATAGTATTGTTGTATACACCAGAGTATCAGTAATATATCTAACGTTATCTAAATACCATATTAGTATGAGCCCGGAACCTTGAATAGTAAAAACAATAAGGAATAAAATAAAACAATTACTTCCTATTCTTTTGGTACACTGGAAATATTTAATGGGAGAGAGGTATAAGGGTTTGAATCGTTAACCTCTTAGTGCCTACACTATGAGGCAAGCACTTGACCTCCAGGTAATTGCTTTGTAGGGCCAAACTCCAACTTAAGAACCAACCTACATGGTGTGTGGTGGTACCGTGTGGTACCACTTCTAATAGAATTTTAAGATCACAGTAAACCTAACAAGTGCAACGATATAAAAAAGAAAACTTAAGGATATAAAAAAATGTTTTGCATTAGGTAAACCTCATTTTGACATATTCTTCAGTGAGGAAAAACAGCAGAAAAAAAAAAGGCTCCTTTTCGAATTTTCAGGTCCATTTGAACTTTGGCAACATAACTTATAGCTCCATGCAACAATTAATTGACCATTTCAAATAGCCTATTCTAATCCAAACACAAGGGACAATTTTCTTATGAAAATAGGCTGGAAAATGAGCAAGTACAAGAAAATGCAAGGTTAAATGATTTACAATACCTGCGGATGTGCTGTAACATCCTTGATAGTTCTGGCAACATGAACTGGAAGGTCAAATGTTGCACAAGCTTGAGAATACACAAACACATCCTCTAGAGGAGAAAGAAAACCGCGATTCCTAGCAGATAGTGTTGAACAAACAAAATCCAGAACGCATATATCCGTGCAGATTCCTACCACAAGTATCTTTAACAGTAGATAATATATATTATTGTCCACCTTTAGAGAGAAACTTGCTGGAGTAATTAGTGAAGAGAGTAAATATAAAACACTTACAAATTTGATCTGATTAGTTTTGATCCATTCCACAAACAGATTTGACCCATCTTTTTCAATAGAACCTAAAAACCCATCAATACAATCCTTACACCTAAGTGTGACATTACTTTCATTTTCCAACCACTGCAATTCTACAAATCATAAAAAACAAAAGTACAAAAAGAAAAAAAAAACAAAAACCATAAACCAATCAAGTTATATAAATTTATATCATAACAAAATAAAAACAACGGAGTGGTACCTGGAACAAGCCTTGCCTCATCTGTTCCAGCAATACAATGAGGAGGGTAAGGGTGTTCTGGTATGTCAGGATGATGGGAATCAATAAAAGCAAAAACAGGCCATTTCTTGTCACAGAAAGCTCTAGCAAGCTTCACAGACTCTTCTACCATTGTAGAAATTTGCTTGTCAGGCTGTTTTGGGGCCTGTAGGACAAAAAATAATTAAAAATTTTAAAACAAAAAATATTGTGATTTAAAAAAAAGAACAAAGAAAGAAAAGAATACCAAATTGCCAGCACCGACGGTACAGAAGCCATTAACGATGTCGACGAGAACAAGACCAGCCTTAACATCGGCATTGAGAAGCAAAGAACCTTGTTCAACCGGAAGCTCCTGCTTTAACAATTCAATTGAGTTGGGGCTGGACATCATTGTCTCCTCTTCTTTCCAGTGATTTGCGAATCTTTGTGCAAGTAAATATATTTTCTTTACGGGGAGAGAAGTCTGCAATTGTATGCATTGGTTGAATTCAAGAGGAAAGTGACCAATCAGTATGTTTTTGGATTCAAAAAATGAAAAATCATAATTTTTTTTCTTATTTTATCATCGTATTGTCTTTCTAAAAAATAAACTATTTATTTAATTAAACATAAAATAATAAAAAGCGATACCAAGCAGTCCTCCGTCCACTCCGGGGTTGACTAAGACTTTTATTTTCCCCACACCCACTCCGAAGAAGATACTTTTTATTTTATTTTAATATAATATATTAAAATTTCATTGACAATTTCAAAAGAATATAAATAATAAAAGAGGACAGGATTCCTTAACCGGATCTAATAAAGAATTCTAATTAAAAGATAGAAAGTGACTTTCAAAAAAATTAAATCTCTAAATCCCATAAATTAACAACACTACCTATTACAAATAGCAAATATAATCATCTACGTAAGAAATTCTCCATTAATTGCACACTTGTTCCTAAATAATATGGATTTGTGTCAAACAAAACAGATTTATATTTTATAATTTATATAAGAACATAAGAATTAAAAAAAAAAGTTAATGAAATAAAGGAGAGAAGAGAGAGCACCAAGATGGTTTTTTTTTTTTTAACTGTTCTCTCGAAGAAGATATATTAAAACAGCATTGAAAACGAAAATAACGGTTTCATTTCTGGTGTCTAACGTGTTTTTAAAAAAAAAAAAATTTCTGATCTTTGAACATGAAAATTTTATAATTATCCAAATTAATGATTTATTTTTCAATTGGGAGCTTTTTTTTTTTTTTGAAAAGATTAAAATCTCATTATTTAAGAGAAAAAACCCAACATAAAATGGGGAGTACTATCCCAAATAACATGGCAAGCATGACGATAGACAGCTCTAGCTAGAGTATGAGCTCCTATATTAGCTTGCCTACGAACCCAACGGACCTCAAAATCAGGGTGAAGTCCTAGTAAATAGAGACAATCCGAAAGGTGAAGTCCTAGTAAATAGAGACAATCCGAAATTATAAGACCAAAAAAAGAGAAATCTGGAGCACTAGAGTTGAGCGCAAAAATAACAAGTTGCGAGTCCACATAAAAACATCCTGAATTATGGAAGAAGTTCACAGCAAAAAATAGGCCTTGACGAAGAGCAATCGCCTCAACGATGGCCGAGTGCGGTGTACCTTCATAGTAACCTGAAATAGCTTTCAAAAAAATACCTTCATCATCTTCAAATGTAACACCATATCCAGACACTTTTGATGCAGCAAAAATGGCGCCATCTGTATGTCCATGCCAATTTTTTGCGTGAGTAGGATCTTGCAAATTGATGACTAGACTTGGGCTTTGGAGAGTGGTGGGGACTTGTACTAATGTTGGTGTAGACAAAGCTGATGCAGAAAGAAGGTGAATCATTACTGCACTATTTGACCCTTCGAACTTTAAATTGTCACTAGGATTGGGCTGATGTATCAAACCCACTTGAATATGCCTCTGAGCTGTAGTGAATTCTTGCATGGAGTGCATGGCTCGCGTGTAGACTTAAATGGGAGTGCATGGAGTGCATGGCTCGCGTGTAGACTTAAATGGGAGTTAAGTGAACATTTTCCCAAAGCCGTTTGTTTCTCATGTGCCAAATACCCCATAGAATATTAGCAAATTTAGCAATTTTAGGAGTTTCATTATTTTGTGTTACCTGCATAAAAAAATCTTTAAAAGCAATGTTAGTGTTGGGCACAAGAAAGAAGTTATTTTCCTAGATTATTATATTCATTTGTTATTTGTTTTCTCTTTTTTGTTACATTATTTTGAAATTGAAAGAACATTAAAATGAATTTTTATAAGATAATAAAAAAATGAAAAAAAGCTAAATGAGTTGAATGAATATTTAAATTTAATACCATCTATTAAGGAAAATAGTTGATATTAATTTTTTGGCAAAATAATCCAGGTAAATACAATTGATTATAATTCTTGTTAATACTTGAAACTCTCATTTGTTAATAATTGAAACACAACTACAATTTGTTTTTCCTTTAAGATACTACAAATAACATTAATATAATAGTAAAGCATGTATAAAATAATTGAAATAATATAAACAGCTAGATGATATGATAATACAAACCTCAAAAAAGCAGATTCTACAAATTTGGCTGTCCTGTTCAAAGATTAGATTCCAGCGTAAAGAGATACTACTGGCTCAAGTCTTTTGCGTGCCTTGGAGTATCTTTTATTGTTAAAATTAAGTTCTCTACGTCCCACCACACCTCCCTGTTTTAGGTAAAGTACCATATATTCAATCTTTCGAAAACTGGGGTTTTGTTTTTTCTTGTTAAATTTTTACAATACATTTCAGAAAAAATAAGGATCATCCTTCTCTAAATCAAACAATTATCTTGACATGTTTCCTAACATAACAACGTTTAATGAATCCAAAAGACAGACCATAAGCTCGCGCGCCCAAGACACTATGACGGATAAAGACCAACGCTTCAACCAAAACAACATCAAACAAATATAGCTGCTATTTACAACATACTGTACTGTTCAAAACCTTGGTATGGGGTTGCTCGCGTATCAGGTGCTGCTCTGCTATATGCTATTTAAGAGATTCAGTTGATACTGAAGTTGCGCGCGTGGGTCACCTACCTTACAATATCAATGGCATTAAACCTTCTTGCACAAAAAATACAGAGATTCGACAACACCAGATGTATTTTTCATTTGCTTTTGTTCGCATCTTGTGGGAGCTGTAGACCCATGAGCCCAAGTAGATTGGAAGCTGGACCAGCATGTCCTTGTTGGGAAGAAAATGAATCTAGCAAGCTCTTCACCAGGTTAACATCCACATCTACAGGTGTGAATTCTTCATCCATGGCTTCCGGAGCATTTGATGTCCCCTGAATGGATATGATTCAAGCATTACATAGTTTGATAAAATTAAATAGCATGTAGGAAATCAGATGTAAATGGTGCCGATGCTTGTTGACATAAGTACATGTACATATTGCCCTCACCAAGAAACAGAAATGCTTAATACTTGTGGTTGCATGGCCCTATATAACGAGATGAAAAAATTACCTCCTTTTTATTGGAGTGATCATTTGCACGAATAAAGCTCTTCTCAAGAGTGGTATTCTTCAGTTCCTCATTCATAGCATCTGTATAGGTATGCATGAAAGTATCCTCTCCATCATCGTTCTCCACATACGGTTCCATATTATCACTCCCATCTTCTGATTCATCTGGAAACATTGAGAATAAATTTACAAGAACAAATACAAAAATGGGGAAGAGCCATGCCTTTTTTATGTTCATAGCATGGTCATGTTTAATAAGATGAAAAAATTTCAAAAAAAAAAAAAAGAACACTAAAACCACCAAAAGCCCAACAGAGAAAGACCATATTTAAGAAGGTTAAAAAAAGAGGACAGAAGACCATCATCAGAATCACGCCTTCAGCATACACAAACAAAGTTTCAATTTCAAATTTGTCAACAGTAGCAAAGTGTGCATTTGCTACAGTGATGTGTGTGAGAGAGTGATAAATGTCATCAATGTGGAAAGAATATTTTACTTTTATCAGAATATCTACATAGGAGAAGAAGTATAGATGTCAATGAAAAAAAATAATGCCTTCAGAACAAAGCTATTAAATCCATGACAAGTTATATACAAAGTACAGACTGTAATTAAAATTTCCAGGTGCAGTAGAGACTTCCAGAAAATGTAAACAAGGATAAAAATTATTCTCAAATTCTAAGTAGCACTGTACTTAACAAACTAAAGAACGGGAAAAAAAAAAAATTCTCTTACCAAATTCCATGTCTGATGACGATGCTTCTTCGGTATCAACATCACTAGCTTTATCTTGAGGGCTATGACGTTTGATCACTGATTCCATGTCCTTTAAGAAGCGGTCAACATCAAGGTCCACTTCTTTAAGGTTCCTTTAACAGTGACAAAGTACATAAAGATCAGTTACTTGTCCGACTAATATCAATAGGAAAAAAACACATTCCACTGATTGGAACCCACGAGGTGAGACCCAATTAAAAAGATATAAGAGGAGAATGAAAAAACAAACATTTGTAGAATGCAAATATCTCCTGCTGCTAGAATACCCTTAATCAAATTTACCATAGAAGGATCTTAACTCACAAGAGTTTACTGATAAAAAAACTGCTATGAGTTAATAAGTGCCAGCTCCAACCAATAATCATGAATGTAATGAGCCAATAAGCATATAAAGATAATAACAGATCTTTAGTAACTAACTATAGAAATGTCAATTCTAGCTCATGCATTCGTCCAAAGTACATGCACAGTAAACTTCATGTTTCTTTCATAAGCAGCATCTTAAATATGCATTGACAAAATTTAGAATCAAAATATTCTAGGCTATATGCACAGTAAACTTCATCTTGCTTTCATAAGCAGCATCTTAAATATGCATTGACAAAATTTAGAATCAAAATATTCTAGGCTATATGCACAGTAAACTTCATCTTGCTTTCATAAGCAGCATCTTAAATATGCATTGACAAAATTTAGAATCAAAATATTCTAGGCTATATGCACAGTAAACTTCATCTTGCTTTCATAAGCAGCATCTTAAATATGCATTGACAAAATTTAGAATCAAAATATTCTAGGCTATATGCACAGTAAACTTCATCTTGCTTTCATAAGCAGCATCTTAAATATGCATTGACAAAATTTAGAATCAAAATATTCTAGGCTATATGCACAGTAAACTTCATCTTGCTTTCATAAGCAGCATCTTAAATATGCATTGACAAAATTTAGAATCAAAATAGCTTTTTCTATTCTACAGAGTCAAAAGACCTAATCCAACATTATTATGCAGCCATAGCTTTTAACGATTAATACTGTGTGAAGGGTGGCAATTTTCAATTTCAAAATGATCGATTTTAAATGATATGATCGTAACATTGAAAAAATTTTACAATCATGTTAATTGCTTTTAATAAATGTATGTTAAACGTAGTAGTTAGTTAAAACTCAACCTTTTATACAACCAAACTATTTCCACTTTTAACATTTTTTTGTGTTTTTTTTTCTCTTTCCCATAATTTACACGTTATACAAATAATACTACCATTATAAAGATCAGTTACCTTAAATGCTCCAAAGAAAATTCTAACTCTAATTATTCAATTTTAGTTGAAAACCAAAACCGTAGACACATTTCCAAAAACTTGTATTATTGGAGAGCACACCCAACATGTAAGAAATTCTGTGGTGAGACTCTATGCATTGACAAAATTTAGAATCAAAATATTCTAGGCTATATGCACAGTAAACTTCATCTTGCTTTCATAAGCAGCATCTTAAATATGCATTGACAAAATTTAGAATCAAAATATTCTAGGCTATATGCACAGTAAACTTCATCTTGCTTTCATAAGCAGCATCTTAAATATGCATTGACAAAATTTAGAATCAAAATATTCTAGGCTATATGCACAGTAAACTTCATCTTGCTTTCATAAGCAGCATCTTAAATATGCATTGACAAAATTTAGAATCAAAATATTCTAGGCTATATGCACAGTAAACTTCATCTTGCTTTCATAAGCAGCATCTTAAATATGCATTGACAAAATTTAGAATCAAAATATTCTAGGCTATATGCACAGTAAACTTCATCTTGCTTTCATAAGCAGCATCTTAAATATGCATTGACAAAATTTAGAATCAAAATATTCTAGGCTATATGCACAGTAAACTTCATCTTGCTTTCATAAGCAGCATCTTAAATATGCATTGACAAAATTTAGAATCAAAATATTCTAGGCTATATGCACAGTAAACTTCATCTTGCTTTCATAAGCAGCATCTTAAATATGCATTGACAAAATTTAGAATCAAAATATTCTAGGCTATATGCACAGTAAACTTCATCTTGCTTTCATAAGCAGCATCTTAAATATGCATTGACAAAATTTAGAATCAAAATATTCTAGGCTATATGCACAGTAAACTTCATCTTGCTTTCATAAGCAGCATCTTAAATATGCATTGACAAAATTTAGAATCAAAATATTCTAGGCTATATGCACAGTAAACTTCATCTTGCTTTCATAAGCAGCATCTTAAATATGCATTGACAAAATTTAGAATCAAAATAGTCTAGGCTATATGATCAGTAAGCTGATCTAGTATCATTTGAATTTTTCAAGAGAAAAATACAAGCACAAAAATATCGAATATGCTAAGACTGAAGTAAATTAGAGTCTAAAGTAAAAGTCACTATTAAATAATCACTTAATCATACAAGCTCAAGCTCCAATGAAATGACTCAAGAATAGGTTTTACATCTCTTTTACCCCACATGCAGAAATCCAATGGGGGTCGAAGTGCAGATAAACATTGACACACATCTATCTTGTGTTGTATATTTAATAATGTCACAGAGCCTAGGATTCAAAATCTAGACGTTTTAGTCAAAGTGACTCTACTACCACTTAGTTTAAGTGGTCAAGCTTGTAGCAAGTACCTAAGAATAGTGCTTTCTAAAGTCAAGCAACAATTCCACACAATAATGAGAACCCTATTTGCACATCCAAAATAAGAGAAAAGAATCAAAAGTTTAAGCTATTGAGGACCAGAACTCAATACTGGTCCAGCCATGCGCGAACAAACTTGCAAGCGTAAGATTTAATGAAACAGACATGCTTTAATAGCCAGATTAACAATTAAATTAGAATTCATTTTACAGGTGGAGTAACCTTGACCTAAATTGATTATTCACAAACCTGTTTTCTGGAACCTCTGCTCCCTTGTAGCTTGACACCTTGTCCACAAAAGCCTGCATAGTTTTTGCAATATCACCAAGATCAAAATCATCAAAGTTGGCATCAGATGAAGGACCAGCGTCCTGTGCATCTTTCAACTTCTGTTTCTTCTTATGTTTAGCATTATAAAGATCCATCTCTTTTTGTCTTTCTTCAAGAGCAGTGTTTAACTCATCCTCTCCATTGTAAAGCCAAGAATCATCATCAGAAGGAGGAAGCTCCTGGTTCCGGAAATCATCAGCTGAGTATGGTATAGCAAGAATCTCATCAATTCGTCTCACCGGCGCATTCATCATTTCACTGCAATATTAGCATGATTATTTCCACTGCCAAACAATGAAAAACTAGGAAAGACACATACACTGAAAACAGCCCAATGTAACAACACCAAATATATTCATCTTATGTTAAATATACTCAAGGAAAATGTTTCATAAATCATTTTTGTAAGATTGACAGAGCATAGGGTAAGCCCCTAAATAGCATTTTATGATTTCAACTTTCAAATCGCACTCCACTAATGTGGGGAAGCCGGGAAGGGGGAACAACATCTAAATTCCATATTTGAAAAAATCAGAAATCAATTATCGATATGTAATTTGATTCTGGAAGTAATCCATTTCTGGGAACTCCAACAAATTCCCATTTCCCGTTTGCCTTCACACAGCAAGCAAATACGGCTCTACAATAGAATTCACTCTTTCAATTTCCCCCAATGTCTACCAAGAAGTCCCAATCGATTTTGCACCTTAAACAGTATTGCCAATTCATTACTCCATTAAACTAACTACAAAAAGCAAGTTGTTTTATCCATCATCAAGAATAAAAAAGGGAGCACAAAAAAAAAAGCACATAAATTTAGTGTGCTGGAAAAGGAAGGGGGGCGAAGAAAAACTTGCAAAAACAACATACCTTGTTCTTGAAAATAAACTACTGTTCCAGTAATACTCCTCGGCCTTCTCCATCAACCTCTTATACTCCTTTGAGCCCGGCAAAAATCCTTCAAAATAGCCACTCGTCTCCAAGGTTTCCTTGTACTTGTTCCAGGTACTCCCTTTCCCTTCCTTTCCCTCCTTCCTCCTCAGTTGATACATCATTTCGAACCCACAAGCAATTTTCATTCCCAACTCCGCCTCCGAGTAGGCGCCCATATCATCTCCTCGAATTGGCATAGGATAGCACTTGGGCGCCTGAAATTTCTGCTGCATTAACTGGGCATACATAGCTCTGGACATCTTAACCGTAATACATACCAGCTCCTCCTCTCTCCCTCTACTAAGAAACTTTTCCATTTTCGCTGCATACTTCATTGTATCAATATCTCTATCGTAAAACCCCTCCACTGCTAATGAGATCAAACAAGGCTCGTGCTTGAGGACTTGTGCCACTGATGTTGGAACCCTAATCCTAACCTGATGAATATTCCGTCTGGCTCTTTCCGGATAATCCGAAATTCGATGCTTCACGGCTTTTTGGACAGGCTCAGCTGCTATCGATTCGTTTTCATAATGCACCAAATATTTCAACGAGTCAATTAAACTCGGGTTAGCTAACCGGCTTCTCGGAACAATATGTAGATCGCCACGGCGAATAAAGACACGATTACTACTGGTTTCCGGGTCAATCCAACGAGGGAGATGAAAAGCAGCTTCAATGAGAAGGAACTCGCCGTCGTTGTCCCATACACGTATAGAGAGGGAAGGGAATTGGCCGGAGATAAGGAAGAGGAGGAAGACGACGAACCATTCATCCTCTATGTTGTCGCCGAAACGAAGCTTGCCGTGGAGATGAGGTAAAGGAGATGTAGAAGTGCAGAGACAAGAAGGCGAAGAGAAAGAAGAAATAGAAAGAGAGAAAGGTTCGTGTTGCCATATGTAAGAAGAAGTATAAGGAGAGAGAAAGTTAAGGATTTCAAGGTGAAGAGATTGGAGGGAGAGTGAAGGAGCAGAAGAGGAAGAGAATGAATCGGAAAGGGAAGAATCCGGGAAGATAGCGTAGAACACAGTGTCTTCTGGTATACGGGAGTGAGTCTGGGAAAAGATGGAGGTGAAGGGATCGGCGTCAGACGGTGGCTGCCACGTCATGGCTGTGTTCACTCCGGTTTGGTACTCAGGCTGCTGTTGGTGGCGACGGTTTATTTATACTCCGTTACTTACTGTTGTTGCTTGTGACGGCGCCTCGTGAATGTTCCTGAGGTCTCGAGTGAGATAGTCACTAGTGTAGACGCCTCGTCGCTGGTTCATGTAAAACGTTTGGCGTTTAACTGGAATATGTATTACGAAACGGCTTCAAGTTTTCGTGAATTTGGCCCAACGGCTATACGCTTCAGGCTTGTCGATGCGTTTATTGGATTAAAAAATTTCAAAACCTGAATATTTGGAATTGAATTGGGACTTCATAGTTAACGACGACCTCAAACTAGCTTTGGCTTTGTGTTTGTGTTTGTGATATTTGGTAGTTGATACCTTAATTAAAATTTTGAATTAAGGGAATAGAAAAAGGAAACACAGATCAGTGCGAATATTACTATATATATAACAACATGAAAATGCTAAATAGTTTATATAAATCATTAAATTGCTAGATTTGAATTTTCGCTTTTTTTTTTTAAAAAATAATTTTCGCATGCTGACTTCTAGTTCATGCTTAAATTTTTTAATGAAAGTTTAATTTAGAGGGGTTTAATACTTAAATTTTTTAATGAAATAGAGAAGTCATTGGCACTTGGCAACATAGAAAGAAGGATATTATTTATTTGGTATTTAATCTAAATGGCTGTATGAAATGAAGGATAAACTCGAAAATCATAAATAGATCCACGTGGAAAACCACATATTGTGCTAATATCACAGCAAGTTAGCCACATTGGACGCCAGCAAAGCAAAATCGATAGCCCTTGATTTTTTGGACTGATGTTTGCTCTATCCGCCTTTCGAGATAAGTATTTTCTTTTATACTGTAATAAAAAAAAAAAAAAAAGCAAAATCAATACTCACATTGTTTCAGTCATACTTTTGCTTGTTCATCTTAACATCGATCATCTAATTGTAAAATTTATAAAATTTAAATATTCAAAGAACAGTATTTTCTTGTGCAAACACTAAAACATAAAATTTTAAAAATTCAAATGTCAAAAATAACATTATCTCGAAAAATATTATAGTGCTAACGAGTTATTAGTTCAAGGGAAACTTAAAAAATTTATAGATAGTCTTAGTGAGATTTTAAACTAAACCACAACCAAGACTAAAATCGAAATTAAAATCGTCAATTCTAATTTCAATTTTTAATTTGGACGAACCAACTTTCTGCATTTCAATTTTGACTGAACTAGTTCCAAACAATTCTAATTCTTTTTTCTTTTACTTTCCTTGGTGCAATGTTTCCATCTAGTTTCAAACTAATTTGATTGCCATTCAATCAGTTTAAATCCAATTTGTTGGGAAAACTTAGTCTTAGTGAAAATGTAATTTTTTTTTCTTTAATAAATGTGTTTCCATACTAGCAATAAGAATGGAATGCAAATGGAACTTCCTTATAATAGCCGTGACTCACAACTTCAAATTTCGATTTGTAACCCTGACTGAAAATTCGGTTCGGGTGGATACAGTTAACTTCTGGAGTAGTAGTAGTTTTTATTTTCAAAACGACACGTCGATTTTAAGTAAGCCGTGCAAAAACGACATCGAAATTAAAAGAAAAAAACACACGGCAACAACAAAAGTCTGTCATCTACTCGTCTCATCCATTGCTCTAACTTAGATTAACCACCCCTTAGCAAAAACTGTTAGCTGCTGATCTTTGATCCTCTGATACAGATAGGGAAAGTTCCCATATCATCTTTCTCGCGCGCCATCGACTCTGCATCACCCACTGAATCTCATCACCATTCCAGCGATGTGTTACGGTCACCAACGTTCCTTATCACCAGACGACCTAATCCCTTCACGAAACCGCCGATCCGAAAACGACAACACATCTGTAGTAGAAGATCTTCGCGGCCGGCTCGCCGAAACTGAGGCTCGGCTGGAGCGAGCTAGGGCTCGAGAAGCTGAGCTCAGTCGCCGGCTTGAGGAAATGAAGCGATTCGTCTCCGTTATGGAGATCCTTGAATCATACCTCAAGCGAAGGTTTCGCGAGCAGCAAGAACACGTCGCTCGCCTATTCTCTTCTGTACCAGCTAAATGCACTTAATGACTGTCGGTGATTTTAACTGATACTCTGCTCTTGTTTATATTTTCTTTTTCTTTTCTTGGTGGAAAAAAAATTGGGGATTTTGCCCCTGTGAATCCGTGGTGTGATTTTGTGCTGTGTTTGATAGTTTTATGAAAATGGTTACTATCAAATATAAGAATGAATAGATTTAGATTTTCTTTTTTGTGCGTCTATCTGATTTTTGTGGTTCCTAGGGTATTGGTTTTCTTCTCTATTTCTGTTTGTAGGAACTTGTAGTGATTTTACTAGCTTTTGAAGTGAAATTATTATCCTGTAAATTGCCCTTAGATTTTTTGAAAGGGAAATGCATTGAATTTACTACTCTCATTCTTAGTCTCTCTGTGTTTATGTTTTATTGGCATCAAAATTTGAGTTCATCTTCATCTTCCTGTGTTGACATTTCTCAATGCTGGATAAACTTTGTTGGGAATTTATTATCTAACATGATTTTTGAATGTGAACTAAAAGATTTTTGCTGGTTAGAGCTTGATTTTAATGAACCCACTTGCACTTTCCTACTATTAGAAAAAACAAATTGACCAGGATTGTGTATTTATCTATGGTTTGATTCAAAAATCTTCTTGTAGGGGTATACAAGGAGAGAATTTGAAGTTAAAACTCTTGTTTTTTCTTCCTTTAAAAGGAACTGTGGTGGAATATTAGATTGGGTAGAATCATAGTTCATCAAACATGATGATATAAGAAGAGCAAAAAAAAATGCTTCATTTTGAGGAAAAGGAAAAGGATTTTAGTGTAGTGACAGAATTGTTTGCATTTGCGCTTGTGTTTAAGTTTATCTTTAGCTTCACTGGAATATCAGCTCATGAATTCTGTAGGAAGTGTTACACAAGTATCATTGCGTTGGAAATGAATTCAAGATTTTTCATATCACCCCCTGCCAACTAAAAACCATCTAGGACTTATTAGTTTTTGGGTGCCTTATCATTAGAGGTACTGCCCTCTCTCTCTCTCTCTCTCTCTCTCTCTCTCTCTTGAAGTTCAAATGAACTATGAACTTCAGATGGTTAAGGAAATTTTACCAATTTCAAGTTGCAGGGTTTCAGATTAGAAAAATGGGTTTTACCTCCCGTTTAATTTGATTCATTTATAAATGATAGATAATAGAATTTTGTTTAATTATGTTGACTTCTTTAAAAGTGAATTTATATGAGTGAATTGAATATTATCTTTCATACCAAAACATGAAATTTCAAATTTGTTATTTGTATACCTCGTTGCAATTACTGATATCTATGTTGCAATGCAAATATTAGCTTGTAATTGCTATCTTCTTGTTTAAAATATTGGATTGATGCATAATATTAGATTATGATGCATTTTGTGTATGATTTGTTGACAACATTGTTTTATATAACGTCCGCTAGAATGTATGATAGTTAAATCAATTCCCGGTATAAGCATAGGGATTTTTATAATTTCCGTGGGTATTTCATGTTTGTGTTTGGAGATTGTCCTTTGTTACCATCTCTCTCCCATCGCACCGAAGGCTCTTCCTCGCCCTCACTTAGTTGTTTGAGACTTTTGTGCATCTTTATCAGATTTGTAGAGAAATCACCCCATCATATATTCTTTAGGAAAATACTAGCAGACTCTACAATTTTCAACAAAAATTATACTGTAAGTTTCATGGCATAGTGTGGGTGTTTTATGAAGATTGTGAAGCCAAAGCAAAAGTTAAAGCAATGAAGCATAACCATTCTGGATCTTGAGCCTGTATAAGTATAACCAAATTGAACTAGAACATGAAGTATTTTGGAAGGCTACGTCGTTCTGGATAGGATTGGAAAAATTAGTATACTGTAGCTGGAATTTGATTCATAGTACTTTTAATTATTATATTGTGATTTCTTTTTTCGTTTTGTTCAAACCGGAAATAAGGTCTCATTCTCAAATGAGCTTGAATACATCTCTCTCAATTTGAAAATCCAGGATTCAAATTGATGTCCCTTTTATTGATTCCTATCTATTCTCCATGCAACGCTTTGGTTTGGCTACTTAGGTGTAGTAGTGAGCACACACCGGTTAAAATCAAAAAAATTAGAATTGAACCCGGTTTAGTTTGGTTTGGTTTTGAACATATTTTGGTTTGATTTAGGAAAAAAGAAACTTGGTTAAGGAGTTATTAACAAACAAATTATCATTCCCTCGTCCTACAAAGATGGATTTGCTTGCCTTTTTTATTTTCATTATTTTTCATTATATACCTATTTAATACATGTTGTTATTAGTAATTTTTTATTGAGAGTGACATCTAATACTAATAAAACTACGTTAGGAAAAAAATGCATTGTTAATTATTTTTTCTTAATTCATGTGACTTAAAAATAAGTCTATCAAATGAAAGAAGCATTAATTATTTTAACTTACAAGTCAAACTAAATAACATTATTTAAAAGTAGATACACCGAACTTATAACTTAAAACAACCTCTAACTCTATTCTCAAAAACAGGAAAAAAGAACAACCTCTAACTCTCAATTTGTGCACACGAAATGGCCACTTTGAAGTTGGGAGTTTTGGTGCGTAGCACATTTAATTTTTTTTTTTTTTTTTTTTTTTTCTCTAACTCTATTCTCAAAAACAGAAAAAAGAACAATCCTCTAACTCTCAATTTGTGCACACGAAAATGGCCAATTTGAAAGTTGGAGTTGGTGCGTAAGCACATTTAATTTTTTTTTTTTTTTTTTTTTTTTTTTTTTTTTTTTTTTTCCTTTTTGGAGAAACTTTCATTTATCTCCAAAGTGTATTTGGCTATAAGCTGTGGATCCACTTCCTCTTTAAATTTCAGTTACCAGACGTTGCTGATTTTAATCATTGATCCTTCATATTCACGAAACATAATTAATTAGTGGCCTTATTAATGATTAGCCCCGGAGGAATTTACAATTGGAGCACTTGTAGGGACATGTTTGGTAACATAACAGTATTTGAAATCGTGTTTAGTGTTTTGATTGGATCAAAACACTACCTTAATTAATTTTAGCGTTCTTTGAGTAATACTATATCTATTGTAACATTTAAAATTTGATAGAAATATCATATTTTGATTGCCAATAGACCTTTTCAATGAAAATTTATTTCATTCTGTTTAAATAAATAAATAAATGAACATTATATAGAGACAAAAATAATAATTTTCCCCACATAATGTTACAAACAAGTGCCTTTCCACTCTCCTTTTCAACGTTTTCTTTGCTTTCACCATTTCTTTGATTCGCAAGTTTCTTTTTTTTAATCTAAAGGGTGGATTGGACACTAAGAGATAACATTTTTTTTTTTCTTTCTTTATACGGTAAATCACATAATTTTTCAAAACAAAAACAAATGCTCCATCCCTTACATTTGAAAAAATATTATATTTTTAAATATTGGTCACATTTATAATTTCATAAAACATAAATTATTGTTTCATTTTTACTCTTTGTATATGTCCAACCGTGATTGTTTCACTTTCTCAATAATTTATTATAATTTAAATAAATTAAGGATAATATAGTCAATTATTTAATAATTTTTTATAATTTAGACAAATTGAATGATTATTTTTAAGGATGTGAAAACTCAAATGTGATAAGCATTTAGAAACAAAGAGAACAAATTTTTTTTTTAATACTAAAAAAAAAATTTGAATACCTAAATATATTATCAAGTTATATATATATATATATATATTTATGTATATTTACCATTACAAGGTGCAAGGGCCAAAATGGATGGAACACAATATGGCCCTGACTTTGAGAAACTTTCTTCATCTAATTAATTGCTTTAAGGACCCATCAACCTTTCTAATTATTTCTCACCACTAATCACCAATAACTTGTTAGGGTCGCTACACTACAAAACCTATAGTTCAATTCTGAGGCAGGACAAAACCTAAAATTGCCACATTAATTTTTTAGTTGATTCAATTTTTTTTTTTTTTTTTTTTTTTTTTTTTTTTTTTTGCACACATTAATTTTTTTAGTTTGCATTTCAATTTTTTTTTTTTTTTTTTTTTTTTTTTTTTTTTGTCATTTTGTATCATACAGCAAGTGGATCAATAAAAAGATTCACTTTACTTTTTATTGGAAGTATTGGGCGAGGGTTAAGAAAAGAGACTTCAAATGCAAGGAATCCGTAAGATTAATGGCAGTTCGAAAACAAAAAGGGAACCTTTTTAATTAAAGTGAAAAAATTAAAATTAAAATTTTTTTAACGGATACACATAATAAAAAGACGATTCTTTGTTTCTTTTTCTTCTATCGGTCTTCTCCTTCTCTGTTTTTCGTTATTAGTGACAAACATTTTCCACACAATTGTCCCCACTGAGCTTGAGCCAGTTTACTTTTGCTCATCAACGGCCAGTAATGGGGGCGTTATGGTCATTTCTCACGGCTGAAACAACAACTGACTTTTTTTTTTTTTTTTTTTTTTTTTTTTTTTGTCATTTTGTATCATACAGCAAGTGGATCAAAAAAGATTTCACCTTTACTTTTTATTGGAGTATTGGGCGAGGGTAAGAAAGAAGAGACTTCAAATGCAAGGAATCCGTAAGATTAATGGCAGCTCGAAACAAAAAGGGAACCTTTTTAATTAAAGTGAAAAAATTAAAAATTAAATTTTTTAACGGATAACATAATAAAAAGACGATTCCTTTGTTTCTTTTTCTTCTTCGTCTTCTCCTTCTCTGTTCGTATAGTGACACATTTTCCACACATTGTCCCACTGAGCTGAGCCGTTACTTTGCTCATCAACGGCCAGTAATGGGGGCGTTATGGTCATTTCTCACGGCCTGAAAACAACAACTGACAGCAACTAGCGAGCGGTTTTTTTTTTGAGAGAGAGAGAGACACCAAAAAAAGTTCTTCGTTTTAGTTAACAATAAACTCTCACTCGATACTCAGGCATTTATAGAACTTACCATTAACAAAAACAAACAAACATAGTAATGTTCAGATTAAAAGCCATAATCATTTTCTTTTACTTATTATTTTCTTGCTGATCGATGCCTCTCTCTCACCAATTTTTTCTTTCCGTTTTCTTTGCTTCTACTCTATAGTTTTGAGTTCTTTTTTTAATTTAATTTTTGGGTTTGTGCTCCATTTTGTGGACTATTTTCTTCATTATTCATTATCCTTTTGAGAAAAAGCCGCAATGGAAACTGGGTCAAGCTCAAATCCTGTGGACAAGTCAGGGACGCAAAGAGAAAGAGCTAAGACTAATACGAATTTAGGCTCTATGTTGCCGAAGATCGAGCCATTTGTGGCAAGAACTGACCATAATCCAAGAGAGTTGAGATCTTGGGCTAAGAGAACTGGTTTTATATCCACTTTTTCTAGTGAAACCACTACAAGTAACAGTGGAAAGTTTGATAGTAGTACTGGTTTTGATTTGGAGAAGGGTGTTCACCATCACAAGAATGGTGGTTCGTCCCCAAAAATCGAGATCGACCCAGTTCTGGGTCGGACTAGAACTGCTAGAGGTTCAGAAATTGAAGCGGATTCGGGTTCAGCTTCTAGGACAGGTAATGGGTTAAGGAATGGGAATGACAGGAGTTTGGGACTGAGAGATGAGAACAAGAGGAGGAGAATTGGAGATGAGTCTGTTTTGGGAGTTAAAGGTGAAGAAAGGAAATTTGGCTTAGATGGAAATGGGAATGTGAATGGGAATGGCAACAGGAATGGGAGTGTAAATGGGACTGGAAATGAAGTTCCAGCAGCTATTCCAGCTCTGGAGCCAAAGAAAGAAGAAGAAAATGCTTTAACTGATACTGGATTTGAGATTTATCAAGATGGGGATGATTCTGCTAGTGGTGGGTGGCACAGACGGAGTGGAATGAAATTCGGTTTGAGAGATAATCCTGGTTTTGGTTAGTATCTTTTACTTCTTTTTTTTCACTTTTTTTCCTTTTGTAATTGGTGTTTCTTTATTCTCATTTGATTTGTTTATTAAATTGGAAATGAAACCTCTGTTTGTTAGCAATATGATCGGATGTAAATTTGTTAGCAGACAGAAGTTTACTTGTTGTGTTTAAGTGTTTTTCTGACTGGAAGTTGGAAGAGCTACCATTAGCTAACAATTTCTATGTGTCTAGTTATTTATCGGATGAAGCCACACACTAAACTTATCAATCAGGTTTAGTGTAATTGCAGCAATATCTCTCTGTCAGAAATGCAGTAGACATGGATTAACAGCCAAGTCAATACATGAAAGAAAGCGAACGTGTCATAGAGGAAAGAAACTGCAGTTTTAGGAATTCACCTCTTGTTGACTTGGCAGTCAACATTCGTATCCATCAGTGTTCTTCTCTAATTTTTTTGGCAATTTGCAAAGTGTTATTTATTCATTTTGTGAGACAAAGAAGTTATTTCTTATAGTGCATATAATTTCCCTTGTTCATAGTAGTCCTGAGCATTCAATATGAACCAGGCTTCTAGATCTTTGAAGTTGTCAGATCTTTTACTCTCTCTCTTTTGAACCGGACTTCATTTTGCCTTATGGCTTCTAAGGGAATTATGCAATTTGTACACTTCCAGGATCGGTGTTCAAAGTTCCAAAAATTTAACTAAATATCAAATGATGCAAGGACTTCATCTTTTAGAGCCTATGAAATGTTGCAAAGCTGCAAATCATTTGACAGGATTATTGGGTTTTCAGTCTTTTTGATGCTTATTCCTTTTGTATTCACATAACTTTCCCAGAAATCGCTTCTTTTCCCTGATCTTTTCGTCTTTAACTGCAGTACCACTTATGTATTATGGCCTGCAGCACTATTTATCATTGGCTGGGTCACTGATTTTCATTCCCTTGATCATTGTACCAGCCATGGGAGGAACAGATGTAAGTTTTGATTATCATGGATATCTTCATTTTAAGTACAGTTTAGAAAGGGAGTTAACAGAGCTTTATAACAGATGTGTCTTTCTTTGTATAAATGATGACAGAAGGACACTGCTACAGTGATTTCTACAATGTTGCTGATTTCTGGCATTACAACAATATTGCATTCCTATTTCGGTACCCGGCTTCCATTAGTTCAAGGGAGTTCATTTATCTATTTGGCACCAGCATTAGTTATTATGAATGCACGGGAGTATCGGAATCTTTCAGAAAATGTATGTTTATATTGCTAGGAGAAATCTTTGAAGTCAAATACCTGGCAGCTTTAAACTTGTTTAGCTTTACCAAAAAAGCATTTTACGATATGAATTTCCTAGTAGACCTTTTGCATCTCAAACGTACAACTTTTCAACCAAAAACTGGGGAACCGAAAGATCATACATTGTATACATTGTTAAACTTCTGATTTTGAGTTATGAGAAAATTCTAGTAATAGTTCTTGCCCTTTTATGCTTGTTCCAAGCATCAGGAAGATTTGCATCCATGAACACTTTGCATTTTTCCTTTGGTGCTCTAACTTTGCAGTTGATTCATTTTCACTTTAATTGTAGAAATTCAGACACATAATGAGGGAGCTCCAGGGGGCTATAATTGTTGGTTCAATATTCCAAGTCATCTTGGGATTCACTGGTTTAATGTCTCTTCTTCTAAGGTAAGCAAAGAAAGTGCATATAATGCCTTTCTAGTTTCTTCTACAAGATTTTAATGCTTATCTTGGTGTCCATTAAGCAAGAGAAGTGCATATAATGCCTTTCTAGTTTCTTCTCCAAGATTTTAATGCTTATCTTGGTGTCCATTACATTAATCTAGATTGCTCCCATCCTTTTCTATCTTGATACTATTTGCAACGATCTCTTTTCTCATTCAGTTCTGGCTGCATAATGTAGCACTGACTAAAAACTGCTTTTCCATGTCTGATGTTATTTCTTTATGCTAAATGGAAAAGATTAAAGGAAAAAAGCACTTTTGGGCCTCTGAACTTTTTGAGTTTTGCCTGTTGAGCCCACTAGTTTACAAGCATGTGCTATTGAGCCCACAGATTGGGCACTGAGGACTTGTTTAATGATAGAAATATAGAAAATGAGAATTGATCAGACATTTGCTAACAGCAATTTAAGAAATTCACAAAATTGCTTCAAAAAGTTCTGAAGCACAAATGAGTTTTTTCCTTTTCTATAATTTTAATAATTCCTGTGGTAAAAAAAGTAACTTGCTGCTAATGAATTCGTATTTGTTCTGCTTTTGCTATTAAATGAGTTTGTGATGTCCTTAAACTCAAATGTTTGTCGACTCAATAACAATTGAAGAACAGGGTTTTACATAGACAAATTTCAAAACGTTGAGGGGTTTATAAATGGCTTTTGTCAATATTATATGCATAAATTCTGTTACATTGCTCTGTTGATAACTCTTTTTCTTTTAATGGAATTGAATGCTTTATTGTCTAAAGCTATATAATTTTGGAAACCCATCTAATAATTCTTTTCCTGGTATGAAAATATCTTGCAGATTGATTAATCCAGTTGTGGTTGCACCAACTGTTGCTGCAGTAGGTTTAGCATTTTTTAGCTATGGTTTTCCGCAAGCGGGTAGTTGTGTGGAAATTAGCATACCTCTGATATTATTGGTTCTTGTATTCTCTCTGGTAAATGATATTCCTTGAAAATGAAGTAATCTGAATATATGACATTTTTCATTTTTAATAGGAAGGTCAAAGCATGCGATATTCCTATTTTCATTGCATAACTAACTTATACTCATTTGTCTTCTTAGTTCATTTATTTGTTCTGAAAAGAGTACAAAACATTTAATTTTTGTGTTGTTTATGCTTCTTTGACAGTATCTTCGAGGATTATCTATATTTGGACATCGCTTATTCCGAGTTTATGCTGTATGTTTTCTAGCTCTCTATTTTGTTTCACAACCTTCATCCCTTCACCAATAAATACAAAGATTGCTGACATTTTCTGCTGGTGCAGGTCCCCCTGAGTGTAATGATTATCTGGACATATGCATTCTTTCTAACCGCTGGTGGAGCATATAATTACAAGGGCTGCAGTCCTGACATACCGAGTTCAAATATTTTAGTTGATGCATGTAGAAGACATGCATACACCATGCAGCATTGCAGGACTGATGTTTCTAATGCATTGAGAACTTCTGCATGGGTCAGAATTCCCTACCCCTTACAATGGGGTATTCCCATCTTCCATCTAAGGACTTCCTTGATCATGATAATTGTGTCACTAGTCGCATCAGTGGATTCGGTTAGTAGCTTTCACTACATTCATTTATCCTCAAACTTCATATTATAGTCCCTACTGTTAGTAAGTGAGAAAGTACCACATGATGGTGCAGAAGGGTGCTTCCATCACTTCATGTTAAAGGGAAAATCTGTGGGGAAATGAGCTGCAGAAGAAAAAAAGAAAAAAATCAAATGCATCTCTAAGATGCCTATCATCTTGTAGCTTGTCCAAATTATGATAGCATAAGTTGGATTTACCTCCTGCTTTCATGAAAATAATGTATTATTTGCACACAGCCACATAATAGAAAACAAACCAACAAATAAATAATGCAAATCGTTTGACTGCAACTACAGTAGAGAACTCAAACTGATTGTTTTTTTCTAGGACATTTTTATCATACTCAAAATGAGAGAACTGAATTAGTAAAAAGTATGATTATGACTTCAATGCAAATGGCTTACAGGTTGGAACATATCATTCTACATCCTTCCTAGTTAATTCAAAGCCTCCAACTCCAGGAATTGTCAGCAGAGGAATTGCATTGGAGGGATTCTGTAGTCTATTGGCTGGACTTTGGGGTTCCGGTACCGGTTCAACTACCTTAACAGAAAATGTTCATACCATCAATATAACAAAGGTGGCTAGTCGAAGGGCTGTAGTTCTTGGAGCAGTTTTCTTGATTCTCTTCTCCTTTGTAGGTAAACACCTTGAACTTGTCAAACATGGTCTTTCTTTATGAATTAAGGAGAGTAGTCACAAGGTGAGTTCTGGAAATGGTTTACCCTTAGATCTAGCCACATGTTTTATTAGGATGCATACCGAAAGGTCAGGTTAGGCATCCAAGTGAATGTTATAACTATTTTTTGCCTTCTGAGGTTGGAAAGAATTAAAAGACTGTTGAGAAATATATGGCTTCCTGTTTGATTATATTCTAAAAAATCTAATTTCTACATGCACATAAAAGGCCCTAGACCCCTGCGTCTCCCCAAGTTATGATTTTGCTCATAATTTGTTTATCCAAGTATGAAGGAAAATATTACAACTACTCTGCATGTTGTTAGAATATTCGAAGTGACTAGTTCTAGTCATTTTGGCAATGGAACCTCTTCACAAGCCCAAGCCCACGTTCTACATGCTAGTTCATTTATTTGATGTGCTACCTCTTTCCTTGTTGATTCAAAATATAAAATCCAAATAAAAAATTTGATGCATGTTTTTATACGAAGATACATCCCAGGAGCGTCAGATTGGTTACACATTTAATCCTTTCTTCAAACAAGCTATACTGTATTGAGTGCATGAGTACTTTATGTGGCAAGTTATTGCATTAATAACTTGTTTGTGTTTAATAGGAAAAGTGGGTGCCATTCTTGCTTCTATACCACTGGCATTAGCTGCTTCAGTACTTTGCTTCATGTGGGGACTTATTGTGGCATTGGGTCTCTCAACTTTGCAGTACAGTCAAACAGCGAGTTTTAGAAATATTGCAATAGTAGGTGTTTCATTGTTCCTCGGTCTGTCAATTCCTGCCTATTTTCAGCAGTATCAACCTGAATCTAGCTTGATACTACCAAGCTATTTTGTCCCATTTGCGGCAGCATCAAATGGACCAGTGCACACTAGCAGTAAACAAGTATGCCCCTGACAACATTCTTTTCTCATCAGTAATCATATGCGTAGTAATTTTTATGAGCATTAACCCTATTTTCTGGTTTTGCATCTTGAGTTCTGTTTTTTATCTTTCTGACATTGAAAAGCTGATCATTCTTTTTTTTCTTCTTCTTCTTCTTCTGTTTCTGTCCATCAGTTTGACTTTGCAATAAATGCCCTCATGTCCTTAAACATGGTGGTGACATTCTTGATAGCATTTGTACTTGATAACACGGTCCCTGGTACCCGACAAGAAAGAGGAGTGTATATATGGTCACATCCTGAAGACTTAGTTACTGATCCATCTTTACATGCAGATTATTCACTTCCCCAGAAAGTTTCTCGGTTTTTCTGCTGGTCAAGATGTTCGCATACGTGATATACAGTTTTTTCAGGACATTTTTTTTTGCATGATCTTTAGCAGACTGCAGTCTGTGCTTACATGTAGTTATGGAGTGCCTAGGCTGAGATATATTTGGGTTGCAGATAATACAGCTACTAAGTATGATGTTAGTAATCTATACGTTATCATACTGCACGAAATTTAGAAATTTCATACATCACTGAATTAGTGATATTATATTTTGTAACAGAAAGAAACATTGTTGAATTCACATTTTGTCAATAGTCAAAACATTGGTCAAACCAAAAACTTGAGCTCTGTAACCCTAAACCCTATCTTGCTCTTGCCATGTCAAGAAGAAACAAAAGAATTATTATGCTTATTATTCTGATTTATAATTGTAATGTACAAAATGAATGCATAAATCATAATATTATGAGGTTACATTGGATTTATTGTTATGCCATTCTTGGATGAGGAAACGAAGGGTGTGATTAGGGGTGAGGAATTTGTGCTTAAGCCTTAAATTTGTCATAGGTGAAGTATCATGTCCCATCTTTAGCCATTCTTCTATGGCTTCCAATTCGTAAGAAAACCCATCTGCAGCTAAATGTGGATTTTTCATCACATCCTGCACACCGTTTCATTACTAATTCAGTATAATGCACTTTAATAGGTAATTAAAACAGTCAAAAAAAAAATCTTTAAATAACATTTTGTGTTAAACAGAGCATAGAATCTCTGTTTTCCTTTGGGAGTCTGGATATGAAATTGAGGGCAAAAAAGGGCTGAGATGGGATGGCAGTAATCTCTTTTCCTTTAATCAAAGGTCTTAAATTTGAGTCCAGGTAAGTCTCTTTAAACACTAGAGAGGGAGCGCTTTTACTCCCTTCGTGGGCCTACTCAATATGAATTTAGATTAATTGAGTCAATAACACTTAGATGGTTAAAACAAAAAAAAAGATGCCAACGTACCTTAAATATAGGGCAAAGAAAAATGCCAGGCACTTCACTACGCTCCTCTTGACCGACACTTTCTTTAACAATACCCTCAGGTACACCTTTGGCAACCATCTCATTAGCCTTTTTCCTCACCCCATCAAGTTCTTCCAATACAGTTGCTACACTGAAATCTGTATTGGGCCCATAGTTAATGGACATGCACTTCATTGCTATCACAACAAGTTGCTCAGCCAAGTCCAATGGCCATTGTCCTGCCAACTCATCCAAAACCCGAGCAAGGGCTGTCCGGTCCATTTTTATTGCCTCCTCAACAAGCCCAGCCCAATTTCTCCCAGTCAATAAATGCAATAATAGAACTCCAAAAGCCCGAATATCCGACCGTGTGTCACTTTCACTTTGATATTGTCTTGACCCAAACCCACTTATCTTAGCAACTAGGTTACGGTCCAAAAGAACGTTAGAAACGGCCAAGCGACCATGAACAATGGGCCTGGGCTTAGCCATATGCAGATAGACCAGGCCTGAACATACCTCATGGGCTATTCTGATACGATCATGCCACCCAATGGCCCTTTTAACTTTTCTGAGGTTCCTTTGGGAGGAAAACAAAATTTCCCTTAAACTTCCATTGTGCATGTATTCGAAAATTATACATTTTTGCTCAGTGCAGAACCCCAACAAGGCAACCAAATGTGGGTGTCTAATGTTGTTAAGGAACTTCACCTGCATGCCATAAGGAAAACAGAAACTATAATCACGTTGCTTACAACATGTTCAGCAAAATTAATTTTTTGATAGCTATTAATTATTTTAATAATATTTAGATGTTTAATTAATTTTTTATAAAACGCTAAAAGCTATACATTATGAAAACTAATATTTTAAAAAATGTTATTTTATCCTCTAAAATCTGATTGCAGCACTGTAATACCGAAAAAAATATCAGTCAAAAAGCTAAAAGATATCGAAGAAGGCCTTAAAAACTGAGACAAAAGGTCTAAACTTTTGTTGTTGGGTTACAGTACCTTAGTTAGAAAATCTTCCTGGGACAATCCTCTGTCAGAATTAAGCAATTTGATTGCAACAGTTGAATTATGAAGACGCCCTCTGTACACATTAGTCCAGTCGCCGCCGGACTTTAATCTGAGATTGTCAGAAAAACTGTCGGTAGCCAATCTGATATCTTCTGCACTATATTCTCTGTAACCACAACTTAACGCATTCAACTTTTTCACCATTCCAATTGCATCTTTTTCTTTACAAAACTCAATTCTTCTTTGAAGGACATCTCTTTGTCGCCTTAACTCTTCAATCTCTCTCACCATTTCTGCCCTTATAGTCACTGCCTTCTCTAATTGAGTTTCTGCATTTGATCTTGCTATACTTGATAATTGAAGCTTGCTAGAAAGCTCTGACTGGAGTTCAAGAATTGACTTTAGCCTGTTCTTGTTTTCTGCAATATCACTTATTATTTCTTGAATGTCTTCTTTCTCATTATCCAATCTTTTCTTTATCTCTATTTGACTCGTAACCTCTTCTTTTATCCTATCTTCAAGTTCCTCCACCTATAAAATATTATAGAATAAGTTTTCTGAAACAAGAATGAGAAGCTTTATGTAACTTTATTTTCTTACCCTGCTATTGCATAAACTGATAGCCCATTCGGCTTTTGCAGACCTTTCTGCATTTGCCTTGGCCTCTTCCTTTTTCAACCGGATTATTTTCTTTGCTTCGTTTATTTTACTCCTCTGTATAAAATTTTAGCATAAATAAGAAAGAAAATTATCGTTAATTTGAAATATTACAAAGTCGATATTATGTTGTCAATAGAAGGGTAATCCAAGAATAGACTAGTTGTGATAATAACATTGGCAAATTTTCATTGAATGGCCGGTTTCGATTCATTCAACTTGTCTGTTGAAAATTTTCAAAATGTTGAATTTAAACTATTTTTGTACCGCAAGTTAAATTATCTTTGTACTGCAAGTTCTAGTCCGACTCCAACTAGTTCTCGCAAGATTCCAATGAACCGATGGTTCATGATTCTGACACTATTCCAATAGTACACATTATTTTTTTAAAAAAAATGAAAATTCGAATACAGAATTATGTTTTTTTTTTGAAAAGAGGATTATGTTTTTGTTTTTTGAAAAAAATTAATGTGAAATTGAAAAAATATTAATAAAGTTTATTTTAAACAGCCTTACTATACTCATACCCATATAAAAAATAAAATTCATTAACTTTGTAAATAAATACAAAATGATCAAATAAATTATGATTTTATTTTGACTAAATGTTAGAAAATTTGAAAGGAAAATAATATTTTAAACATTGTAATTTTTAACTATGTAAAAAAATTTGAAAGGAAAAAATTCGTTAAATTCCCATATGTACCTAACAATATGATATTACATTAAGTATTTCACTTTTTTTTTTTTTTTCTATTTTCACTTTTCTGGTTTTTAGTTTTTTATTTAATGTTTCATGTAGTAGCAGAATTTTTTAGACTTCAGCTAGGTATAGTACAGACTAAGTGATTAAAAAATTTTAAAAGAAAAATAGAAATTTTGATACAAATCAAATCAAACCACGGTTAAACCATTAGTTCTAAATAATTTAAACTCATTTTTTAATATAAAAATAGATTTTAAATGATTCGTGAATCGGTCATTCTGATTCAAAATTTTGAATCAACGCGGCTTCAATAGTATTGATTCAATACAATACAGTTTATTTTTAGTTCCAATCAAACGGGTGCACATGCCTACCTAGACTCATTTGACTCGTCATTGTCATGAAACTTCCAAGAGTATCATGACAAATGCAATAGAGTCAAAGCGGAAAGATAAGAAAGAAAAGTGTTTGGTAGCCAAAGTGGACTATTGAACCTAAACCTCTAATTACTACCTAATAAACAACAATAATTGCAACCACATATGCAAAAAAGATTCATCACATACGTATTTTAGTTGTAAAATAAGGATTAGGAAGAAAACTTTCCTTAAGATGACTTTTTAAGCTTGCAACAAACAAAACTTCTTAAAATTTTAAAAAAATAATAAAAACAATTTGCTTACCATTATAGAATTAGTAGGTTCCGTTACTCCTCTCTCCAATGGACCAACCTGTAGAAGAATATCATCACTTTCTTTCTCACGACCTTCTTCATCTGAGTTCAAAGACAACAAATGCTCATAATAATTTTGAATCTCTAGAACACAATTTTCCCATTGAGTTCGCAAATTCGGCGAATCAAATCCTTTCGAAGAGGCAGACATTCGAGAATGTCTTCCTAGAGAGTTATGATCAGGCAAAATTTTTCCTAGCCAACTTTTTATGTTACCCTTTTTTGTAACATTGCTTCCTTGATCATCCTCCATTACAGCTTCTTCATTTTCTCTTCTGAGAAATACCAATTTGCCTCCACAAATTATGAACAATTCGCAGAAATTCGGTTTATGTTGATGGACATAGAATGATCCACTAATGGCATTCTTTGATCTCCTATAGAAAGAGAAAATAATAAAAGAACAGCAAAGAAGAGAAATTTCTTGAAAATAAGAAAAAAAAAAACTGAAAGAATATAATTCATACCATGATGAAGACCTCAAGAATGTTAATCCCAGAACCAATTTGGTAATCTTGTGTCTTGAGATTAAATCAATTATGACTCTGTGAATGGGTTCATCAGATTTTTCAACTTTCAAGATTTCAGCTTTTACCTGAAAATCAAGAAACAATCCAAACCAAATTCCTGAAAATGAAGCAATTGCGCGCATTCTAACAATTATTCAATCCAAGAAAGCAAAGACACCACAAAGTCAAGAAAATGAAAGAATTGAATTCTAAGAATTATCCAATCCAAGAAAGCAAAGAAATCAAACCTTTCCACAAAAAGTTATGAACTTGGAAAGTAACTTTTCTATCTTTTCTTGCTCGTACTTCCTGAGAACTTGCAGTTTCTCTTCACTCACAGAACTTGCAGGGAGTTTCCCAACTGAAATTTGTTCTAACAAAATTAAAACATAATAATAACGACAATAATAACTTCTAAGTTCTAACGAAGAACAAGACAAAGAACTCAAATTTTGATAATGAAACTCACATGGGGTATAAACAAAGTCCTTGGAAATGTTGTTGGAAGAAAGGTGGAGAATGACTATGGAGATTGGATTAGGTTTCCATTTCCTAATTGTCCAATCCAAAGTTTTGAATCCATCTTGTAAATCATTTCCAAGAATAACATAAACCTTCTCCACATGATCATTCATTCTTGAACTCCAATCACTCAGCTTTGGCCCTTAATTTCTTGATCAACCAAAAATTGAAATTTAACTAGTTGAGACCAACCCCATCAAAGAAAAAGAAAACACACAAGGCAGGCAGATATAAACCGTGTTAAAGGAAAAACTGAAAAATTAGTAATGAAAAGGAAAGAGGTTGTGATATTTGCAAAGACTTTGTGATATTCAGAAAAGACATCTTGGGAGGTAGTATCTATGTAACCTTATATGGATCATAACTTGGATTTTTCTGTATGTAAGATAGCCAATTAGCGGACGATGGGTCATTTTCAATGTTCTAAATTTTTCAACCATTTGGCATTTAAGAGTTGAAATTATAATTGGAATTTATACCATTTCTATGATCCTTCCTAGTTGAAAAACACATGTAAAAAATTATTTATTTGAATTCCTAACAATATTATGCTTAATTAAGAAAAATAAATCATTATCTGCATAACTAATAAATTTCATTATGGGTCAATTCCAAACTTAAAAGAGAGGAAACTCAAGATTTTCCAAATTTTAATTGTTTTCTATTAATAATTTATCTAATTCATTTATTTTATTTTAAAGTAAAATTCAAGTTTATGGATATTATGTTTCACTTAACCATGAAATATGAAATTTTATTGATTTCACAATTCATGAATTCTACATTTTATAAATTTCACATTTCATCCATTTAAGCAGTTATGAATTTTTTAGTTTCATAGCATAGATAATCATCTCCTAATCGAAATTTAATTAAGGGGAAAAAATAGCACATTAAGACAATTGTACAAAACCTATGCAATTAGAGAAGCATATCTACTTGGGATTAAACTACTAGATCGTAGAATTTAAATTGGAATAAACTTAGATACTTACATGTTATTTAATTAAAATTTAAATGTATTATTATTACCTGACTAAACGACAAATTTATCTTCTTGTCGCGACAAATCAATTGCATGACTTTATGTTTTGGTATAATCTTATAAAAGCTTGACCATTGGAACATGTCATGTGTCACGCGACGCACATTGCCAACACATTTTTTTTTTTTTTTTTTTTTTTTTTTTATTGGGATTATTGTTTCACTTAACCATGAAATATGAAATTTTATTGATTTCACAATTTCATGAATTTCTACATTTTATTAAATTTCACCATTTATCCATTTAAGCAGTTATGAAATTTTTTTTAGTTTATAGCATAGATAATTCATCTCTAATCGAAAATTAATTTAATGGGAAAAAAAAATAGCACATTAAGGGACAATTGTACAAAACCTATGCAATTAGAGAAGCATATCTTACTTGCGGATTAAAACTACTAGATTTCGTAGAATTTAAAATTGGAATAAACTTAGATTTTACTTACATGTTATTTTAATTAAAATTTAAATGTATTATTATTTTACCTGACTATAAACGACAAATTTATTTCTTCTTGTCGCGACAAATCAATTGCATGACTTTATGTTTTTGTAGTAATTCTTATTAAAAGCTTGACCTTTGGAACATGTTCATGTGTCACGCGACCGCTACATTGGCCAACACATTTTTTTTTTTTTTTTTTTTTTTTTTTTGACAAATATGAACAATTGCAACACATGATTAGAGAATAAAATTACACATCATTCATCAATGCTGTATATATTTATTTTAAATAGAACGAAAAATCAGAAAAAAGCACTTTTTTTTTTTTAATTAAAACCCATTATTTTCAACCATCCTTTTTCCTGCATATAGAAAAGTTGAATCTTGCCACATTTCAATTTCCAACTCTGAAAGCAGTCTATGTATGTATACATATTGCCGCGTTTTCTTTTTTCTTTTCTTTTCTTTTTTTTTTTTTTTTTTTTTTGTTATCCAAATTTTGTTTTTTCAATTGCTACACAAAAATTGTATTTTATAAATTTTATTTATTGATAAAAAAATAATTTTATCAATTATATAATATATATATATATATATTAAGAAAAAATATAAGAAAAAACTATTCATACCATAACGTCCAAGTATATTAAATACTATCAGAAAGAGAATAAAAAATATGAAGATCCAATTATATTATAATAGCAAAGTGTATGTACATACAATGCAAAGATTAGTTTCGCAAAAGATGTGAGGAATTTGGACAAACTAATTAGGACTGAAAAGAAGTCTAATTATAAGAAATAGATGATGCATAGTAGTAAAAAATATAAAATATTTTTTAAAAACAAAAATAGTACTTATTTTTTAATTCATATATAGTATATAATTTTTCATTATTAAACAACAACTATCAACAACATAAAGCAAATATAACATCACAAATTTCTGAATGCTGTTTAGGTGGCATAAAACAAATGCTTAGGCGAGCATTTAACATTGAAAAGATTGACATTAAAAGTCTTCCAAACATTGTATATGAATAATTTATACATTGAGCCATAAAACAACAAGGGGGTGTAGCTCATATGGTAGAGCGCTCGCTTCGCATGCGAGAGGCACGGGGTTCGATTCCCCGCACCTCCAACTATTTTTCCTCTTTTTTTCTTATTATATGGGCCATCCTACTCGCATTAAAAGCCCCGACATTTTTGTTTGATGAAAGCCCATAATATCCAAAAGCATGTTTTTCTTTCTTTGTCTTAGATGGGCCATCCTACCCGCATTACAATTTACAAGGCCCTACATGATGAAAAGCCCATAACTTCCGAAACAGTAAATACCAATACCAATAATTTGGTTTAACAATATTGACCGTCCTTGGGAATGGAAATACTGCAAGTTCAAATCGTTTTTTTTTTTTTAAAAAAAAAAAAATTTTTTTTTTTTAAAAAAAAAAAAAAAAAAACCATGGAGGAAACAAATCAATTTGGGAATACTATTAAATATTAATATATATATAATATATATTGAATAGCATTTTTTAGATTTTACCAATATAAATATATAAATATATATATATATATATATATTAGAATAGCATTTTTTAGATTTTACCAAATCTGCAGTTGAAACTTAAGATCCAAGTATGTTATTTTTTTATGTCACAAAATATGATTCCACTCCCACATGTATTTATAAGATGAGATTAATTAAAATTAATCACCCGAAACTTAAGATCAAAGTATATGCTCAACAAAATTTTTAGACTCTTCTTTAATACCAATATATCAAACCTTCTAGTTGTACTTTTATAGTTTAGCTCGTAAATCGTATATAATCCTATCAAAATCCATACGAATAATAATCCAATTTGCAACTTCTGAATTCTGTAACTTCAGCTTTAACGGCTAAGTTAATTTTTTATTGGACACACTAATTAGGATAGCATAGAACTAGAATCATATTATAGATTGATTAGATTTGTCTATTGAATTTCAAACATTCCTTTTGTTTTGTTACATCAGAAAATATATTCACACATTCTTTTATAATTGCTATAATTAGTAACTAATTTCTTATATGAAAGAAATTAAATAAATTTTGGTGATTTGTCTTTAATTGATAATGATTAAGAATTACATATTGTCATTTTCCAGGTATTTTATATTGTTGATATTAATTACTAAGATTTAACTACACTCTCCTCTCATTTTGTTTGTTCATTATGCATTTTTTGGATGTCCTAAAATGTTTGGAAGATTTCAAAATTTATATATGTAAATAATTAACTTTTTCCATGATAACTTTTGTATCCTTTCATTAAATGAATAGTTTTTATTAATATTTTAATGAGTTAATGATAAAAAAAGAATAAAATAATTTATATTGATTAAATTTTTAATATTTATATTTTGTCGAATTATGCTAACAAAATGGACGGATAGATATTATATTAATCAAATAATTTTCAAGTCATTTTGAATTCACACTGATAATTATAAAATTGGTTATCAATTTGATATGAACTATTAATTTATTTGACTTTGATTAAATTAAAAAAAAAAAATACTAATAATACAAAGAAAAGAAAAGTATAGGAGAAAAATGAAAAATAAAGAAAGGGGAAGAAGAAGAATACAATTAAAGACATGATTATGTTAATATATGTCGGGGACAGGGAATGCACGTGCGCCACCGAAATCGAAATCACCGAGGAGGGGAATTTTGAATAGGAAAGATGCTGTGCACGTGCCTCTCAGTCAAAGGTCAAAAGCAGCGATTGCACGAGTCTTTTGGACCTTAATCATAATAATAATAATAATAAAGAGTTACTGTTCTTTTTTTTTTTTTTTTTTTTTTAATTGAGAATCAACGAGCGCGGGGAGAGGGGAAAGTTTGCACACATAGGGACACTCACTCTAGGCGATCAATGCGAGGGTGAGGCTCCCAATTAGCACCAGAGTCAAGATGTGCACGTGGCCTCTCAGTCAAAGGTGTCGAGTAATGCGAGTCTAGATAAGCACGCAGAACGTGTGCGTCATTTGGACCTTAATCATGAAATATAATTTATATTATTAGATAAAGAATATAAGAGTTACTGTTTTCTTTTGGTCTTTATTTTTTTGGGGCCGGGGAAAGAAGAATATAGTGAAGAAGCCAAGTTTTAAGATTGATAGATTAGTATCTATTCACATGGGATTGCGGGTACCAGCTTACGCTAATCTCTTTATTTTCTTTCTTTTTATACAAATATAAGAAAAGAATGAGTAAGGATAGCAACAGAATGTCTAACATGAGCGATGCCAAATGTCCTCACACAATAAATGTGAGTTAATAGCCTATACACATCTTGCGTACTTATTGATTATTAGTGTTTCTGAATGGAGATTTAATACTATTTACGTAATTTAATTGCAGCTTAGAATATTTCTCGAAGAAATGAAGTGTATGTATAATAGTATAGCGAAGAAAATAGAAAATCTAATTAACTAGTAAAAACTCACATCATTATAAAATCACTTGTATAAGTAATACATTGATTACGATAGGCACATCCAGGTATACAACCTAGCAAGTTCTACATATTTTTTTTTTTTTTTTTTTTTTTTTGGGGGGGAAAAAGAAGAAGAGGAAGAAGCCAAAGATAAGATTGATGATTAGGATCTATTCCATGGATTGGGAGCTTACTATTCTTTATTTTCTTTTTCTTTTTATCAATAAAGAAAAATATACACATGCACATGACGTGCAATTAAAAATTTACACACATCTTCTTCTTATTATTATTTTTGATTTATCTAAGTTAATTTAATTGCTAAATATTTGAAGAATGAAT